AAAACAATAAAAAGTTATTACTGCATTGTGGTAGATTGTCAGATACAGTATATCTGAGACTAAGGCAAAGACCTGGCATTTATGTTACTATTATTAGATGTTATTCTAATATTTTTAATCCATTAAGCAACTTGGTATACATCAAATGTTTGGACTATTATCATAACGTACTTTTATAGCCCACAGTTGGCTGTAGCGCATGGGAATTTTAATCCAAATGCAATCAGTGTCAGTTTGCCATCTTACTTTTTTACTTATTGCATGTTTTCTCATTATGCTAAACAATAATTTATATACAAGACTCTCACTTGACACACCCACACCTGAAGTCTTTTTGAACAGAAGAACCCTGACACTGACATCCCCTAAACTCAGAGGAAGATGTTTCCTAGCCTGGTAACGAAACATTCAGAAACCAACCCGCAAGCTCAGAGAACAAACCTCACTCTCATCCTACACCTAAGCTCCAGATATTTGCCACTATTGCAATAATTTATTTCATTACCTTCCATCGAATGCACCAGAATCTGTTAAATCATCAACAAGTTTTATAATCTGCAATGGCTAGACTTGCACACCTTAAGTCTGAATCAATGTTATCTTTACCAACTGTCTATAAAACCATTAGGTGACTAATTTAATCTTCTTAATATTTTCACTGATATGATTACATGCCAGTTGCCCCCATTCTTGGACCAGGAGGTTCTTGCTCGTTGTTATACATACTTTAGGTACTTTCTGGATAAATTACTGCAGCATTTTCTAGGTGCAGCTGCCCTTTAACATCCCTAGAAGTTTTAACTGATACAGAATCTGACAGTGTATACAGTCTGGATGCTTCAAAGTTCATAAATTACGCCACTGCTGCTAAAACCTGGTTGCCAGTATGCTTCCAGGTGCATTCCAAGTGCTGGTTATTATCATTAAAACCTTACATGAAATAGGGACAGATTACTTGTGGGGCCATCTATGTCTGAGGATGTCAGTTTTTTACACCTTATATGACAGAGTGGGCATGTTCCAGATCCCCTCTATCAAACAGAGGGGATTTTGTAGGACCAGGGATTGCTTGGCCTGTGGAAATATGGAACATCCTCATATTTGGATGGCTCCAAGCAACTTGGTCTTCCAGAAGGCAGATAAAACTTGGCTTATCATCCCAGTTCTAGGGTCAAGATGTTAAGAAAACCTAATATCCATTTGACTTATGGAATTTATGTTATGTAGAACTCCTTTCCTTGGACTGAAATGTTTTAATGGATTTGGGTTTTTATATTGTCTTTGTATGTATTGTTTTACCTCTCGATGTTATGTAGCTGAAGTAGGGGCTGTATAAATTTTCTGCTACTAAAAGATTTCAGGAAGCTATCGGGTATCAATAAGAGATACATGTAACAAGATTTTGTTGAATGGTAATTTGGACAAATTTATATATTGGTATTCCAGACATCTCTCTAAGGTTCTTAGAGCATAATACCCAAGAACCAGGCTTTTTAAAAATTATATCTGAAAACAAACTGGAATCATGTGCAATTGTTTCAAGACCAGAATCTCGTGATCTTTAAAATGCATAGAACAAATCCATACAATTTTGCATTTGATTATGTTTACGGACTTTTTTCAAGGGCAGCGCTAAGTAAGTATGTGCTACAGTAGTCTAAGCATAAGGTAATTGAATTGGATGTGTGGCAGTATCAAACACCATGTTGTACATTGTCGTTTGGTAGATGGACTTTTAAACCTAACTCTTTCATTTTAACTCCTGCTATTATTTATCAGCAGTTTGAATCCCTAATGGGGATAATGGGGTGAGCTCCTGTTACTTGTCCCAGCTTCTGCTAACCTAGCAGTTCGAAAGCACGTAAAAAATGCAAGTAGAAAAATAGGGACCACCTTTGGTGGGAAGGTAACAGCGTTCCGTGCGCCTTTGGTGTTTAGTCAAGCCAGCCACATGACCACAGAGACGTCTTCAGACAACACTGGCTCTTCAGCTTTGAAATGGAAATGAGCACTGCCCCCTAGAGTCAGGAATGACTAGCACATATGTGCGAGGGGAACCTTTACCTTTATTATTATTTATTATTTGTGCTGTATCAATAATAAGAAAAGGAATGGAACAAAAGACTTTAAAAAATAAGTTGCAAAACCATTGTTTGAAGAGATAGCATGTATGGAAATAGGAGACCAAAATTATAAAATAGGATATAGCTTGAAATTTATAAAATGAACAATTTAAATACATTTTTTTAAAACTCGGATATCTTTCTAACAAATTATTTCAGCTTCTCTTGAAAGGCACAAAGTACAATCCTGTGATTGAAGGGAGGGGATATTGGCTGAGCAGAAAAAATGGTGAAATGTATACCTTGCAACTTGTTCAGTCAATTAATTTCTAAAAAAAATATAACCCTATGCCCTGTGTTTAAATCATGAAGGCATGATAGTATGAACTCTGTTATTTATATACTGTATGGTTACAGCCTATGGTAACTAAGTTTGCTATTGTTAATTATAAATAAACTCTCTAATCCATGTTTCACAATGCAGCACTATATAAAGGAATGTGTTCAATCTCCAGTTGTAAAAAGTATGTTAAAATATTAATATTTTCCGATGATTGTGAATTTAAACAATTTTAAGTAATGTGATGAATTAGGCTACAGAAATAGTCAAGCAAACCACTCATTATATACCATAGCTATTTATAATTGCACAACTATTGTAATCTTAACTAAAGGCTGCATATTCTAGGAATATATCCTCATGATCTCATTCTTAATTGGCTAAAATTCACTGTGACTAGTTTCTGAAGTATTCTTGGCAAGATTTGAGAAGTAGTTTGCCCCTGCCTCCTTCCTAGGACTGAGAGAAAATGTCTGGTCCAAACAGGGGTAAAATCTACTTACCTTCCTTACCAGTTCGGAAGTGCATTTGCTGCGCGCATGCATCACGTGCGCGTGCAGACCTGCACATGCCCAAAACCTTCTGTGCGTGCGCAGAAGGTAAAAAACACATTACTTCCTGGTTAAAACCAGGAAGTAATGACACCCGGATGGGTGGGCGGAGCTTCGCTACCGGATCACCGAACCACCGGCCAAGATCACTACCGGACCTGTCTGATCCGGGAGCTTTTCACCCCTGGGTCCAAGGTCACCCAGCTGGCTTTGTGTTTAAGGCAAGACTGGAACACCTATTCTCCTGGGTTTTAGTCTAATGCCTTAACTGGCTATCTTTGAAGCACTAACTTTTCCCTATTCTCTGCCATATATCTTAGCGAAGTTAATGAAGATTTATATTTTGAACTACTTGATCTTTACAGATTTCTTACAATTTATTAAAGCTTCTTTATGCATTTTATACGTAGTCCTTCAGGTTTGAAGAAAACTCTGTTTTGCACTCTATTAATCTGTGGACACAGAGGTGACTCTGCACTCTCAATCTGAAAGCAGAATCTAGCACAATGAGGGCACTGGAAGTCTGTTGTAGTGGCAGCTGTGGGTGTTATTCTGTGACACTGCTCATAGTTTTCTTTTGGCGGTGTCTTCAAAGCTGATGGAGGCTTCATAGCACAGGGACATAAGTGTGTTCTGTCAGCAGCTCAGCTTCTAGTTCCCTTGGCTGGATGTCACAGTGTCATAGGGTATCTTTCACAGTGTCTTCATAGTGCTTTCATGGTTAGCTTCAAGATCTCTTCTCCAACTCAGTACACTGTAGAGGAATTGGCAAGGCATAAAGCAATCATCCATTGTGATGATGTGTCTGATACAACTTATCTGGACTGTGATAGCCAGTGACTAAATGCTGGTGGACTCAATATGATCCTAGATTAATGATAAATGTTATCTGTTTAGCTTACTAACAGTTTCATTCACATCATCATAAATAAAAAAGATTGTTCTCTATGGTGGCTCTCAATCATCCAGGTTCCACTTTTGATTGTCCGAAAAGTGCTTTTTGAAAAAAACGGGACTTTCTTGGTTTTTTTTCCCTTGAACATATTTCCTCTCATCCAGAAAGCCTCTTTAATTTTGACAATGGTGGGGAATGGAAGGATTTATATTCTTTGCAGTCATCTGGTTGTTAGCACTCTGAAGGTTGATCATGACCTGTGACTCATTGAGGCCCCTGGGGTTTTATCCCTACCCTCAGGATTACCTGAATTAGAGTGCAAATGAGTGTAGAACATTCTTGGGACTGCTGAAAGGTAGAAAGGAGATAGGTCCGTGATGACAAACCTATGACATGCGTGCCAGAGGTGGCACACAGCGCGGTCTCTGTGGGCATGCGAGCCGTCACCCCAGTTCAGCTCTACCCCACATGCATGTGCGCCTCCCGCCGGCCAGCTGGTCTTCGGTCTCTGCTGCACATGCACGGGGGGCAGGGGGCATTCATGGGGCCCGCGTGTGCATGCACAGGTGTGGGGCACATGTACGGGGCCGAGCGCACATTGCATTTTGGGGGTTCACGCACATGTGCATTCATGCGCACACACACGTGCTTTGGGCACTCGGTCCAGAAAAGGTTAGCCATCACTGAGATAGGTGGTGTTATAGTCTTACCTGTTGTTCAATTTTTACATAGATGACCTCTTTGACCCCTTCTTCAAACCAGTGGTCCTCCCTATTCAGAATGTGGACTTTGCTGTCTTCTTTGGGGATACAAAACACCACATCACAAACCCATGGCACAACATAGGAGAACAAACCCACTAGGGTTCTGAATTTGAAAGACAAATGTCATTCCTTTGCAGACAGAAAGTCTTCAAAATATTTTCTTCTTTTTTAAATAATCATTGTATTTTTGTCTCATCAAAAAGACACAAAGTGAAACCTAATATCACACACTTACATAGTATTACAATGAAGAAATATTGTCTTACTCATGCAGTTTTATTCATATTGTATATCATGTACATCCTGTATGTGGATACTGAAAGAATTCTGGATATCTTTCAGATTATATGTACTACATAATAATAAATTTATTGAACTGAATTTTAGGAGGAAACAGATTGAAGAGCCAACCTTTTCGTTTGAACTGGGCTTGGATTTCACTGGAAAAAGAATATTATATGATAGATGAGGATTCCAAGGTTCTGGAGGTAACGCTGAAACGCAGAGGATATCTGGGGGAGACTTCATTTGTTAGTAAGTATGGCTTTTATATGTTGAAATATTAGAAATGTAACATGTAGCTTTATTATAGAGAACTTGTGATTTTTGTAGTTTTCTTGGTCAAAAGATTAAAGGCACTATAAAATTACTTAAAAGAAAATAGACTTTTATAGTGTAAAATATCATATCAACAAGTATACAGTAATGGAGATGTTAACAAATTTGTCAACCTGTTACTATGTACTTTGAATATTTGTTCATATTAGATCTCTTTCTGAATGAACCCTGCAGTGTATTAAACTAATCTATTCTAGCTATAGATTAATCAGCCTTACATATACCTTTATTGATTATCCTACATAGCACAATATTTTTATAAATGTATGTTTTTATGGATGTCCTGCAGATTCATGGATTTTTTTAATATTGGGCTCTACCATTTACTTCTGAAATGGCTTCTTTTTATTTTAGATTCAAAAATGCATTTATTCCTGTTTGTATAAAAATATTTCTAACTTGGGAAGGAAGGCTGTTCTCTAGAGACATAATAGCAATTTGTTGCTGTTCTTTCTTGATTTGAGCTATGTGACCTCTTCAAACCTGTTACAACAAATACTGGCTGGTACATGAAACATAGTATGTTGCTGACATGTTTGTAGTCAGCTAATTGTTAATGTTGAGTCTTTTCAAAAATCCATCAGCTTTCCTACCTAGAATAAAATGTGTCTGATTACTTTTTGTTAACTGTGGTTCAGTGAATTCCTCTAAGAAACAGAAAAAGTGTATGCAATACATTGAAGTTTCTTCATCAGGGCTTTTTAGAAGTGCTAAGATAAACTGTAAAGCTGGGGAGGAGATGTCAGAGGTGATTTCAAGCATTTTACTTATTAAGGCTCAAAGGAGCCTGGATAGCTCTGCAGACAAGGCACTGTAATTTAACACCAGCTGTCTGCAATTAAAGTAAGTTCGAATCTTGCCAGGCTCAAGGTTGACTCAGCCTTCCATCCTTTCTAAGGTAGATAAAATTGAGGACCCAGTTTGTGGGGGCAATAAGCTGACTTTGTATAAATATACAAAAGTATGAAGGCTATTGCTTAACGCACTGTAAGCCGCCCTGAGTCTCCGGAGAAGGGCGGCATATAAATCAAATTAAAAAAAAAAAAAAGTATAGAAGTGACCCTTAGGAACAAATGCTGCAACCTTCTTGGTGTCTTTAGTTGATCCCCAAACATACAATTTCTACCCAAGAAGACAGAGGCAGCATTGACTTGGAAATCAGCAGCTGTGGAGAACTTTAGACACTGGAATATTGTTTTTGCATATGATTGTCTTTGGGAAAACCCACCCAGCCACTTTTCTGACTCCCATCCCCATGATAGGGTCATATAACTCTCACATTTGGCAGTCTAAAAAAATTAGCCTTTGCTGTGTACTCAACATGGGTCATTGTGGCTAAGGACTATATGCTATCGTATGTGGCCAGGCATGTCAAAATGGTGATCAAAGAACCTCCTTGCTTTGGTGGGACTTTCTTTGTTTTGTTCTTTTGGATTCTTTTTGTTTTTATTGTTTTTTTTAATATATATTTTAAGAATCTGATAACGTTGGCTGAGTTGGTTTTCCAACAAATGTTTGGAGAGTTAGTTAAAAATTCCCATTACCACATCCTTGAAATTCTGTAATCTGATCCAGGAAGACACTATACAGATCTTTTGCCTGACTTGATCATCTATAGTTTACTTCCATAATAATATAGAGAGAAGCAATATTATACTGGCAATATTAAGGGTAGAAAAAATCAATATGGAAGAAAAGGAGAAGAAATGAAGTAGCAGTATAATGAAGAATGACCATATAAAAAATAGAAGGTAGAATAGTCTCCCAAAAGAGTGAAAAAGTGGATATACTGTAAAAAAATACCATAAGCATGCCTATGAAATACAGTAACAGAGAAACGTAAGAGAAAGAAAGGAGAGAAAGGTATTATATCAGGGGTGAAATGCTCCCGGTTCGGACCGGCTCAGGCAAGTAGGTAGCGATGGTGGCGGGCAGTTCGGAGAACCGGTAGCAAAAATCCCTGCCCCCGCCCCCCATGCCCAGCTGAGCCGCGCAATCATAAGAGGCTTTTGACTCTGATGAGCCAAGCTCTGACGATCCCAGCTGAGTTGCCTGCCAATCAGGCAACTCAGCTGGGATCGTCAGAGCCTTTAAAAGAAAAAAAATTTAAAAATTTTTTTTTAAAAAACCCTCTGACGATCAGGCAACTCAGCTGGGATCGTCAGAGCCTTTTGAAAGCATTTTTTTTTACATGGTTTTACATGTAAAAAATGGTTTTAAAAGTAAAAAAAGAAAATTGGCCACGCCCACCCAGTCACATTAACCCCCCACACACACACACCAAGCCACGCCCACAGAACCGGTAGTAACAAATTTTAGATTTCACCACTGTATTATACAGTATATAATATGTATAATGACATATTGCCAAACAGATCAAAAAATGGTTAATATTAAAAAGAGACAGACAAAATGTAGACAGGTTTTGATAGAAATATAATTATTTTGGAAGAGAGTGAAGAAGGTTAACCAAGAATCTCCACCAGAGTAAACGGAATTAAAAAATAAAAAAGATGAAATGGTTTGGGGTGAAATGGAAGTGAGGGGAAAATGGGAGGAGTATTTAGATAGAATTCTTTATTGGCCAAATGTGATTGGACACACAAGCAATTTGTCTTTAGTATATATGCTCTCAATGTACATTAAAAGACAAGATACATTCAAGAATCATAAGGTACAACACTTAATGATAGTCATAGGGTACAAATAACCAATCAAATCATACTAGGAAACAATATAAATCATAAGAATACAAGCAACAAAGTTACACTCATGCAGTCATAAGTGGGAGGAGATGGGTGATAGGAAATTTAGAATGATAGTGATATATATCAAAGAGTGGAACTGTTGCTATGTATGATAATTTTCAAGAAAAAATATTACGGAAAGGGACCTACAGTATATGCTTGCATATATCATTATGATTTGCTTCCAGAGTCCTTCTATAGGAATTGCTCAATCTGTATGAATTATATATTTTTACTTATAATTGGAAGATTGATGTTTGCATATTTTGCTATACAAAATAGAAAAGTAACAAGAGTTACTACATAAATTACAGGCAGATTTATTTGTTGGCAATGCTTTGACAATATATTTGATGGAACTCTAATGGAAGAATGTAGGTAGTGATGCTGAAGTGACTAAAAGCTGGTAATGGCAGACCAGAGAAGTGTTCTTCAGCATTGAGAAAGATAATTGAAAGTTTATTATAAAAGAAGTTTATAACACTCTGCTGATTTAGACAAAGTGAAGAGGCATGAATCATGGAATGTTTAGCACAAATATAGAAAGTTGAAGTTGGTTGCTGAATGTGATGAGTGATACGGTATATGACAGAAGTAAAGAATGTGTGAAAATAAATAAAATTCCTAGCCAGCAGTTCATTACTGAGCAAGAAGTACAACAAAGATGTGTGATATTTCCCTTGGGAGTTTAATGTAGTTAAGGATATATGTTTAAAGGATGTTTTGTTCTAGTATTGGCTAGGAATGTGACTTCATGTGTACTTTTGTATACAGAAATTTATTATTATTAAAATTTTGCAACTGACAGTTTCAAATGCTAATTTAATTAAAAGAGTTACTTTTTAAAGCTGCAGCTGAGTAGAAACATTTATTTTATTTATTTATTTATTTTATTTTATTAAATTTCTAAACCGCCCTTCTCCCGAAGGACTCAGGGCGGTGAACAGCCACAAGATAAAACACATAAATACATAAATACATAAGAAACATAAGATATTAACAAATTCACGCTCAAATTCATGGTGTTAAAGTAAACTTAAATTGCAATAACTGAAATCACATTTTTGCACCAGGATGTCAAAATGGAAACAGTTCCCAAAAATGTCAGCAAAAGTTTTCCCACGTGCTGGCAGAAATTAGTATCGAATTTTCTCACTTCTCATTAATTAAATTCTCACTTTCAATTTTTTTCTTGCATTTTAAAGCATCATATTAATATTAGAACTGTGCAAGTCCTTCAGGAAAACATAAGGGCACACCCAGCTTATCTCTTAGAATCAATAAAGTAGTTGTATATCTTCCTAGGCTTACACAGCTGTATTTGCATGTATGTGGATACACTTAATCAGATGCAAGGGCATGCATTCAAAGGGTCAGGAAAGCCAGGAAAAAGGTGCAACTGCTTAAACATTCAAAGAAAGGTCCTTAAGATATATTCTCATACATTTCAAAGCACATCCTTCAAAAGATTTGAACAATCTTAATATAAATTTTCAATTAAATAATGACATTTGTTCTTTACAATTATTCAAAATGGGCCTAATCTGAAAGGTCTCAGTATTGCATTAATACAATTGAGTGTCTCTGAAATCTCAAATTGTTTTCGAGTTATCAAAATTAATTAATATAAATTCACTGCTGGAATCAACCTTCACTTTTTGTATTGGATCAAAAGTTTGATTAACTTATATATCACTGTCTGCGCCTGTTTAAGTTACTTTGCAATTTTAGAAATGTATTGTGGAAACTCAAAATGTCTAACACATGAAGCTCAATTTTTACTAAAATGGTGCCATTTGGGTGATGAGAAAACATACCAGTGGTGAAATCCAATTTTTTTTACTACTGGTTCTGTGGGCGTGGCTTGATGGGCATGATGTGGCTTGGTGGGCATGGCTTGGTGGGCATGGCAGGGGAAGGATACTGCAAAGTCCCCATTCCTTCCCCACTCCTGGGGGAAGGATATTGCAAAATCTCCATCCCCACCTCACTCTGGGGCCAGCCAGAGGTGGTATTTGCCGGTTCTCTGAACTACTCAAAATTTCCACTATCGGTTCTCCAGAATCTGTCAGAACCTGCTGGATTTCACCCCTGAACATACCATATCATTGAGAGGCATGGTGGCCTAGTGTGAAAATGCTCACTTCTCACTCAGAAGGTTGAGAGTTCAATCCTAGATAGCAGCAGATGTTTCTCTCTCAGGGTGCAAAGAGAAAATGTCTGTTGCAAACTCTATGTAGGCATCAGGAAGGGTATCCAGCCAGTAAACGCTCAGCTCCATTCAGTCACCCCAAATTAAATCTACCCCAAATTAAGGGATAACAGAGTCATAAAAAGAAAAAAACTTGTGTGTTTTGATATCATTTTAAATCTTAATTGTTTGACTGTAATTTTGCATTCTCATTTGTGTCTTATTATTAAATGCCTTAAAAATTTTATATAGAAAGGTAGTGTACATTTCATAAATAAGTATTTCAAGCATAAGTTTTCTTATATCCATTTTTTTCTTCCAAACATTTATGTAGGCATTGGGACTAAAGATGGAACAGCAGAAAAGGATAAAGATTTCAGAGGAAAAGCTCAGAAACAGGTTCAGTTTAACCCAGGACAGACTCTGGCTACTTGGCGAGTAAGAATAATTGCAGATAATAAATATGAAGAATCTGAGACCTTCCAGATTATTTTGTCAGATCCAGTTATGGCTGCCCTAGAGTTGCCAGAGAAGGCAGTGGTGGAGATTATTGATCCTGGTGATGGTATGTTACTTTTTTTCCTGCTTTTTTCCATCCTGTAGCTTTCATATTTTGGCTGCCATTTACTGGAATAGAATTTTAACAAACCTATTATATTTTGTCTTTGTCATAAATGATTAGTGTATATTGACCTTCTGCTCTTTTTCAGAATCTACTGTGTATATTCCTGGGTCAGAATATAGAGTAGCTGAAGATGTTGGTGAACTGTTAATTCCTATCAGGAGATCTGGAGATACTAGTCATGAACTAATGGTTGTTTGTTACACTCATCAAGGTATTTCTTACTAACTTATGCCAAATATTGTATTTGTCCCATAAAACAGAATTTGATTTAATTTAGCACAATATATCCATTATAGAAAATTTGTAAGGCAAAACAGTTCCAAAAAGCTTACAAATTGCTAGTGAATAATTTTTTACATGCTATTCTTCACCTTAAAGTATTTTCTCTTTTCTTTCTAAATTGTTCTTTGTTTCATTTGATGGGGAAGAGGTTTAACAAACCATGGGAAAGCATGATCATTGAGATTAAAAAGGGCAAAATTAGGTGGGAAAAAAATAAGATCATTTTTTTAATAAAAAGTAGCGTGGAATAAACTATGTTTTTTTCCCCTTTCATTTGTCTTTTTCTTTTCTGTTTTGCTTTGTATATTTTTGCTGTTTTGAAAAAGTCTTCTGATGCCATCCTGCAATCTTACCTTTCCAAATTACTAAACCCACACAAGATTCCAGGGATTGTGTTCTAAATCATATTCCCAAATAAGATTGTACAAGATTCAGTAATCTTGTATAAGATCTCATGTCATGTTATGGAAACACCAATATTTTGTGATATTTATCTTTCTTCTAATGCCAGATCTAATAGCCATCTAATGGATGGTTATTCTTTGATGTAAGCATTCAGACAAGAAACGCCGTTTCCTTTCCTGAGCAATAGCAAAAAATTTTAAAACTAGCTTTGCATTCATGAATTTCCACTAAATTTAGTGGAACTAATTTTTTTTTATTAAAATGCATAACAGAAGGTTGCCAGTGTATTCATCAGATAATTTGTGAATTGATTTTAGAAGCAAACTGCCAAGTAACATGTAGAAATGATGAATAGATACTAAAAATATGTTGGATATGCTAATATAAATACAATACCTCTGTATTTTTCTTGTTCAGCTTAGTCACACCTTAATGGGAGAACTAGTGGAAAATATATGTAAGATCATTTTCCCCCAATACTTTATTTCCTTATTAGGCAGGATGAACTTCTGCCTGGTGCATATGCTGCAAGATTTATGACCCTATGGGCTAGACAGCTAGTCAAGTTGTGTTTGTGAAGCATGACAGCTGTTGGTCAGTCTCAGATGTTAGGTATGCCAGCACAGCTGCAAGATGTAATAGGGAGATGAAAGTATTAAAACAGGTTCATAGCCACTTTAAAAGGGATGATTAGATTCCTTTAGTTAGAGGCTTTCATATTGAGCCTTACTAGGTGGCCTAACTAGAAATAGAGCTGTGATAATGTGGTGTAAGCTCATTAATTAATTTCAGAGCTTGCAGTTTTATGCTCAATTCATTGAGAGTCTCATTTAATGCAATAAAACTATAGAATAAACACTTGGAGGACTGCATGTGTATAGAAAGAGTTTTAGCTTGAAAAGTAATACCAGACTCCTAAACATTCAGAATAGTTTGGAGGCAAGAAAAATGAATGTTTTAATTTACATTTGACCAGCTTCTATGTAGGATAGAGTCTTCCCTGTTGCACTTACAGCATGTAAATGTCTTTTGATTCTATGAATGTGGAATGTGGAAAAGGGAAGAAATAATTCAGCTCTTGTTCTGTGCTCTTTATGTTAAATATTTATTACAGGTAGTTTTCAACTTACGACACAATTGAGCCCAAAATTTCTGTTGCTAAGCGAGACATTAGTTAAGGGAGTTTTGCCCCATTTTGCAATCTTTCTTGCCACATTTGTTAAGTGAATCATTGCAGTTGTTAATTTAGCAATACAGAATTGCTGGTTCTGTATTGGTTAAGTGAATCTGGCTTCCCCATTGACTTCGCATGTCAGAAGGTTGCAAAAGATGATCACATGACCTTGAGACCTTGAGACACTATAACCATTATAAATATAAGTCAGTTGCCAAGCTTCTGAATTTTGATCACATGACCATGTGCTGCAATGGTGGTAAGTGTGAAAAACAGGCATAAGTCACTCTTTCCAATGCCGTTGTAACTTTGAACAGTCATTAAACAAACTGTTGTAAATCAAGGATTACCTGTACTTAAAGCTATAACTACAGGGCAGTAAAGATTGGAACTGAGACTGGGGAGGGATTCTGCTTATTTTGATTTTTTAATTTTTTTTTCACCTTGTTGGGACCAGACCTATTCATCTTAGTCATGTTACTTCTAGATAAAGTAACGGGAAGACAGCGGTTCTTCCAAACTACAAATGTTAGGGAGTAACACATATTACCTCTCAAAGAAGCAAAGTTTGAAGTAAACTCTTAGTATCTTTGTATTTTAGCCAATGTAATCTAAATTCTGTTTTAATTGAAAAGATAACCCACTGCTTCAAATAAATTCTTCCTTTGTATATTTGCCCTTTTTTGAGATAACAGCTCTTCTTTACATTCCTATCATTTCTTGCCAAACTTTGTGTACTCCCCAAATACAGCATACAAATTTTACCCTCACTTGTGATCTGAGAGCAGGCATAGTTGGGCTAGCAATATCTGGTTTTTAAATTAATTATAGGGAAAAGATAAGGGTTAAGTAATTACAATGTGCTTATAGTGCATTTTTATTTGTTTTTTCTTAAAAGCCATTTTTGGAGGACTTATTGTTGCTCTCTTGCAATAAAAAACCCTATTTCAATGCCTGAATAATCCTGAATGATTTCCTTTTCTTTCAACCATTTAGGGTATAGTAAAGCTTGGTTTAGAACACTTATTTATAGTCTTTATCTTTAGATAAAAATAATACTTAATACGTGGAACACTAAATATGGGGCTTAAAAGTCCAAACCAATAGAACAGCCCATACCACTTGGACCAAACATAGAATTGGTGGGGAATAAAGTGTACTGTATTTTTAAAGTTCATATACTTGTAAACTTTTACAATTTAATATACAAGCTTAGTTTAAAAGTATTGTTTTCTAAATGAAAGGAAAAAGTAAAAAAAAATCTATTGATAAATAGTATACCTCTAAATATTCAACTCTGCATCGCAGCTGTTACTGATTTATGTGCATGTATGAATGGTGCTGTTACTTCTTGAAAGAAATGTCTTACACAACTAAGGGGATATAAACTGTTCCATTGGTTGATATATCCAATCTCTCTTTGTGCTAATTAAGAAACAATCAGACATCTAATGAAATAACTACAACAAATGTTGAACCTCACACTACAAGAGAGTTAGATAAAAATATTCTGCTTTTACTCTTAATGTAGCTGCAGTTTGTCATTACATCTGAACTTGAAATGCTCATTCTGGTTAGTTTCAATTCTAGCTAGTATAAATAGATTAGATTGGCAATATTGTTTGTTCACTTGAATCTTCAGTTCATGTCCTACAGCCCAGGGATGGGTTCTAATTTTTTTTACTACCGGTTCTGTGGGTGTGGCTTATTTTGTGGGTGTGGCTTGGTCATGATGGTGGGAGTGGCTTCATGGTCATGTGACTGGGTGGGCATGGCCAACTCAATGTCACTCAGGTCAAGGGGTCCTTCATCTGGCCCCTCCCCTCCCAGCCATTCCTTGTCATATCCAGCCTCAACGTATCTATAGTTCTGTAAAAATGTTGTTCACCTTTTTTCAACTTTATTATCTGCATACTATAGATGTACTTTCATGGACCACTGAAAGGAGGAAATGGCTCACATGCTTTGCCCAAGAGTGTGATAGGCAACAGGCTTTTAAGGGGCTGCCAGAAAGAATGTATAGGCAATGTATTTTCCAAAGCACCAGAAGGCAAAACAAGAAGCAGTGGATGGAAACTGAACAAAGAGGGAAGTTAGTTTTTGTCCTAAAACTAAGGAGAAACTTCCTGACAGTGAGAACCAATATAGGTGCAGAAATATTTCAGTCATAATTTCACATATAAAATAGCCATTCGTGCATATTGTTCAAAACAGTAATTAGTATTATGGCTGATGTTTGACAGCAAGCATAAAAGTCAAAGATCACAAGAGTGCTTCTTTCTCTGTATGTATATAAAACATCACATACCAGGAATAGCATATTAAGATGGACTTACGCAACCTGATGTACAAAATAAACACACACATATTTATGCTCTGGACTATAGACATTGAATGCATGTAAATCCCTGAAAAATATGTGGTAGCCCTGGGCAAAAGAAAGGCAGTAAAATCACTCTAGGTGTAGGGACAGTGTAAAATATTAATCAGAGAACAATTAAAAATAATAGCACAGAGTTTTCTGTCCCTCCCTCCCTCCCTCCCTCTTTTTCTTTTTCTTTCTCTCTTTCTTTGTCTCTTTCTTTCTTCTCTCTCTCTCTCTCTTTCTTTTTTTCTCCCTCTCTTTCTTCTTTTTCCCTTTCTGTGAAGAACCCCAGAAGGTCTTTGGTAGGAGGAAGAAAAGCCAGACGTTTTGAAACTCAGAACATGCCCATTGATCATCTGGCATTCTTAGAGCTCCACTATTGATTATCTTAGCCTGAGCAAGGATAGCTAGCAACCACTTACAATAAGCTCTCAACTCAAGCTCAGTGCACGTGGGGATCTCCCTAAACAGTGAGGATTTCTTTGTTTCTTTCTCCCTTGGAGTCCCCCCCCGCAGCCCATTTTTGCTTCCAGGGGGCTGCAGGGAGTCTTGCTAGGCACCTCCCCCGCGCCCCATTTTGGGCTTAGAAAGCCTCCTTGCAGCCCCTGGGAGCCAAAATGGGCCACGGGGGCTGGGAAGGTAAGGTCATGAGCCTGGTGGAGATGGCGCAGCATGCTCTGGGGGGGGGGGGGGGGCTAGCGCAACTTACCTGTAGACAGGAGGAGGCAGCTCAGTTGGGGCACAGGGCAGGCACCACGTGGGAAGGCAGCTTAGGCAGGCAAGCCACCCGGGTGGTGAGGAGGAAAAGGAAGTGACTGGGCAGGGCGGTGACCAGGGGACCGATTCGAGGGCATGGCCAGTCATTAATACTGGTTCTGCGACCCTTGCCAATTTATTGCTACTGGTTCTCCAGAACTGGTGCGAACCGGTAGCAACCCACCACTGTTACAGCCTATTATAGCATATACCCAAAATAAAACTTTGATTCAATGGCCTTATAGTAAAAAGGGGCTGTCACTAGAGACAAATGTCCATTAAATGTCAAATTAAGGTTATACAAGCATAAGATGGGATTTTACACATGCATAAAATATCAAACAGATGTTACTATTTAAAAATTCTCTTACAAAATCTATTATATGTGATTTAGTGGAATCGATCCACAAATGCCGTAATATAGAAATATTTTAAATCATTACCTTTTAAAAAGTCATAAATAAAGCCTGAGTATGGAAAATGATTCTGATGAAATAAGTTGTTAATAAAATACAATATGTAATTATTTTGTTAGCCTCATAGGATAAATTAGATAGTAATCAAAACCATGTGAGCTAATTCTACTTTATTGCAAGGCTGCAGTGACAGAATCTTGCAAGTCTGAAAATGCATTCCTCCCTTCCCACCTCCTGTACAGACTGGGAAACTAGGGAGAGTCTTTCCTGAGCCTCTTGCTCCAGGAGCGGACTAGGCTGTCTCTTATCTGACAGTCTCATTAGCAACATCTCCTAGCCTAGTCTCCCAAGGTCTTTCCCACATTTCACATATTTAAACATGGATATAATTAACAGTGAAAACTTCCTAATTATAATTGTTCCTCATATAAAATAGGGAAGAAAAAGTGAAATACTTCTAATACTTTACATGTCAGGGCAGATCCACTGATTTGTAATTTTTAAAGCAGTTTTTGTAATAAATTAAATTTTGTAATAGGGAAATGATTGATAAAGGAGAAATTGTTACTTATAATATGTATTTATATGAAGACATTTTTAATATATATCAATATACCTTGTGTGTGTGTGTGTATATTATGTGTATATATATATATGTGTGTGTGTGTGTGTATATGTATATGTATATATGTATATGTATTGTCTTAATGATAGAGTACCTAAACATTACCTAATTACCCAATTAATTGTGAGATAAACTTTAATTAGATCTGCACATTTGCTATTGTCTCTATTCATCTTAAGATATTAAGTCATATTATAAACAATGACAAGGAGAAAGAAATCATTTTAAGAGGCTATTAATATTTTATGCAGTTACTATTATTATTTTTTAATGATGGGCTTTATTACATTTTGCTGCATTTGCTTATTACTTATAGTTACTTATATTATGTATTTATATGAAGGAATTTTTAATATATATCAATATATCTTGTATATATATATATAGTATATATATGTATATGTATTGTCTTAATGATAGAGGCTATTAATATTTTATGCAGTTACAATTATTATTTTTTAATGATGGGCATTATTACATTTTGCTGCATTGGCAGTGTTTTTAAGTAAGTAGTATGTGTATATGTATGTACCAATATGTATGTACCAATTGATCCGTACCAATCGGGTTTCAGGTCCGGATACAGCACGGAGACGGCATTGGTTGCACGAGTGGATGATCTCTGGAGGGCTCAGGACAGAGGTCATTCCTTCTGTTCAACATTTATATGAAACCGCTGGGGGAGATCATCTGTGGTTTCGGGTTGGGGTATCATCAGTACACTGATGATACCCAGCTTTTTATATCCACCCCGAACCAGCCCAGTGATGCCCTCGACGTGATGTCCCGGTGCCTGGAAGCGGTACGGATCTGGATGGGGAGGAACAGGCTTCGGCTCAACTCTGCCAAGACTGAGTGGCTGTGGATACTGGCATCTTGGTTTGAAGGAGAGATTCCATCACTGGCTAGAGGGGGTGAAATTTTGCCCCCTGTAGACAGAGCACGCAACTTGGGTGTCCTCCTGGATTCATGGTTGAGCTTAGAAGATCATATAACAACCGTGACAAGGGGGGCATATGCCCAGATTCGTCTGGACCGGCAGTTGCGCCCTATTTGGACTGAGATGCCCTACGCAGTTACTCATGCACTAGTTACCTCCCGCGTTGACTACTGTAATGCTCTCTACATGGGGCTGGCCTTGAGGACCACTCGGAGGCTTCAACTGGTACAGAATGCGGCCGCGCGGGTTGTGATGGGAAAGTCCCGATACTCCCATGTTACACCCCTCCTGCGCGACTTGCATTGGTTGCCGGTTGCCCTCCGAGTGAGATTCAAGGTGCTGGTGATGACCTATAAAGCCCTACATGGCTAAGGCCCAGGATATTTGGCGAACCATCTGCTGCCAGCAACAGCTGCCCATCACCCGGTGCGTTCTCACAGGGAGGGCCTGCTCCGGGTGCCGTCAGCTAGACAGTGTCGGCTGGCGACTCCCAGGGGTAGAGCTTTCTCTGTGGGCGCACCCACCCTTTGGAATCAACTCCCCCTGGGGCTCCGGTTGGCTCCTGACCTTCGCACCTTCTGCCGTGAATTAAAAACATGGTTGTTCACATCGCCCAGCCTGGACTGAGAGGTTTTTAAATTTTGGGGGTTTTAATATCAATTATATACGTACATTTATGTATTTTATATTTTTAACTGGTTGTTTTATTGTTGTGAGCCGCCCTGAGTCCTCGGAGATAGGGCAGCATATAAATTTTATTAAATAAATAAATAAAATAAAATGTGTTAATATCACATACTGCTAAAACATTTGCCATTACTTTTAACTGAGAAAACAGTACGTCATAGGCAACAATTTTTGAACCAAGGTACCTCAAAAGGGCTAACTTACAGAATGCCAGGATCCATTCCTCCTCAGGAAATGAAATTTGGGAAAGTTGTGGCTGCTTTAATACCACTATTATACCACTTGGTCACATGTTCCTCATTATTGACTGACAATTTCCTGGCCATTCACATGATCCCTCGCTGTCTCCTCCACTGAGCAGCCACCACCTACCTACTGCTAGGAAAGGAAGGGGAGGGGAGGGAGGGAGGGAGATTTCTAATGCTCACTGCCAACTCGCTATAAGGAATTTCAATTTCTGACAAGAATTGGAAAGTTGCTCCTACTCCCACTGATTATTATTATTATTATTATTATTATTATTATTATTATTATTATTTGATTTATATGCCGCCCTTCTCCGGAGACTCAGGGCGGCTTACAATGCGCTAAGCAATAGCCTTCATTCTTTTGTATATTTATACAAAGTCAGCTTATTGCCCCCACAAACTGGGTCCTCAATTTATCTACCTTAGAAAGGATGGAAGGCTGAGTCAACCTTGAGCCTTGGCGAGATTCGAACCTGCAGTAATTGCAGGCAGCTGTTCTTAATAACAGGGTGCTTTAGACCACTGTACTACCAAGGCTCTTTTGGCCTGTCCATGTTCGTGTTCTTCTGTTCAGGTAAGAAATATCTCTGAAACAATCACCCAACAGGCCTTAGGATGTCTACTTTTCTTCTAAAACTAACCCGGAGAAAATGGAAAAAAGGAGGACTTCAGAAATTGGACTTTGAGCATCACGCTATTGTTTTCAGCCTGGAAATTGAAAAAAAAGAAATTATGTCATATGCTGCTTTCTGCTATCTGTAATTTATTACACATGCACACAGAGATAACAATGGTGGATACCTCTTTAAAGCAGTATGCCTCCTAATATTGGGAGTGTCCTAACCCTACCCCACCCTGTTGGGTTTCTGAAGACACATTTTTTTTCAGGAAAACATTTGGGGACAAAGAGAATTGACTTATACTTGTTCAGTGGCACAGAGATATTAGGGTGTTATGATTCTGGTTTTAATTCTGTATTTGCTTGATGTAAAACCTCTGATAGAACCACAAGCATTTGAACATTGTATGCTACATGCTGTAGTTAAATGACTATAAATATAACAAAGTTTTATAATATAAAATATTATTATTTGAAATATAATGTGTACTATACAGACACAAAAATAAATATTGTAAATGTAATATATATTCACTGTTGTTTATTTTCTTTTTCTTTAAGGAACTGCCACCGGCACAATTCCTTCTACAGTCTTGTCATATTCTGACTACATATCTCGCCCTGATGACCATACCAGTTTAATTCGCTTTCATAAGGATGAGAAGGAGAAAATATGCCGGGTCATAATTATTGATGATTCACTTTATGAGGAAGATGAAAATTTTAATGTCACTTTAAGTATGCCATTGGGTGGAAAAATTGGAGCTGAATTTCCCAGTACTAAGGTCATCATTTTAGATGATACAAATGATCGTGAGTAGAAAGAATAATGATAGACATCTTTTCAAAGTTTATAACATTTGGTGCATTTATTCAAGTTTTGGTTCCTGAATACTTACTCCCTCACTTCATGAGGTCATGAACACATTAGTCACTTCCTGTATTTATCTACATAGTCATTATCTCTCTATCTCTATCATCTCTATCTCTTATGATCTCTATTTGTCTCTCTATCTTTCTATCTCTAGATCTCTTTCTAGCTCAATTTCTCTTTCTCTCTCTGTCTATCTATCATTTATCCATACATATGTATGTCTTAGATCCTCAAACTATGGCCCGCGGGCTGGACACGGCCCGCCAATACAAAGTATCCGGCCCACGGAGTAGTGTGATTAAGCCCTGCCCGTCACTGTGGGCCTTATCTTCCAGCAAGCCATCTGGAAGGCCAGCTGAGGGGTGATCTTGTCAGTGCAGCCTTGAAAAGCAGATCTGGGCTTGTAAAGTACTGCTTTAAATTAAAAGTCTTTTTTACAGCCATGTGAACCAAGGCCGGTGTTTCAATAGGAGATGGGTTGGTGCTACCTTGAAAAGCAACTCTGGGCTTGTAAAGTACTGCTTTAAATTAAAAGTCTTTGAAAACAATTTAAACAGGAGCTTAGGAAGAAGAAAGGCAAAAAAAATGGCCTGTTAAAATTGGCCACGCCCACCCAGTCACATGACCACCTAGCCATGCCCACTCAGTCACATGACCACTTAGCCACAGCCACCCAGCCAGTTCGGGCCCCCCAACAGTCTGACGGACTGCGAATCAGACCCTGTTTAAAAAGTTTGAGGACTCCTGCCTTAGATTATAGAATCATGTTTTCAATCATAAGTCAAAGTTTAACTGGTATATATTATTTGTTCTATCTGGACATTTTGTTGCACTTTTAGATACAACAAGTTTCTATTTGGGGTCTAATATTTTTTTATTCATTGTTTCAGCTTTTACTTTAGATTTTAAAAATCTATTTCTTGGAAAGTTGAACATTTGAGACATAACTCTCAGATTATTACTTAAAAGCAAACTTTGTTCGATCTGGACTACGGAAAACACACACTGTTGCACAAGAATATTTGACTCATAAATAATAAAACAGTTCTCTTCAACTGTGTGATTGAAACTTGATTTGGTTCCCAAATTCTTCAAAGCAGATTTTGATAGGAGATGTTTCTCAGCCAAAGTTGTCTGCACTACTGGCAGAGATGCTATATTAGATTCTCAGAGGCTTGTTATATTTAAATGTCTTTGAAGTAAAACTTCAGTCATCATTTGATCCATTAAATTTAAAAGGGGACTAACAACAACTGACTTTCACTACAATCATATAACTGTCTGCTCAGAACTGTATTCTACATCTATATTAGTGCTAGGCACTTATACTTGGAAATAAAACCCCTTGAAGTATTTAACTTACTTCAATTGCTTTGTTCTACAAATTCCATTTCTAACTTATTCCTTTTAATGTATGTATATTCTATATAAATCCAAAAGCAATACAGATTTGATATTTTAATTTTTTAGGAGATGTATTGCTTACATCAGCGGCCCCCAACTTTTTGAGCATCAGGGACTGGTTCTGTGGAGAGAGGTTTTTTTGTGGACTGGAAGGGATGTGTTTTCATGTGCTGCCTGCATCCTGCGGATGGGGCTTCGCTTGTTTGTGCGGCCTGGTTTCTGGCATGCCATGGCTCGGTGCCAGTCCACAGACCTGGGGTTGGGGACCGTTGGCTCATGATTATGCAATGGAAAACAAATTATAGTAGTATGCAATATCTATCACTGGCCTATTACAAGCATCTGACTCTGCCCATAACTATATGTAAAATTGCATCTATACCCTTCAGATACTCAGCAACTCTCCTGTAAATGAAACATTTGACTTGTTTAGTAGTAAATGAGGCTGAGTAGATGAGGCTGTCTGACCTAACAATACATGAGAAAACTTTAATTGTTTTTACATGTTTATGATAAGCTGTCTCCATTCTTTCTAGAAATGCAAAAATTCATGTCAGAAGTTGGGAGTTAGAGGGAAAGGAAAGCATAAATGAGTTTCTTCAGTAAAAAATGGTAAAGACTGGAAAAAGGAGACCCCAAGAGAGTGGAGTTGGTCATGCCATAATAGCTTCCTTATTAAACAGAACGAGTATAAAGTGCATTACACTTTTCATTTGCATGGCATCCCTCTTACTTGTCCTGTTCTTGCTAACAAAAAAGGAGGATAAAGAGAGAATTAAGCAATTGTAAAAATCAGAGAGCTATTTTCTTTCCCAGATTTTAAAGGCCAGAAGAGGAAAATACTTCCTGGGGGGGGGAAAAACTTCTCCATTTGGCAACAAAAGATGAACCGTCTTCCATGCTGTGTACTTGTCTCAAGACTAATGGCATTAATGGGCCCAACAATCAGAGTTCCCAGTGTGCTTCTTATCTCAACTTGATTTGGCGTCAGGAAACCTGCCTGTCTCAGTGCTCACAGAACTGTATTTTGTTTTTAAGTAAAGGATTTCAGAGGATCAGTTGCTGATTGTAACATTCAGAGATGATTCTCATAAAAGTGTATACCATTGTGTTTTAGGAGCACATTTCCTAAGCTGCTACCTACTTAAATATTTGAGGGAGGGTGGAAAATACTTGGAAATGCCTTAGCAGGTAGCAGTTTGGTTTCAGTTGTTAAGCAGAGTCAGGTCTGGTTAGTACTTCAGTGGGAAACAATTGAGGAATACTAGCAAGGCACAGTAAACTGAAAAGTTGAAAATATTCTAGAAAAAGGCAGCAGTCAACCATTTCTACATAATAGCTAAGAAAATTATAGACTGAACCCATTTAATTAGCAGAAGTGAAGCTCAATTTTAGAACGTTATGTTCAACATTTCTGGAGCTGGAATTCTTGAGTCAGACCACTATAGCGCTATTATAGACTTATATACTGCTTTTAGTGCTTTACAATCTATAAGTGGTTTATAGAGTCAGCATATTGCCCCCAACAATCTGGGTCCTCATTTTACCAACCTCAGAAGGATGGAAAGCTGAGTCAACTTTGAGCCAGTCAGGATCGAACTCCTGGCAGTGAGCAGAGTTAGCCTGCAATACTGAATTTGTGAAAGATCTACAAGACCAGTTCCACGAATGATTAAATTGCAGCTAAATATATATAAGTTAAGATCCAGCTAAATGGATACAGAGGGATGCTTGGGAATATGGTAGTGTTGCAGCTAGGCTTCATTTACTAATGTCGGAAAGGACAGTCTCATTTCTGCAACCCAAAGAAAGTGCTTAATTTCATTCTGTAGAGTAAATGAGGTACCCCTGCCAGGCATCACCATATTTGCAGCTGAGCACATGTTAAGAATGTTGGCTATTCCATAGGGTGTCTGTACATATGTGTCTTGATATGGACATTTGGAAGAGAAAATTTATTTGGGGTTGGGTAGATGGGATGTGGTGGCTCAACGGCTAAGACACTGAGCTTGTGGATCGAAAAGTCGGCAGTTCAGCAGCTCGAATCCCTAGTGGGGATTCGAACCGCTCCCGTGTAACGGGATGAGCTCCCATTACTTGTCCCAGCTTCTGCCAACCTAGCAGTTCGAAAGCACGTAAAAAATGCAAGTAGAAAAATAGGGAGCACCTTTGATGGGAAGATAACAGCGTTCCATGTGCCTTTGGCGTTTAGTCATGCCGGCCATATGACCATGGAGACATCTTCGGACAGCGCTGGCTTTTTGGCTTTAAAACGAAGATGAGTAATGCCCCCTAGAGTCAGGAACAACTAGCACATATGTGCGAGGGGAACCTTTACCTTTACCTTTAGATGGGCAGGCAACACTTCTCAAGCTTCTCTGAAAAAGTTGCAAGCGCCTGTGAGTGGATCAAAATTCAGATGGGTTCCTATCACATTTCTTTAAGGGAGAAAATTTATTTATTCAGGAAAATTAATTTGGAACTTTTCTTAAACATAGGTCAGTTCTTTTCCTACTTATTTCTACTTCCAAATTGCCAGTATGATGTTGCAGGAGACATCCCTGACAACAAATAAAGAACAGATTTTTACATATCAGTACAAGACGTTAGGGTACCATCTCCTGTGCTACTGCAGAGACTGAATCAGCAAAGATACTTCAGTCATAGAAAAGGGTACATTGTACAGAATACATTGTACGCCTTTAATGCTTTTAGTGCATATTGCATGAATTTGTCTAATGGTCTTCAAAAAATCTATTTCAATGAAGCGGGCATCTGATAGCAAAGATATCCATTTGTTAAATTTTAAACCCTTTTGCAACTTACTACAACTTGCAATAAGAGAAATAATAGCATGTCAGCATTTATTTCAAATGTATTGCATGTTGCTATTAGTTGCAATGGGAGAGAAAGGAAGCGACAACTGCAGACTATGCCAACAGATATGCATCAGGACTAGGATATTGGTGTATTATATGGAGAGGGAAAAGTGTTGTCTTGAGTCCAACAACAAGCGTAAGGAAAATATTTCTGCCAGTGAGAAAATGGCTTGTCAACAATTCTGGTAAATTACCGCAATGGAAAGGGAAAAATCAGTGTGTCTTTTCACAGTAATAAATTGGCCAGAAGCACAAATAAGTTAACTCAGCTTCCCAAGTCAAATAATATTCTAAATTGTTGCAAAACCCTAGAGAAGAAGACATCTGAAAAGAGGTTTCATATGATTGAGAAACCTTTTCCAACCTGATGTCTTTCAAATGTGTTGAGTTTCAGTTCTATAGACTGCAGCCAGATATTAGTCATGCTGGTTGGAAGTAGTGGAAACTGAATTTAAGACAACTGAGGGAATCAAGGTGGGGATGAATGAGCCAGATGATATAGCAAAGGAACAGTTATTTAAATCCTACATCTTTTGTAAAATTTTTGAAAGACATTGCTTTGAGCACCATGTAGAACACTGGGCATTCCTTATTTAGAAGTATTGGGAGAGCTTGACTTTCTTGGACTAATTGGCTGCCATTCTATGAAGAATTGAATTCTGTTAGTGAACAGCAAGAAATAAATATGTAGAATTGTTTGAAAACTGACAACAGTACCCATGTACTGTCCTTAAAAACCTTAAAAAATAAAACCTGTCCAAAGTATAGGAGGTAGTAAAGATCACATAATCCCCCACTTGGTATTTTCCAATGAGGCTGTTGTTTTCAGGATTTCCAGCCAGAATTTTAAGTCTATAGTTTCTGATTTCTGACATATAAGAGAATAGTGAGCTGGGGTCTCGGGATTAAAGTTTCTGTTTGTTTAATCCAGAATCTATTTTGTAATCTGGTAAAAGAATCAGATTTTGATTCTGTTTAATACGATGTCAATACAACATATGTTACAAATACTGTTGTTTTGTATTGTGAAAATTGTATGTCTTTCATATTAAATAATGCATATAGAACTGATAGGAAGGTTTAGTTTTAACTAATTTTAGAAGGTAATCAGTGGTTTACTTGCTCTGTACAGTATCATGACAGCTGGTGACCTATAAGACCAGCAAACTGCTCATGTTTCCTATTAAAGAAAAAGCAGCATAATAAAGTACTCAAGACCAAAAAAATCTAGTCCTTTGATCTTCCATCTAGGGGTGAACAATATGGGTTTTGTTACTGGCCCTTGATCATACTCTAGGAAGCTGTGGATTCTATATTATTTTACTGTTATGCAGAAACATGCTGCCTGATCATGTGTAACTCAACAAAGGATCCAGTTATACGATAATGAGCTTTGAAGATGGAGATGCAAACAACTTGTGATTTTACAAGGAAGTGGAAATCTTACCATGGTTTTTTCTACAGGAATGTTTAAGTGGCAGGGCAGGTAGAACAGGTTTCAGCACTGGCACACGTGTTTCTCAATTGTGGAGGGACCACTGGGGAATAGTCAGCCTGAGCAAACACTCAGGGCCTCTTTGAGAAACCAGAAATAGCTTTTAAATGAGTAGTTTACACAGAACATTATACTGCTGTACAAAAGTGAGGAGGCTAGTATTTTTAATAATAAAAGTATTTTTATTTACTTATGAAACGGCTAATAGATAAGAAAATAAAAGGGTTTAATGCACAATTAGATGTTGAGATTATAGCCATCCCTGACTTTGGGAGGGGTGAATGAAAATCTTAAACATCAATGGTCACAGGAACCATAATTTAAGATATAATAAACAGTTAATGTTTTGCTTTGTCTTTAATTTGCAATTACGTTATCTGATTTAAATTATATGCTATTCAAAAAGTATTCCTTAGCTTCCCTTTGTGATTAAAGCTCATGAGTTAATATAGATTGTACAAACTGATTACTAATATGAGGAAATGTGGATTTATAGTTCTACCTTTGAGAAACACCTGGGTTGCTTCTAAGCTATTGCCTATATGTTTTATTAATAATTCATGAAATAGGCATTGATCAATATTTCTGCATTTTTAGAAGACATAATTACACGCTTTTGCAAAGCTGGAGATATACAGGTTCTTCCTTCCATTTTATCCCTTACAATAAAATGTAAGGGTATTATCATATATAAATTTTTATTTGGCATTGGCTTTCTTTTGTGTTGTTGTTATCAATATCCAATCTACAAAAGAGATCTTTACTATCCACAGTACACTGACCTTTTCAATTTCACAGGTTAAAGTTTTAGATGCGTTTTCACAGTTATACTACTCTAGAAAATGTTAGGTTGCCATTGGCAAAATAATCTGAGAATGAATTCAAAGTCTGATTTATACCCCACATATTTACATCATTATATTTTTTGAAAATTGATCTTAATTGCAGAGAGCTATGCATATGAAAATATATATAATACAAATATCTGTTCAGATTAAGGATGATAGTTTGAAGGAGAGAGGAGAACACCATTAACAAAAAGATGACAAGGGAAAGATAGAGTAAGTCTGGGACATACAGAAAATTTGTATAAATGTCTCAGTCTGTTATCCTAACCGTAATCCTAACCTGCAAGGTAAACAAGACTGAGAAACCATAAAGGTCAGTACTATTTTTACTGACAGTCCTTGTTTAGCAACCGCAAATGGGACAGGCAGCTCTATCACAAAGCGCTATGGTTGCTAAGTGGAAAAATCATACGGCCCCGAAGGCCTTACAACATAACTTCTCATTCTGTTGTTAAGTGTGACATTATCTCACTTAACAATTTGTGGTTTTACTTCTGTGTTCAGCATTAAATCTGCTTTAGGAAGCCAGTTAGGAAGCATGAGTAGCAATAACATAACTGTGGGATGCTGCAGATATAAGGATTGGTTGCAAAGCTAGGTTTTGGTTTTTTTAGATAATAAAAAATAAAATTAGTCTATAATTAAGGACTACCTGTATTATAACAAAATCTTGCAAGTTTGAATGTGCTTCCCACACTTCCAATTTACCTTCATGTGAATTAGGGTTTGCCTGAGTCATTTTCTCACATAATTTATTGGGGATTACCTACCATTGCCTTGATAGCAATTCTTCTTCAAGGCAGTCCCTTCCACCCTTTGCCAGATAGGTCTCCCTAATTCACAAGGAAATAAGGAGGAGGGGAAATAAGGGGGAGGGGATAAAATCCAGATTTTCAGGATTATAGTAAATATAAATAAATGTAGTTAATTAAATCTACTAAGAACATGAAGGTTACATATGTTGATGCATGTTCTCCACGACTTTCTCTGATCTTGACTCAGCACGATCTAGGAAATGTTGGGGACATTAAAAATAAAACCAAAAATATTGACAGATCCCCTATTTTATGTCAGCTGACAATTGTTAACTTTTTCACATCTCCAAAATTATTTATCTTTGTTTTCCTTTTTCTTAACTGCCCAGATGACTAAATACAAGAAGTCTGATCATTGATTTTTTTTTTTAAAAAAAAATGATTACCATTTTCTTTTTTATCTTTGTTTTATGTCCCAGAACCTGCTTTCTATTTTGGTGACACTGAATATTTTGTTGCGGAGAGCGCTGGTTATGTAGAAGTTCGTGTTTGGAGAACTGGAACAGACTTGTCCAAAGCAGCCACTGTCACTGTGCGCTCCAGGAAAACTGAACCAGTATCTGCAGAAGGTGAATTGTTTCATCTGTATTACTAATATATCTGCTCAATAATCAAATTATCTAATTAAATTATATGCTGTACCACTATCCTCAAAGAAAAAAAATGCATTTCAAACTTGAGAAAATAAAATTAAATTCCCTGTGCTTTGCTCATTCCAATTCCTGTATGTCAGTTAAGTTTAGAATTTTCTTGTCATAATCTCAAAGTAGAGATGAAAACAAGAAAAGCCAGTGATGGTTTTCCTGTGACAAAAAGAGCTTTAATTTGTCCAAATTGTAGTACTCAGATTTTGATTATTGTAGCCTTTTAATTGATCTCCTTTTGACATTCCAGAACAGTTCTCTAAAAGTGATGGAAAGTTTTAATTGTCCTATGTTTAGGTGTCCAAAGTACATGAAAAAAGCATTTAAAAATGTATATAAGCTGCTATCTGCATCATATGAACATTACTGCACACATAATTACATTTTGTCTCTTTTTGTAGCTGGAGTTGATTATGTTGGCATAAGCCAAAACATGGATTTTGCTCCTGGTGTAAACATGCAGACTTTTCGTGCAACTATTTTGGATGATCTAGGACAGCCGGTTCTTGAAGGCCCCGAAAAGTTTGAACTTGTTCTCCAGATGCCAGTGAATGCAGTGCTTGGAGAGCCAAGCAAAGCTACTATCATCATAAATGATACCATTACTGATTGTAAGCATTGCAGATGGTTTTCTATAAATTGACACAAAATATTTTCTGGTAAAATTAGAAGATAACATGCGTAGGTGCATACTTTATTTATTTATTTATTTTATATTGGATTTCTATACCGCCCTTCTCCCTGAGGACTCAGGGCGGTGTACAGCCAGATTAAAAAACATGCAGAACAAATATTAAAAACAATTAAAAGATATATAAATTTGGCCCAATTAAAACTCATTTACCAATTAAAAACGTTTAAAACATTTAAAAACAGTTAAAAATTTCATCTTAAGCCAGCCCGGCTTGTTTAAATAAATGGGTTTTAAGGGCGCGACGGAAGGCACTGAGGTCTTGGATTCTCCTTATCTCTGGGGGGAGCTGATTCCAGAGGGTAGGTGCCCCCACAGAGAAGGCTCTCCCCCTGGGGGTCACCAGCCTACATTGTCTGGCTGATGGCACCCCGAGGAGGCCCTCTCTGTGGGAGCGCACGGGTCGATGGGAGGTCGTTGGTAGCAGCAGGCGGTCTCGAAGATAGCTAGGCCCTATGCCATGGAGCGCTTTAAAGGTGATAACCAACACCTTGAAGCGCACCCGGAAGACAACTGGGAGCCAGTGCAGCTCGCGCAGGAGCGGTGTTACATGGGAGCGCCATGCTGCTCCCGTCACTACCCGCGCTGCTGCGTTCTGGACCAGCTGGAGCCTCCGGGTGCTCCTCAAGGGGAGCCCCATGTAGAGAGCGTTGCAATAGTCAAGGCGAGAGGTGACGAGGGCGTGAGTGACTGTGCACAGGGAATCCCGATCAAGAAAGGGCCGCAACTGGCGAATCAGGCGAACCTGACAAAAGGTCCCCCTGGTTACAGCCGTCAGATGTTCCTCCAAGGACAGCTGCATATCCAGAAGGACTCCCAGATTGCGAGCCCTCTCTGTGGGGGCCAATGACTCGCCCCCAATAGTCAGTGATGGAGTCAACTGACTATATCGGGATGCCGGGAGCCACAGCCACTCAGTCTTGGAAGGGTTGAGCTTGAGCCTGTTCCTCCCCATCCAGACCTGTACAGCCTCCAGGCACTGGGACATCACTTCAAGGGCATCGTTGGGGTGGCCTGGGGTGGAGATGTACAGCTGGGTGTCATCAGCGTACTGGTGGTATCTCACCCCAAAGCCACGGATGATCTCACCCAGCGGCTTCACATAAATGTTGAACAGAAGGGGCGAGAGGACCGATCCCTGCGGCACTCCACAAATGAGAGGCCTCGAGGTCGACCTCTGCCCCCCTGCCAACACAAACTGCGACCGGTCGGAGAGAAAGGAGGAGAACCACCGCAACACGGTGCCTCCCACCCCCAACTCTTCCAGCCGGTGCAGCATGATACCATGGTCGATGGTATCAAAAGCCGCTGAGAGGTCTAACAGGACCAGAACAGAGGAACAACCCCTGTCCCGAGCCCTCCAGAGATCATCAACCAACGCGACCAATGCCGTTTCTGTGCTGTGCCCAGACCTGAAACCCGACTGGAACGGATCTAGATAAGATGTTTCCTCCAGGAATTGCGGAAACTGTCGTGCGACCACACTCTCAACAACCTACAAGACAGTGCTAAAACTGAATTTGGAAAATAGAACCTGTATTTTAAATGGAAAGTATAGCTAGGAATTCTGAATTTTAAGGAAAGCATTCCTTCCACCCTACCTAGTTACCTACCTAGCTACCAAGATAATATTAGGATACATACTATACTAGAGTTCATTATAAATATGGTGAAGCATCCTAAACTACACTTTACTTCCAGAAAAGGATGGAATGCCTAATGCAAATCTTACAGGTCTGGATTTTGGCTTTTCTTTTTTAAAAAAAATGATATTAATTAGTGGAATCATTTTATCATTATTTTCCTTTATTTTAAATAATTTTGAAGGCATTTTTAATTTTGCCTTCTAACAGCATCCTTTGAGTACAATAGAAAATGGCATTGCTAAATATCTTGAAGCTTTCATTGGCAACTATTCAAACATGAAGAAAGTAATCTTCATGCCAATTAAAGACAAAATTAGAACAAAGTATCTTACTAATAGTATGTGACAGAATTGTCTCCAATCTGATGCCTTAAAAACTTGAACTTATTCCCATCATCTTTAGCAAGCAGCATTAATATCAACTGATTATTTGGAGTTTGAAAGTTCAATATACCTGAAGGAAACAAGATAGAGAATGCTGCTCTAACAAAATGCACACTGAGAAATCAAATTTTAACTATAGGTAATGCTCGACTTATGACCGCAATTAACGCCAACATTTCTGTTGCTGAGCAAGAGAGTTGTTAAGGCCATTTTATGACCTTTCTGGCCAAAGTTGTTAAGTAAATCACTTCCAGGTATTAAGTTACCAACATAATTGTTAAGTGAATCTAGGTTTCCCATTGACTTTGCTTGTCAGAAGGTTGCAAAAGACAATCACATGACCTGGGAGTCTGCAACTCCCAGTCATAAATAAGAGTCAGTTGCCAAGTGTCTGAATTTTGATCACTTGACAATGGAATGCTGCAATGGTCGTAAGTGTGGAAAACAATCAAAAGTCACTTTTTTCAGTGCCATTCTAACCCCTAAACAATCACTAAACGAACTGTTGCAACTCAAGGACTCACCATATTTTTATGGCTTTTGCTTTAATTCTTTATACAAAACAATTCCATTAACTAGTTCATAAATATAATGCAGTGGGTTTTTTTATCTGTTAATTCATTAATCATAATCTATAAATGACATAGATCGAACCTATGCCATACCATAGGTATTTATCATACTGTATAAACGTAACTAATTTATTGATAAGGTAATCAACTATATAAAAAACACAAGAATATAATCTTGGCTGACAAATTAAAATAAAAGGGGTGCCTATGTACAGGGTATAGAGCAGTATATATTCAGATAAGTGAGTCACCTTTACAAGTTACCCCAATTGTTTTGATATAACAAGTTCTTAATTGAGCAGCCCTGATTATAAATTTGATAGTTCTGCTAATTATCTATACATTAGTACAGAGGTGAACTTAAGTGAGGTGGATATGACAATGGAATGTAAATAGAATTATTCATATTTCTTTTGCAGTACCCAAAGTCCAATTTAAGGAACCTCTCTACATTGTGAATGAAAAAGATGGTCAGGTAGAAGCTATGATCTCACGAAGTGGAGATGTTAATCATAAATCTACTGTCCGCTGCTACACTCGCCAAGGCTCTGCCCAGGTTATGATGGACTATGAGGAGAGACCAAACACAGATGACTCAATAATAACATTCCTACCAGGTAAGATCTCCTTTTAAATAAAAAAGCTTCCCAGCAAGCAACTTGTTGCAATGATAAAAGATATGACCATGCTCATAATTTTAGGCACCATGTAGTCACTCCAAGCCCTATTTTAATCATTTTTCTAACGTGTGTATGTGTGTTGGGGTGTTTGCATTCAGATATACAGTACTATATTCTGTACATATACAAATTAGACATGAAAGTTAAGTGAATGTAAAGCTAGAAACATAGATTCTCATGTTACTGCATAATCCATTAATTTTGCTTCCATTATGAAGAAACTAATTAAGCCTTTATTACTCAATGGTTATAGAAACATCACTATAAAAGATTTGTGAATCTCAAGTATTTTTTAAATTCTTTGTCTGAACAGAGCAGTTTTAGCAACTGCCTGATCAAGCAGTTTTTATTAAGGATTCTTTTTGCTTTCCTGTTTTTATTATTGTTGTTTAAATTTATCATTTTTATTCCTATGAAGTTTAGAGGGGAAAAATTGGAATATAAATTTTGTTATGGATGTTTTGGACAAAAATTCCTTGCATTGGATACTTGGATGCATTGGAGACCTGGATCATTAAGGGGAACTGAAGCTTGAAACAAATCAATTTTTCAAGATTGATTATTTCCAGTATTCAGTGATTACATAATATGTAATGTTAATGCCTTAATCTCTTTAATATGGATTCTGAAGTTAAATGGTAGATTCTGCAGTTGGCAGGTCTTGGCTGAACTGGCTGGTCTTGAAAACTAAACAATTGGATTTGGCCAATATTTGGCTCAGGACCACCAGGAAATTCCAGGGAAGATTGAGAAACCATATTGGAATATGTTAATGAAAAACTGGTTTCATAGTGTTGTAAAACAAACAAACCTAAATGGACACATCCATCAAGTCACCAAGAGTCAAAATATACTGTAACAGCTACCCTGGCTTTTTGCTTCCTAAAGGAGAGATAGAGAAACCCTGTTTTGTGGTTTTGGAAGATGATGCTATCTATGAAGAGGAGGAAGAGTTCAGACTGGTGCTTGGGACTCCAAAAAGTACTTCTTCATTTGGTGCTTCCATTGGGGAGCTAAAAGAAGTGCTGGTGAAGATTAAGGATGAAGAAGACAGTAGGTTGATGAGCTATTTGCTATTCTTTCAATTAGAGGACCTTTAGATTATTACTTCAAGGGACATCAAACTGGACAGCTACTGTATTATATACGTAAGAAAATTAGGATTCATTTATATATTGCTAATCTCTGCATTCAAGGACAGTGCTTCTAAGATATAAAATAAAGCCATGAAAAAGAAGTCAAATGGTCAATAACTTTTTGTTAGATAATAGTAAAATGGCTGTTTTCCTTCAAAATTACCCTAAACCACATCCTATAATAAAATAAATAGTTTAAAATAAAATACCCTTTGTTTTATTATCTTTTTCTGGATGAGCATTACATTTTAATGTGTATCAGATAAAGCATTAAATTGGAGTTTTTCAGAAATTAAATATAATTAAAAATATATTAAAAGTACTTAAAATATTAATCACATGTAATCAATAATTTCTCCCTTTTGTCACCTTAAAAATTACAATGCAGTGACATGTTTTGAGCAATTTCTGAAGGTAAGATATTATGAAATATGGGGTACAAGTTGTACACCTGTGTTTCAAAATGTAGAAATGTTTAGCCCCTCCTCTCCCACTGAATAAAATAAAGTAGTAAATGAAAAGACTGGAAGTAGTAAATGAAAAGACTGAAACTATAGCTGAATATAAATTGGTCATGTTTACAAATACTGTATGCCTGCTAGGAGGTTTTGTATTGCTTCCATCAAAAAAGTTTACCAACTTTCAATTGTTTAATAGCTTATTATGAAATCCTTCTTAATACTTACTTAAAATCTATTTTCTTTTCATGTGTACCCTCTGATACAGACTTTCCCTATGTAATTACAGAAAACAAACTGCTCAATGTTATAAATAATTTATTCTAACATTACCTCTGATGTACCACTGGACAGTCTAAGAAAGAGGCTCTTATAGTGCTTCAGAAAGTAACTATTCATAATCTAGCTATACCATTCAGGGATTTAATTCACACCAGCACAGAGTGATGGGAATCAGTTTTGATTTATATTCATCCAACTCTGGTATTGCATATGGTGACAAAATAGAATGTATTGAAATAAAATTAAACCCTGAGTGGAAACAATGGACTTTTCTAGGTGTTTTATAAAGTTTAATCTTAGAAAATTCTGTATCTTCCTTTTATGATTTAAACTGATCAATTGATTTTCATAATGACATTTTTCTTACCTTGTCATTAATTAAATTTAACACAAATCACATTGCTAAATAATAAATTGAGTGGATTAAGCAAAATGTTATTTTCTTGGTTAGGACTTCTTTTCTGTCTCAGACTATTCTTAAAAGCTGTACTGAAGTTTAGCCTTGATTGAAAGGAGAAGTTGACATTTTCTAGTTGTCTTGCAGAACCAATGATTACATTCTCTGAGGTGAAATACAACATTCAAGAACCACAGGAGCCTGGAGAAATTGCAGTTTTAAAGATCCCAATCTTGCGACTTGGAGATACTTCCAAAGTTTCTATTGTAAGAATACATACTAAAGATGGTTCAGCTACTTCTGGAGAAGATTATAATCCAATGTCTGAGGGTAAGAATCTGATCCTAAATTGAACATTGCAGCAAATGTTAATGCATAAGATTTTTTTTGTAAATCTGAAATTATATATGTTTTTAATGCTACAAAACATGAGCGCAAAAATCTGATGAACATTCATATTTCACAGATATGACCCAAATTGCTCATTTATTATTTTTCATTTTAGATATTGAATTTAAAGAAGGAGAAACAGAGCACTTTGTGGAGGTTGAAGTTTTGTATGATGGAGTGAGAGAAATGCGTGAAGCATTTACAGTGCATTTGAAACCTGATGAGAATATGGTGGCTGAGACACAGGTAAATACCCAAGTGGTTTCCCCTGTATTTTGCATTCAGTTGAGGATGATTCAGAAATGTCAAAAGCATTAACAACCTGAGCTTTTCAGAATTCATAGAAGTCTGCTGTTGGAGACCAAACTGGAAGCAAAGCCTTTGCTCAGACCTGCTTCTATTCTTTGGAAAGTTTAGAAGCATTAAATCCAACCATGCATTCAGCATTAAGAAAGATTTAATGCTTTGGCTTGATTTAAAATCTCTACCCTTAGACTGACCATTAGGCTGACAAAATAAGTGTTGATGCCATCCAATAATATCCAATTGCCTCTCAGTGAAAAATAGTTCTAGCATGCTTGAATTCTAGATCTGAATCTATATCTTTCTAGCAAATATGGATTGATCCCTCTGAAGATGTATCAAGATGAATTAGGCATAGGTGTTTCTTTTATCAAATAAGATGGAAAGCAGTTTCCTTTTTGATATGTTTTTAGAGGCATGGAATGGTTCTATTGATTCTCTTTGTCCAGTGAATAATTTTTTCCTCTAACAAAAATAAACCTTTAGATTCATCCTTCAGAATGAATAATAGTGGCATAAGACAAGTCTTATGACCCTACATCATAAATCAGGTTTAAGATATCGTGAAAAGGAATAAATTGATAATTGTTTCATATATTTTAGTTCTTGGTTATTATATTTTATTATGAGAAAGTCTTCATGATAGTTTGTACTTCAGTGTCAAAATTAATCGATTTTGAATGGTATGCTCCTTGAATTTATATCTTCATATTCTTCATTCTGTTATTTCTGGATAGATTAATTTTAACATTTAATATATTATGTATAATGTAGCTGGTTACAGAAGCTTTACATTTAGAGATAGAAACTGTTTATGTTTTTTCCATTCAGATGAATAAAGCCATTATATACATTGAAGAAATGGATAGCATGGCAGATGTGACTTTCCCAGCTGTGCCACAAATTGTATCACTTCTGTTGTATGATGACACTGCCAAAAGCAAAATAAATCCCCACCCTCCCAATGGATATCCTATTGTGTGTGTAACGGTATGATCCATCTTACATTACAAGTTATAATGTCTTAATTTTTCTACTTCTAGATGGAAAAAATATCTGGAATTAATCTTTTAAGCTTCTGGAAGGTTCCATTTTATCAGTTCATACTGTCATTTACTTGATTATCAGTATCTATTTAAAGACATAGAAAGTTTAATGTGGAGGACATTAGTTATAGTTTTTGTTTCATGTCCTCTCAAAATTTTGCTTATGGAAAAAAATCATGTTAATAACAATTTCACAGAAAAGAGACTGATATGAAGGAATAGGAAGGTCTGCTTAATATTACATTTGCATTCTCCATAGAATTAAAACTTCATCTAAATCTTCTTGCAACTTCCTAGATAATCTACTGATACTTCATTTCTTACTTTCCCCTGATTTTCTAATAGATATGATATCAATATCTTTTTTTCATTCAAGCTTTAATAAACTGAAGTCTCCACAGCATTTGGCTTTTACATTTAAATGCCAGAGTCAGTAATACTTAATTCTCAACAAGGATGAACAGATTTATGAAGTGATAACAAGAATAAGGAATTTGCTAAATACTCTAGTGCAGGGGTGTCAAACTCTATTTCATTGAGGACCGTATCATGGTTGTGTTTGACCTTGGCCAGGGTGTGTGTGGGTGGCCAGGGGTGTGACTATGGTGGGCATGGCCATGGGACTCATGTTGGGGGGGGCACCTATTGTGTCAAGTGCTAAGGCAGGATTTCCCTGAGATCCTCCCTCACTCTCATAATCTCCCTCCTTCCTTCCTTCCTTCCTTCCTTCCTTCCTTCCTTCCTTCCTTCCTTCCTTCCTTCCTTCCTTCCTTCCTTCCTAATTTCTTCTTCCTTCCCCTCTTTCCTTATTTTTCCTTCCTTGCTCTCTTCTCATCTTTTCTTCTTTTTCTTTGTCTTTCCTCTTTCCCTTTCTCCTTTCCTGTCCCTTCTTGCATGCTCAAATGTTTTGCTTTGATAGCCCTGTCAGCCAAAACTTTTCCTTCCACACTGGATCCTGCATTCAGCAAGTCAAACAGCAATCCATTTTTTGTCATGATATCAATAGAAGGGAGAGTCATTTATGGCACTTTATGGGCACTTGGCCTTTTTAGGAGGTTTGTTTTTGCTTTGAGAAGTTTGGATGGATTTTGAGAAGGTCTACATTGCACTGAATTTCAAGAGCAAAGTAAAGTTGAATTGGCAGTGGAGGACGGGCAAAGAGGTGAACTGACAGCCTTCCAATGACACAGAGCCTAGAGGGATTTTGGTGGACTTTGAGGCATTTTCATTGGTATCAGGGAGTGGATCCCTGATCATGTGATCTGTTGAAGGCTGGAATAGCATTGCTCTGGAACATCAGATTGCTATGAACCACAAGCCAGTGGTGGGTTGCCCCCGGTTCGGACCAGTTCTGTAGAATTGGTAGTAAAACAAGCAGGAGGCTCCACCCACCGACCCCGACGTCATCAGAATGCTTCTGTGCATGCGCAGAAGAGCACGCATGCGAGCGAAGCTAGCACATGCGCGCGGCCCCACTGAGAACCGGTAGTAAAAGTAAGTAGAACCCACTCCTGCCACAAGCCTTGTAGATTTTCTTTCTAAATGGGTTTTTCTCCAGATTTTGGGATAGAATTAGTGATGTGGCCACTTGGTATTTATTATTGGCTGTTACATAATGCCATTTTTTGTTTACAGTATTTGGTCTGGTTTTTTAAGTACTATATTGTACTGTCTTACTTGAAGGTACCCCAAGGTCAATGTTGAGTTAGGGGAGCAACCTTATCAATGGAAATTATAAATACAGAGTCACAAATTCTATCTACTTTCTCCTCATCCTTCCTAGCCTTCCTTTCTTATAGCTCCTAGCTCTCCCTTTCATAAGGCAGCTTTTCTCCCTCACTTCAACCTGCAAAGTTGTGCTAAAAAACCTTTAAAAAGCCTCAGGACAGTAAAGGAGTTTAACTAAGGGCCATTTCCTCCACACACAGGGTGTTTTGTGCAACTTCCTTTCTAATAGCCATTTTTCTTCCCAGGGGCACACTACACAGCAAAATTCAAAGAAGTGTGATTTTCAAAGGACACCTGCATTTTAATTGGCTCAAAAATGCTCACAGATAAGAACTCAGTGCATTCCCCCGTCCCCTCCCCCAGCTCACCTAAACCTCTTCTGCTCTGCTTTCATCAGCCGTAGAGGAGGGTGGGTTTGGTGGCAACCCTCTCCATTGCAGTTTGGACACTTCCAAGAACCCTTAAATGGGGGGAAGGACATGTTGGCTGCCTCCCCTTGGTGTGCGACTTCTCCAGAAATTCCCCCTCCTTGCCCCCTTTCCTTGGCCCCTCTTGGCCCAGAGCAGCCATTTAGCTTGGCACAGAAAGCTGGGGGCTACTGGCAAGGTCGGATGCATCTATTATTTTTAATGATGCGCAGCTGCGGCGCTGGAGGATGAGGACGGCCTCCTGCAGCACTCTGCCAGCCAAAATGGGGCATGGAGGAGGCTACTTCCTGCCCCCTCCCACCCCAACAGCCCCAGCAATGGGAAGGGCAGGAAGAAGTCTCGCTGGAGGATGAGTGTTGAGGGAGGGGGCAGAGTGTGCAGGGGCTGCAGCATGGCGGTGATTGGCTGGGCTGTCTCAACACAACCCCACAATCTGTCTTTGTCCGTTTCCACCGCAACTGGGATTGAGCAGGCAGCTGCGCATCTGGCAGGCTGTGTGGCTGCCCGGGCATCTGGCAGGCCTGATCACATGCCTTCACATGCTGCTTGGACCATCAGCCCAGTGGTCATGGGGTTTGGACCCACCTGTGCTGCGCAGGCTGCAGACTCCCAGCTGCCTCTTGGGCATGGGAGCTCCCTGCCTTTCCCGTTTGCCGGGGCCTTTGCAAGTGGGGCGGCAGGCATAAGACTCATCTTGCATGTGCAGCGCAGTTAGAAGATTAAGTTGGATGGCTCCACTCCTGCCCTGCCACCTGCCTCCCTTTGCATCGTGGCAGCAGCACTGGCAGCAGGTGAAGGTAGATGCATGGGGTGGAGGCACGCAATCCAGCTAGCCAGATGCGCCAGATGACTGCCCAGCTGTGGGTGGCCACGGGCAAGCAAAGACACTGCGAGACAGAGCATGCAATTGGGTGGGCAGCCGCCCAGCACTTTCTACGGGCCAGATAGCATGCCTCCTCCCCTGTGCCTCTGCCTGCTGCTTAGGGCCAGCCTGGCGGTCATAGCATGCCAAACACACCTGTGCTGCACATGCTGCAGAGTCTCGGCTGGCGGGCTGCTGCTGGACACCGTTGGCTCCCGCATACTCACAGTCTCCTGTGCGCTCTTCGTGGGACGTCCGGCAGGGATGGCCAGTCCCTTACTGTTTCCAGAGCAGCCTTGTGGGCCAAATCTCATTCCTACCCTCAAACAAAGCTGGTGCATGTGAGCAAGCAGCGAACCTGGGCCATGGACAGTTGTTTCCTGCATCCAGCCTTAGATCCGACCCACAGGGCTGCCCTACCATCTCGGCCCTGCCCCCTGTACTCACACCCCACAGCGGCCTCGCGGATCTAAGCCTGGCTGCTTTCCAGCCTGGATGGTTGCCAGCAGGTAAAAATGCACCCGGTTGGCCTGGGCCAGGCCAAGGCACCGCCGGCCAGTCCTTCCCTGCTTCCAGGGCAGCTCCACAGGCCGGATCTAACCACCTCATGGGCCAGATCCGGCCTGCAGGCCTTGAGTTTGACACCCCTGCACTAGTGAGACCAAAAGAGAGGAAAATCTTATTATGTCATCTTAATTAAGCATTTTCATGGCAAAGATTTAAACATAACTAAATGGATATATTGTATGCATCTTGTCATTTAGGCATGCAACCCCAAATACTCAGATTATGACAAGACTGGATCTATTTGTGCTGCTGAAAACATCAATGACACAGTGACCTTGTATCGTTGGCTTGTCAGTGCCCCAAGCGGCATGGATGGTGTGACCAGCCCGATGCGTGAAGTGGATGCCAATACTTTCTTCACTAACACCAAGTCAATTGCTTTAGACTCCATCTATTTCCAAGCTGGCTCCAGGGTTCAGTGTGCAGCACGTGCTGTCAAGGCCAATGGAGATGTGGGCTTAGAACTGTTGAGTCCCATCCATGTAATAAATAGACAAAAAGGTAAGTTTAATAAACCATTAAGTGATTCTGAACACTTTTATTCAGATAGAACATTCTTTCCGAGAAATGTTTGTTTTAGTAATGAAAAAGATGGAACAATTAGAAGAGCAATTATTAACTTAATAGCAAAGGGAGTTAGATATGACATTTGCACTTCAATACATTTATTGTAGTAAGTATAATTTTTTTAAAAAAAATAATAATTTGTAATTAATACCTTTAAGAACCTGTGTAACTTAGTCAAGTGAAAAATAGAGATAGTAGCTTTATGACTAGGGTTGTTCCTCTGCATTTATGTCATTTGAAAACAAGCTTATAACATTTTTGTTTCCATACATGTAAAGAAAACATAAAGTTGGCTTGCATAGTATCCAAAGGATCTGTGTTGCTTTAAGTCTGCATGTAATCTGATACTTCCTACAATTTGCCTGTGAGGAAAACAATTGTGAAAGGATTTCTAAATCTGTCATTTACATGTATTTGTGATATGTGTGTTGTAGATGTGAGCTGCCTGCTATTAGGGTTATGTATCATGCCTTAAATTGGAAAATTGAGGATCAAACTATACATTTCTTAAATTTTAGAGAACATTATTTCTGTCTGATTTTATATAATATATATATATACACACACATACACAGAATAATACTGTATATAATACAGTATATACTATATATACTATATGTACACACACATAATACGCGCGCACACATATGTGCGAACACATACACACACACACACACACACACAACACAAGAGCTTCAGTGATTATGTTAGTAACTTCATTAGTAATTTCACTTGGAGAAAACATTTAGACTTACTGAATTTCATATCAGGCATTTATCAGCATTTACTATTAAATAAAATTATATTAAGATAATACAGGTAGTCCTTGACTTACAACATTTCATTTAGTGACTGTTAGAAGTTACAGTGTCACTGAAAAAAGTGACTTATGACCATTTTTCACATTTAAAGCATTCCATGGTCATGTGATCAAAATTTGAGTACTGGCAACTGGCTCATATTTATGGCAATTGCAGTGTCTCAGGTTCATGTGATCAGCTTTTGTGACCTTCTGATGAGCAAAGTCAATTGGGAAGCCAGATTCACTTTACAACCGTATTACTGACTTAACAACTGCAATGATTCACTTAACAACTGTGGCGAGAAAGGTTGTAAAATGAGGCAAAATTCACTTAACAACTGCTTGCTTATCTGGAAATTTTGGGCTCAATTGTGGTCATAAGACAAAAACTTCCTGTACTTATTTTTCATAATTGTGTAAGTTACCCAGAGTCACATTAATGAGAGGTGTGGCTTGATTTAAATTGATTAATCAATAAATGGTGCTGTTTTCCCATAGGTCTGTGCCAACCACGTATTCTGGGTACAATTGGAGCAGAGCCTTTCTCAGCCAAAATTCATTACATAGGTCCTGATGATCCTGACTATCCAAACCTGATCAAGTTTTCGGTTACCATGCCTCATATAGATGGTAAGTACCAGACATATGTGCCACTAAAACCAGAACAACTGAAATGGTGCTGCACAATTGTCATCAGATTTTTGAAACAATGATTCAAAGACAATTTTTAATACTTATCCTCATCCTTGTTCATGCTTAACGTGCTTAACAAAGAAAGAATGTTATATTTATTCTTAAATATAAGAAACAGAAAATCTATTAGATTTAGTGGTGAAATGGAGAAAACTTGGAATAAGCAGAGTGGTTTTGGGAGTTGGACCATGAACTCCTAGAATCAATTCATGGACTTAAAAATTCTTTATTTTTTATTCTAGATAATGTTTCACCAAATGCTTAGATTTGAGGATTCAAATCTAATATGCATATATCTGCATATACACACAAACACAGACTTGTATATGAATGTTTAAATTAAAAAAACAACAATATGAAGTTTCACAACCATACATTGGAATAATGCAGTAAAAATGTCAATAAAGGTTATCTTATCTTATATGGGAAATAACTATTACTTCAGTGTACTTTAGTTCCATAAAACATTATATTTCACCTACAAAAGATTAAGATGTCCTTTGGCAACTAACTACAAACGTTTTTGTTAACCCTGCTTTGAAATTTGAATTACTGTTGTAAAACTTATCTGAATCTTACATATGCTCTGAATGTAACATTGTTAATGTAATGTAATCACCCAGCTATTTTTATTATTAGTGCATAAAATATCTAATAGGCAATTTCTGATTTCAGGAATGTTGCCAGTAATCTCAACCAGACCTTTGTCCAATTTTGAGTTGACACTGAGCCCGGATGGCACTCGTGTAGGCAATCACAAATGCTCCAATCTCTTGGATTATAATGAAATTGAAACAAAACATGGCTTCATCACAGATGATATCAAGAATCCAGAAGTGATTGGAGAAACTTCACCCTACCAATACAGCAGTAGCATACGATCAGCTAAAACTTTACGCTTCTACCGTAATCTCAATCTGGAGGCCTGCCTGTGGGAATTTATCAGTTATTATGATATGTCAGAACTGGTAACTGACTGCAGCGGCTCCATTGGGACAGATGGTCAGGTAGGCTCCATTGAAGAAAAGCAAATCTTTATTAATGCAAGGATTTTGCTTAATTGCATACACTGCAAGTCATAGTATGAAAAACCAGAACAGATTATTCCTTCATTTAAATCAATAATATACAGAATCAAAATATACAGTGTTACCTCAGTACTCCACTGCTTCAAAAGTCGTTGAATTTGGTTCTCAATGCCAATATTTTGACATGAAAATATTGTCCTAGTACTTATCTTTTGTTTGGTACTTGATTTGCTGCAATAGGAAGAGGAGGCACCTGTGGAGAACAGATAGGAAGTCAGCCATGCCAAGAATGTCACTGCAAAAGGAAGTGGGGACAGCGTCACTTCCAGAGGAAGTGGAGGCCGTTCCCTTCAGAGAGGAAGTTGGCCATGCTGGGAAGGCTGCTGTCATAAGAAAAGGGGCAAACAGAAAGTTCTTCCAAGCCAAAACAAAGGGTCATGTGATAAATCACATGGTTTGTTTGGTACTCGTCATTTTTAATATTTGTTTTATCTCCCAGAACCAATTAACAAGTAATAAGGTTCCATTGTGTATTCTGATTCAATCTGTCTACAGCAAAGAGCCTTGATAGTACAGTGGTCTATGCACCCTGTTATTAACACAGCTGCCTGCAATTTCTGCTGGTTCGAATCTCTCCAAGGCTCAAGGTTGACTCAGCCTTCCATCCTTTCTAAGGTAGGTGAAATGAGGACCCAGTTTGTGGGGGCAATAAGCTGACTTTGTATAAATATACAAAAGGATGAAGGCTATTGCTGAGCACATTGTAAGCCGCCCTGAGTCTCCGGAGAAGGGCGGCATATAAATCAAATTTAAAAAAAAAAAAAGCTTTCATAGCACCCTTTTCCTAACCCCTTTTGAGGAAATTCCTATCCATTAGGAGTATTGCTGCTATTCAGGAAAGGAGATTTGGGGCAGATGGACCAATAATGTAGTTGAACACAAAAACTTATTACGGTTTGTTGAAGATCCCCTTATTTTCTGATTCACATATAAACAAAGTAATAAAGTTAGTTTATCCAACACAATGGCAGAATCTATGCATTGTGTAAAACAAAGCCAAGGAACAGTTTTGTGCTTAATGCCCATAACAGTTCAGTTCAATTAGAAAATAAACCTAGATGGCATAACAAAGGCTTTGCTGATAGCACATTAAAAAGGATGCTCTTACAAGCAAATTAGTTATTTGGAGTTTCAAACCAATTGCCACTTTTTAAGTGATATAATGAATATTGAATGAATATATAATGTATAATCAAAACAGAGTGAATATAGAAAGGAGAAATGTGTCTATGTAGCTAGGATTGGTGGAAAAATTGGCAGACAGCTTAATATCTAACCAGAGTATAACAGTATGAAAATAAAATGATGGAGACCAGACCTCCTAGACACCATTAATTTAAAAACCATAGAAATTCCATACATAGACAAAGAAAAAACTACTGTCATCCACATGATTCTTTTATGTATTAACTCTCAAAGACTGGACATACTCAGTGTGAGGATAAGTCAAATGATTGCATGAGTTTACTGACAAAGATAATACAGGCATTAATTCATGAATTAGGGCAACTTAAAGGCAGCCAAATAAGATCTTATATATTTCAGAGTGTGCCTGATGAGGCAATAATGTACTAATATGCACCAAATGGAGACACCATATAAAGGAGAAAAAAAATCTGTTTTAGTTAATTCATGGTGGCAGAACTCATTTGAGCTTAAAACCTGATAATATCAATTTATTACTGATGGGTGACATCCAACTTAGTGAGACGAAATAACATTGCCTCTTGCTTTAAAATAGAGCAGTGTTTTTCCAAATGTCTGGGTAGAGTTAATTGAAGGAAGGGCAAAATTTAGTGGTGATAAAAAGTAGAGGACTACGTTCACAGTACAATTAATTTTATTAAAAAATCCAAAACATGGTGCTGTAATTTAATACATAATGTTAAATGTTTAGTGTGAAACTAAAAAGGAGGCATCCACAATCCCTGACTGTGCCAGGGATTTTTTTCCAATTATCACATCCTTTTCAAGGACTTGAAACAGGCGTTTTTTTTCAGGCATTTTTTATTACAGATATTAAAGATATTGTCCCAGGATGTAAACTGTTCTAAGTAAAGCTGCCTTTTGCAGAAGGCAGGGAGCAGTGACTTAAGACCATGCTTCAGAAAACGGATAGGACTAGGACAAAGAACTAACACTAATTTGCTGTACTTTCATTTACTTTTAAATTCATTTAATTAAACCCTATTCTGCCTTAATTTTAAAACCATAAATTCATGGTTTGGGACAAATCAAATAGTTTCAATTAGCCCTAATTCAACTGTTATGGGAAACAGTGCCTTCATTAAGGATAGATGCTAGCTAGCATAGACATTTCTGCCAGCCCAGATATTCTATTCAATTCAAACAGAAAAGAACCAGCCATCCCCTTCATAGTTAGGATTGATATTTGAGATGAATTACCTGAAAATCCATTCAGTACTTCACATGTATATTTTAGATCTTGACATTGGCCATATAAAAATATATTTAAAATGTGTCTCTTCCAGTTGTCTTAAAGACAGTATATGTATATTTTAAGGCAGCTAGGATTCTTGAAACCTGGCAGAGATGATGATGATGATGATGATGATGATGATAGCAATAGCACTTAGACGTATATACCGCTTCACAGTGCTTTACAGTCCTCTCTAAGAGGTTTAGAGAGTCAGCATATTGCCCCCAACAATTTGTCTCCTCATTTTACTGACTTAAGAAGGATGAATAGTTGAGTCAGCCTTGAGATGCTGAGAATAGAACTGCTGATCTGCTGGCAGCCGGCAGTCAGCAGAAGTAACCTGCAGTACTGCATTCTAACCACTGCGCCACCATGGCTCATGATGATGATGTCTATCCAGGTGCATGTGGGAAGGAAGTAAACTGGTATCTCATTAGTTAATGAGAGATCCTGTTTGTAGTTCTGACCTGAATTATAAAGCAACATAGAGCTATAGTCCTAGCTAGGGTAGAAAAAGAAAGAATGATGGTAAAGAGAGCCAGATTGGAGTTTAGCTAAATGAAAGCCAAAGGGAGCATGTCAAAGACAGAAGGTAGGAAGCTGACATCTTCATATAATTTAAACCTGTAAAAATGAGATAGTGTTTATATGTATACATGTAGCTGTAAACACTCATATATTGCATATCAGGCTTCCCAGAGAGGCCACAAAGACATTAAAGTTAGGAACATGTACGTACATGCCTTCCACCTGTTATATGTAGCAAATGCTACAAGACATGAGTAGCAGATAAATATATACTTTGTGGTGAAATTTCTTATTAATTGCTAATATAGAAACTGACTTACTTACTTGACATGAAGTAAAATTTCAACCATACAGAATTAGTCATAGATCTTATTTATGGGAAAACTGGAAGCCACATTAGATGGGATGGGACTACATCAGAAAAGTAAATGGAACTATTTTGTAACATACACATTCAATTATGTACTATATGTTTAAATTATAGCCCTGTAGTTTAAACAGGCAGGAAGAAAGCATGTTTGCATGCAAATAAAAGGGAGAATTTGACTTGCGTGTCGTCTCCTAATCAAAGTTATAGTATTATAAGCTATTACTGATGGGTGGTTACATTCAGTTTTGTTTTGGGTTTTAAAAATATTCTCAACTGCTTGAAATCCTGAAGATTATTTTGAGTATTAGGTGCCAGTTATTCTTTTTATCTGGAGTTTTATTTACTTCTTAGATTACAGGCTTAGATTAGTTCACTTCTTATTCTTCATCTGATTTGCTATCAGTTTTAAAATCAGGAGAGGAAATTGGTGATGATGATGCTTATCTTTAATCATCAAAAGCTATACTTTTGAATATGAACAAGTTCACTTTTGAAAAGTTGGGCTGCAATGCACCGGAGGTAAGAGATGAATGTGAGATTTTTAGTATCAACTTAATCCCATAATAGGACCTTGATTGTAATCTTAGATTGCCACACACTCTGGGATGACTGTCAAGTTGATTTTAGAGTAGGTTTTGTTCTTTGCCAGGGTTGCATTTCAGAAGCCAGGAAGAGGGCTGCCTGCTTAGGTTTTGGCCTACATTTCATTCTCTCGCACTTTACCATAAGCTGTAAATTCATTTTTAAAGCATCAAGATTTCTAAATGCAACAAGAAATGTTTGTTCTGGAGCCAACACATATCAGAAAATAAATAAACAAGGGACCGAAAGGAAGTTATGATGATGTGATTTTATACTGTGTTCAGAAGAGCTGTGATTTTAACTCCTGAAGATCCAGTATGAACATAGGGTGATCTAATGCTGTGCTATTTTCCAGGTGTTGAATCTGGTTCAATCGTATGTCACTCTTCGAGTGCCCCTCTATGTATCTTATGTCTTCCATTCACCTGCAGCAGTTGGGGGCTGGCAACATTTTGACCTGCAATCTGAGTTGAGGCTCACTTTTGTGTATGATACTGCCATTCTATGGAAAGATGGCATTGGAAGTCCACCAGAAGCAGAACTGCAAGGTAAATTATAAATATTTCCTTTTTTTTCTTTCTTTCCCAGAACCTTTTTAACCTTAAGAGATTAGTCTGGAAAACTGGCTACTACAGGATATGAAAACTCCGCCTCTTAGACACAAATTAGCCATTTGTGGCTATGGAACTTCACAAGAAAAAAATAGCTGGTTTTTAGGCTAGATTGCGGTAAGCAACTTTATCCAGCCATTTGCAGAGTGATGGTTGCTTCAAAGCCAAGTTATCTTTTAAAACGAAATTTGAATTATTTATGTTAATCTATTTTCATTTTTATTGCTTTATTTTATCATAGCAATGAATTCGGGTCCTTACTCCACATAATGCTGACTAAGATTTGTGGTACTTGCAATCCAACACATTTGAATGATACCAAACAACTAGTCCTTGTATGAACATTTCTAAAATAATATAATGGCTGCTTACATCTAGGGTCTCTTTACCCAACCAGTATGCAAATCAATGATGAAGGGCGATTGGTGGTCCATTTCAGGACTGAAATTCGATTCAGGGGACAGTTCATAATATCCCATCCAGGTAAGGCCAGGATTTTGTATGTTTTCTGAGTATCTTTTCTGAACTAAAAATCGCTTTGTGGGTCTATGACAACAGACTTTGGGATTTAATGTGAATCTCATAAACAGTAAGAACAGAACAGAACAGAACAGAACAGAACAGAACAGAACAATAGAATAGAATAGAATTCTTTATTGGCCAAGTGTGATTGGACACACAAGGAATTTGTCTTGGTGCATATGCTCTCAGTGTACATAAAAGAAAAGATACGTTCATCGAAAATCAAGAAGAATTTAGGAGAAATCCTTCCATACTTCCACCTCTCACAATACTAGACAACACAGTATCAAGAGTAGAGACCTTCAAATTTCTTGGTTCTACCATATCGCAAGATCTAAAATGGACAGCTAACATCAAAAACGTCATCAAAAAAGCACAACAAAGAATGTTCTTTCTGTGACAACTCAGAACACTAAACTGCCCAAGGAACTTATGGTTTGAACTGGGTTTTATCATCTATTCATGAAAAGTTTTGGATTTCCTAATGAGAAGAGAGGGGCACATTTTTGTCAATTTCCTTCTGTCTTCAAAACACACAGCAAGGAATTCCTGATTCTACACTACCCACTTGTCCATCTCCCTCTATCCTGATTCTTTGGTTTCCTAGATTGGAATAGAAAATATAGTTCCATTCCACAGTGTGTGGGATAACGTCAATGAACTTCATCGTAAAATGGGTCTTTCACTTTTGCAGGTACTTCTCTGACTTCTATGGTGATGTCATCTGACCATCCTGGCCTTACATTCACATTGAACCTTTCTCAAAGTGAGCACACCTTCAATCAACCAATGCAGCAATGGAAGTTTCTTTCCGATTTTGCTGTGAGTTCTAACATTAATATTTTGTGGTAGCTTTTATTGTTTTTTAAAAAAGCCAACATTAAACTCATTTACACTTGCAAGTATGTGATGCTGAGATCTAGATTAGGTTCATACTAACTTACTTTTTAAAATAAATTTCAGTGTGCTATAAATAATCACAGGTAAGTGAACCATGGTTTAATGTATGGCTTGAAATTAGACTTTGTATGGCTTAGGAGCAGATATTTTTACATGCATATTCAGTAAATACAAGCATATGAGTCAGTTTTGTGTCTTAAGACTATGGTACACATGTACACATCTTTGCTATAGTGTTAGTTCTGTAGAGTGTTACACCAAGTTTCCCCGAAAATAAGACCCTGTCTTATATTTTTTTGAACCCTGAAACAAGCACTTGGTCTCATTTTCAGGGACGTCTTATTATTTTTGGGCGCGTGGAGCAAGATGGGGCTCCTCTTGCCATCTTACCTGATTTCCTAGGTTTGCGTTTAAATATTTTCGGGGAGAGGCTTATTTTAGTGCATGCGTTCAAAAGCCCGATTGGGCTTATTATCAGGGGATCTCTTATTTTCAGGGAAACAGGGTATTAGGTTAACGTTTGTCTGAAAAGAAAAGCATGTTATGGGTATATCAGAATCAGTTAGGCATCTAATCATACAGATTTTGTTCATGCCATGGATTCAGAATTCCAATGATTTTGTGTTAGTATAGTAAAAATAATTTTTAAAAAGCCATATGCCAAATATTCCAATGATACACATAACCATTATTTATTTTCTTGTTTATAAATAAAATTTATATGACCATTCATCTCATAGGAGGTGATTGGGTTGATATACAACAATTAAATTAATGAAATATATTAAAATAATATTTATTAAAAATATAAAACAGTCATAATAAAATATATAAATCAGTCTCCTTTGCGTCTGGATCTTAGTTCTTTTATCAGTGTCCTGCAAATTGCTTCTGGGCTTTCTGCCATCGTCCATCCTTAAATAGGCTAAGGGAGTGGCCAATTAGCCCCAAGCCTTACTCTCAAGGAGACCTCCTCCTGAGGAGCCACTCCTGCCTTTTGGAAGCTCTGTGCGCCCGTGCATCGAGAAGAGGCTCCTCCTCTTCTTCCTCTTCACCCATGGAAGCTTCTGGAGGTTCTAAAGGCCCTGGCTGAATCCCCGCCTCTGGCACCACATCTTCTCCAGCCTCCTCATTGTCCGACTCGAGTGCCAGCTGCACAGGCTGCTGGCGCAGCACCACATCATCCTCCTCACTATCGGAATCAGCTACTAGCTGCACAGGCCGCTGACAGGCCACAACAGCAGTTCACAGATGTGAAGTACATATAATTGCCTGCGCTGCCACATTCTGCACCAATTGAAATTTCAAGATACCTTTCAAAGGTTTCTTATTCTTAGTTGATTTGTATCAGTTAATACAGGTAGTCCTAGACTTACAACAGTTCATTTAGTGACCGTTCAAAATTACAACGGCACTGAAAAAAGTGATTTATGACTGTTTTTCACATCCCCATGGTCATTTGATCAAAATTCAGATGCTTGGCAAGTGGTTCATCTTTATGATGGCTGGAACGTCCCGGGGGGTCATTCCAGATCAGCTTTTGTGACCTTCTGACCAGCAAAGTCAATGGGGAATCCGGATTCACTAACAACCATGTTATTGACTTAACAAACCCAATATTTCATTTAACAATGGTGGCAAAAAAAAGGTCATAAAATGGGGCAAACTCACTTAACAAATGTTTCATTTAGTAACATAGATTTTGGGCTCAATTGTGGTTGAAACTCAAGGACTGCCTGTATTTTAGTTTCTGTGTCTTTTTCCAGGTACGTGACTATTCTGGCACTTACACTGTGAAACTTATCCCCTGTGTTGCCACACCCAGCCAAGAATATACCCAGCCTGTCATCTGCGGCCCACGGGAGCCAATCACTTTTGATCTGGATATCAGGTTCCAGCAGGTAAAGTATTTCAGGACTTTAATGTTCTCAGCTAATGAAGCATTTTGATACATTTCTCTGAAATATCACTTGATAATTACATTGGCTTAATTGCAGTATCAGGGCCAAAAATCTGAATTAGTTTTACATGTTTGTTATAAATTGACTTAGAAAACTGAGCCCTAAATATTTAAAATTCTAACAACACATTTTCTCTTTTGCACTCTCTCCAAATCAGAATTTGGTCATTTTTTATTGGTTTTTCTCAACTTGAGGTGGCATTAGGGCTAAACTTTTAGAATTCTGACAATTAGAATTGCAAAAAAAATGTCAAATTAGAGCAGTGTGCCCTAGAGCTTATGTTGCCTTTAAGGTAGAGATTATAGCACTAAACACTGAGTATATCTATAAATGTCTCTGATTTAGGACTCACAGTTGAACATAACAGCCATATATTAAACTTTTTCCTCTCTTCTAGTAACATTTCATCATATAAATGTTGTCTCACAGTTGCATGTCTCTAGGATGTCATGCAATTTTTTCTGTATAATGGATTATAATGGATTCTGCCTTATAAGAGATTATTAGAAGTCACTTTAATGACTTCTAATTGTAGAAGTCATTAAAGGAGAATTGTATTAGAACATCCTTCTATAACTATGCTGTATCAGTTGTTTTGAGACTATGCCTTCCAATAAAAGAATTGTACGTCCAACGGATCTGGATGCCATTACGTTAGGTAAAACTGCATTACAGGAATTGTTTTCAGCAGGATTGAATATTGCCAGACATCACTTTATTTTAAGTTGGGTTTGGGCTTTTTTGACTGGAGCACCTACTTAAAATTGCAGTTTCTTTCTATGAAAAAATAATATTTATTTATTCATTCAAGCAATCAACTTGGATACTGCCCGATTCCAACCAACTCTACGATATTTCCTCTAGGTGGTTGTTTGATCAAGTCAGCCTACATTTACAGATTTTATTCTTGAAAGGCTGTGAGAAGGAATTCAAGGTTGCACATTTATGTAGAAGAACAATGGCACTATACAAAGCACCTAGTTCTTGAAGCAGTGATGAAATCTAATTGTTTTTACTACTGATTCTGTGGACGTGGTGTGGCTTGGTGGGCGTGGTGTGGCTTGGTGGGCGTGGCAGGGGAAGGATATTGCAAAATCCCCATTCCCACCCCACTCTAGGGCCAGACAGAGGTGGTATTTGCCGGTTCTCCGAACTACGCAAAATTTCCACTACCGGTTCTCTAAACTACTCAAAATTTTTGCTACTGGTTCTCCACAACCTGCTGGATTTCACCCCTGTATTGAAGCAATTATTTATAAATACAAATCATGGACCACATTCAACTCTTTAGTTTTACTCTCTTGAACGCTCTTGAGTATTTCTAATAATCTTGAGAATAAACTGCAATTAAATTATCGCTAGATTTTTGCTAGAAAGACTATTGAAATTACTTCCCTAAATAGTCTTTGTTTTATACAGGTCAGTGACCCAGTAGCAGCTGAATTTAATCTCAATACTCAAATGTTTCTGCTATCCAAGAAGGATCTGTGGCTGTCTGATGGCTCTCTGGGATTTGGAGAAGAAACTGATGTCTCATTCACAGAGGGTAAAGTCTGCTTTAACATACAGCGGAGTAGACCAATGAACCATTCTGGCCACCCTTGTCAAATCCCTTTTGTTAACTGCAATGTGTTCATTGACATGGGATAATGCTCTGAGGAACCCTGTCCTCTTATATTACAATATTTGCTATTGAGAGAGAAGGGGATTTTTGTCCCCTTGTACTATGAATTAAAAAGCATATTTAAAATTACAGTGGTGCAGATGAACAATCATCTTTGTATGAAATGCTTCTTTCTAAAAATTAAAATGCATTGTTTAATGTGACTCTGCAAAAAAAATTTCCTTAGGAAGCAGAATTCCTGTTTTTATATTGACTAATACCTTACTCAAATTGTAAGTGGGATGACCAAAAGATATATTAAATCACTGGTGTAACATCATATAAATTATCTTTACTTGTGTCCTGAATAAAGGCCGACCCCTGGTGAAGAAAAATAGAATTGCACGAATTTTCGCTAGAGCAAGTGAAATCTGAACTAAGCATCTAGGAGCAATATAAAGCATTTATCTTAATAGCTCAAAGTAAGGGCAGTATTTATATAGAATTATGAAATAATACTAGCCAACCATTGTTGAGGGATGAATAAACAGAATTCTTAAAACATGCCAGGATAAAAAATATTTTAAACATATATAAAATAAATCTAGTTTATCCAGAATGTCATACCTTTTCTTCTTTCAGTGCGGTGTAATGTGCGGTGATGCATGGAAAATAATTTCCTATGCTGGCTTCCTGGGCCTAGCATGTCTTCTCAAAGTGATGGCATGCTGTGTTGATGTTATGAATATATGCCAAACATATATTGTTCATGAATATTGTTATTCATAATGTCAGACCTTTGTAGTTTAAATGTAAATTGTGACTTACATTATTTCATGTGTACAGTTATACATTTATTTAATTTATATTGTAGGGTTTTTAAACTTAAATTTTAGCATTAGTAATGTTTAATTATTGTGTTATAGATTGTATTGATTAACAATTTGTTAGCTACCCAGACAACATGATTACATCAGAAAATACAGGATTTGGATTTACTGTATATACAGTACTGGGCAAAATTGCGGAAACCTTTTGGGAAAAGTATTTTCTAAAACTAGCTAATAACACCAATTTTTTTTGGGAGTAGCACTATAAAATAATATATCGATGGAAAGGTAATTTAATCAAGAATGTAATGCAATAACGCTTGTGAAGGATTTGCTATTAGAATAGCAGTTACAGTATAAAGAAGAAAAGTGAAACACATAGAAAAAACGAGATATACAAAAATCACCATAGAAAAAACAAGATATACAAAAATTATCATGTCAGTTAATATTTAGTTGAGTAACCTTTAGCATGAATTACGGCCTTACGTCTTCCCATGGAGTGAACCAAGTCTTTTAGTTCTGCAGCTGTTATAATGTGAAACCAAGATTGAATGATTGCTTCTATTAACTGGGTTTTATTGCTGGGTCACTTCTGACTAACAAGTTTCTTTAGTCAGCTCCATAGATTTTTCAATTGGGTTAAGGTCTGGGCTATTCCCAGGCCATTCCAGAAGTGTTATCTTGAAACACTTTAAAAAAAAGTGGTACTATTAGCCATCAAACCTAAAAGGTTTTCCCAAAAGGTTTCCACAATTTTGGCCACTGCTGTATATCAGTCTGTAATATCTTGCAGGCTTGAGGATCATATTTCCTCCTTGAATGGCAGGCCAAGAGCCAAGTTTTCAAAATCGTAAACTGATCTGGAGTAAAAAAATAAATTTGATTTTTTAAATATTTAAAGTGGATTCAAATTACGGTTAATGTGATTATCTTACTCTGTTCATTTTACTTTTCTGTCACATGAAATATTATTACTTGGTTATTGAATTTGAGATCTTGGGGAATTACATCCAAGGACTTTTCGAGCCACAGTATTGGTTTTGATCTTCATGTTTCTTTAATTTTAGGTTCCGAAATCTACGGTCGTGTCATGGTGGATCCCGTTCAGAATTTAGGGGAACCTTTCATCTGTAACATTGAGAAGGTGTTCTTATGTACAGGGGCCGATGGGTATGTTCCCAAGTATAATCCAAGTAACAAAGAATATGGTTGCCTAGCTGACTCACCTTCCCTATTGTACAGATTCAAAATCCTGGTATGTATGCTAATACTGGACTATTAGATTCTTATAAACATCATTTTTAACTTTAAACTTAATCATATATCACTATTTCTTTATTCCCTAGGATAAAGCTCAACCAGATACACAAGCAAAAATGTTTGGAAGCATGGCATTCCACGCCAAACTAGCAGTTGATCACATTGATGGCCATCCTTTGGTAAAACAGCCTGGTTCTGATGGATTCAGCCTGCTGTCAACTCCATTATTCCAGGTAAAATAAAGGTGGATCATACTGTTATTGCATGAAAACCACTACATGCCAATTAGATGTGCAGCTATTGGAGGCTCACTGTCTTTTTCATTTTGCTTGGTTTTCTATTTTGTTTCATCTTTTTTTTTTTTTTTTTTTTTTAATCTAATAGGTAGCAGTGGGTCGAGAATGGTACATCCACACCATCTACATGGTTCGGTCACGTGAAAATGCTCATAAGGGCCTTGGAAAAAGAAGTATTGAGTATCACCATGTTTTATCTTTCAATAACAGCTCCTCACATCTTAGTCGTTCTCGGAGAGCTGTTTCTGATATTCCTGCTCTTGCCCAAGATATTGGTGCTGATAAGAATAGAGGAACAAATATCCAGCATATAGTTCTTGACCGATCTAATAAAATTACATTCAGGCAGAAAGAATGGTCTCCAGCAGGTAAACCTTATGAAAAGCCAGTCCTGCAAATTCCAGGAAGTAATGCAGAAGACAAGATAATTCCCATTATTGGAGGTGCAATTGGACTATTGCTTCTTCTCTGCACTGTTATAATTATTATATTACTTCTGAAGCGAAAGGGACATTCAACTGATGGGAAAACAAGCTCATTTACCAATCATTCCAACAGTAATGAAACTATGACTACACAGCAGAGCAATAGTGATAGCTCTGAAGTTTAACAGCATTGATGACTCTTTGAAGATCCTACATAATGGAAACCACATGGGGCTGGGCTGGGGGTGGGGTAGATATGGAATTAGGCTGCTGCAGTTTTGGTGCTATGTTGTGTGAGATTCCAGTATTTGGAAGAAAAATATAGCAAAGATAATCTGTAAAGAAATGTGATTTATTTATAACTTCCCCCACAACCAACGTCCAGGAACACAGGATGATCTCCTGGACTACAATGTTAATTAAACTTAGCATTTCCCCCTTGAAATGGTGCTTTAAAAAAAAAATCGTTAGCAGGTATAAAAGTGTGCCTTATCTATCAACATGAAAGCCTGGTGCTATTCAAAGGGATATTGATTTCCTTTTCATTAAATTGTATAGTGTTTAGATTTATACCATTTTTATAAGAAAGGGTGGGAGGGAGGTTAAGAAAAAAGGTAAAATTTTAACTAAACGGGATACAAGCAAATATCTGTAATTAAATCTCAATGGAATCTGTATTGATAAGCAAAACACTGTATTGGAAAAATACTGAGCTTATTTAAAGAGAATGTTTCTTGAATGTTTTAATATACAGGTATTACAAATAGTCTTTCATACAACATCCTGCAATGTTCTGTACTTATGTAACATAAATGTCATAAAACTAAATCATTATTAGATTATTATTCCAATTGCTTGCAGTTAGTTGTATTTTATTTATATTAGTTCAAATAGCTCTCTCCTAATGGAACTTGGAAAATATTGTAAAATATTGTGAATAACTTACATGCCCCTAACTGCCTGGAAATTTCTTTTCAGAGTGTCCTTTTAAAAAAAACAACAACTGCTACTTAGCTAAGCAATCGTAGTAAATTTTGTGTCAACACATGCAACCGTTTAAAAAAATTATGTGACAATTATTACCGTGTTATTTTGAAAAAAAATCATTCTGGGAAAGGGCTATTCAATATTGTTTTAGGAGAATCAAGATGGCACTTTGCTGAATAAAATAGTGCATATTTTCAAAGCTGGTAACCCCCTTTTTATTTCATCTTTAATTATGAACAAGATAGAATTGCCTTTAGTTTATAAAGCAACTTTCCATGCCAGATTGATAGAATCTATATAATTTCAAAATAAGTAAAAGTAAGTTATTGCCTCTATTTCTTGAGGTTCTGTGGTGTGGTTAATCAGCATATACTACAATGTTTCCCTCAAATATAAGACCCTGTCTTATATTTTTCTGAACCCCGAAAAAGCGCTTGGCCCTATTTTCAGGGAGGTATTATTTTGGGGTGCGTGGAGCAGGACAGGGTTCCTCTTGTCGTCTTACCTGATTTCCAGCTCTGTCTCCCTAAGCCTAACCAGACCAACTGTGCATGCATTTAAATATTTTCGGGGAGGGTTTATTTTTGGGGAAACATCGTAAATTTGGTTATAGAATTTATATATTTCTCACATAATAGGGTTTTGCCCTACACATCTGGAAAGTTTTAGATTCAAATGAGTTTTGTTATAGAAAACAAAGTACATTAATAATAAGATTGCACCAACTTATTCAGAAACTACAGCAATTTCAGTAGGATCTACTCATTTTAAATATCTATGTGAGATCAAAGCTTTAATTAATCAGGATGCTGTGGAAAGTATTTTGATATACTAAAAACTATCCCTGGTTAATTGGATAGCCAGTTTTATTTTTTTAACAGCAATTGTGTTGTTAAAACAAAGAGTTTCCTTTTTCTCATGCTTAGGAGAAAACGCCTGTTAATGGTTCTTGGACACTAATTTGTCTACAAGCAATTTAATTAAGATTCATCTTTTTAATTGATATAATCATTGTGCATTAGTTATCTATTTTTCTTGTCTAGAAATAAATTCTCAGAATACTACTGACCAATCTCTAAATTATAATAACCGTTTTAATACTGTATGCTAGTTTCCTTTAAATATTTTAATTCATAGAGTTTATTAGCTAATCAGTCAAAAAATAACTAGCATATAAAAGTCTCCTGCTTTATAGGAATATTTTTTTAATAATGGATCTTCCAGTTGCTGCTGCTGCTGCTGCCTTTATTTCATGTAGGGCAATGCACATTTCAAAATTATTTGGAAATGTGAATTGTATAAGAAGAGCAGCTTTCTACTATTCATTAAAGCAAACTGAAATTTTTGGCTTTCAAAGCTAGTGTGAATAGCCCTGATACCTTTCCAAATGACAATAGCAATATATTTTTTTCCACCTGCACCAGCTAAATTCAAGTTACTCACATCAGAGGACCATGCTGTATTTTCTTCTGTACCTTCTAGCTGCCTAGACATAGCAGCTAGTTTTGATTCCTCCTCTTCCTTTCTTTTTTGTTAAGCCAAAGTAGTTTAATGGTTCATTTATGAAGAAATGCATGAAGTTTGAAAAATTCTCAATGTAAAATTGACAATGATAGATTCTTTTGCTTAAAGGAAATAAAAATTTGCAAGGTTTACTTTAATTAGCTGCAGTAATAAGGTTTATATACTTGGCTGATTATGAACAAATTTATCATATGTTAATCATTGGTTATTTATTCTGTCAAAATCATGACCTTAATATTTTATTAACTGTAGACTTTCACATTTCCAGGATTACCACTGTTATATTACCAAGCAGTTGGAAGATTATTTCATTAATATGATACAAATACTATCTATGTTGAAGTGTTAAAGAAAGAAGCAAACTCTGATAGAAGGTGCTTTTTTCAAGAGGCAACTAGACTTTCTGGTTTTTCTTCAATTACGTTTCGCTTCTTATCCAAGAAGCTTCTTCAGCTCTGACTGGATGGTAGGTGACGAAGCTTCTTGGATGAGAAACGTCTTCAAAGGAAAACCAGAAAGTCCAGTTGCCTCTTGAAAAAAGCAACTTTGGGACAACCATGACCTAGATGACTGAGACTCTCTATAGACAAACTCTAATAGGAATATCTTGAAAAGAAACAGCCTTTGAAAAATGGTATGCATTGCTTGTACATTGCTCAATAAGAGAGCATCTATGCTCTGATAAGGCTAGTTTTATTTACACTACCTGGAATAAGACTCACTTCAGTGAAATCTCTCTTTCCAAAGTTTTACTCTGAATTATATGACAATTGGCATATGACAAAAATAGACAACCATCCAGTCTATTTTTCATTTAGCAACCAAAAGGTGGAAAGCCACTAAAGTATAAGCATTCTTTCATTAGTGTAGAATAAAATACTTCCCGAACAGTAGATTACTGCAATTTATATTACATTCAGATGTAAAATATATAAGTGATATATCTATATACTTAACTCACTTATTTCAAAGGACAGGTAAAGCTAGGTTGTCAAGAACAGAAACATTATGTTTCAAATGTACTGTATTATGGTATATATGACTGTGAATTTACCCAAATACTCTTTCAGAGATCATTTTATAAAAATTGTTTTTTCATACAAGTATTGTCTTTTCCATTTGTTGTCATATTACATTATCTAAGGCATTAGGCCCAAACATAAGGCCGGATACTAAATGCCATGACCGCAGTGTAAAAGCTGAAGACCAAACTATCCTGTTATTAGTTGAAAGCCTGGAATCTGCAAAATCAGAGGTAATTTTACTACAGGTTTACTACAATAAACTATAATAAACCATCTTAAATTATATTTAATATTTTATTTTTTTGCTACTCTTGTAAGTTGTCTTTGATTAATATGAATTGTCACATATGCTTGCCACAAATTACACTACTGATTGCATTCTGATTAATAAAATATTCAGAAAGTGGTAAAGAACAGAAATAATATGAATTTAGTTGGTACAACTGGATGCCCATTATTTTTTGTAGAAAAAAACAGAAGAATTCATTGAACCAAAACCAGTTTTATTTTCAAGTAATTAGAAAATATAAAGTTACTATGTTAAAATTTATCCTTACATAGAAGCTTTTTCCTGTTTTATTCCTAACATTTCCTAATGTAAAATATATACCGTCATGTGAAAAAGAGTGTACACCCTCTTTGAGTTCTGTGGTTTTATATATCAGGACATAGTAAAAATCATCTGATCTTTAGCAATTCTTAAAAGTAGATAAATACCAGCTCAGATGAACAACACATATTTTCCAAAATGGAAAAGCCATGTTTGAAAAACTAAGTATACCTTATGATTCAATAGCCTGTAAAAACTTTAGCAGCAACAACTTGAAGTAATCGCTTTCTATATATGACTTTATCAGTCTCTCATACCATTGTGGAGAAATGTTCGCCCACTCTTCTTTATATTGCTTCCATTCATTGAGGTTTGTGGACATTTGTTTATGTACAGCTCTCTTGAGGTCTCACCACAGCATCTCAGTTAGGTTGTGATCTGGACTTTGACTGGACCATTGCAACATCTTGATTTTTTTTTCTTTTCAGCCATTCTGTTGCAGATTTTCTGGTGTGCTGTACTGTTGCATGACCTAAGGTCAGCTAAACTTTAACTGTCAGCAGATGGCCTCACATTTGATTCTGCAAAACTTTGGTATTGGTGGTTGACTCATGACTGCAAGGTGCCCAGGTCCTGTGGCTGCAAAAATAAGCCAAATCATCAAGCCCTCTTTCACTGTGCTTGACACGTTGGCATGGGATGCTTGTGCTGGTTTTTTTTTTTTCCTGCCAAAAGTGCACTGTGCATTATGGCAAAACATCTCCACTTTGGTCTTGTCTGTCAAAGGAGTGTTCCAGAAGTCTTGCAATTTGTTCAGATGCAACTTCGCAAACCTAAGCCATGCTGCAATGTTTTTAGAGAGAGACTTTCTCCTGGCAAACCTTTCAAACAAACCATACTTGTTCAGTCTTTTTCTAATTGTACTGTCATGAACTTAACATTTAACATGCTAACTGAGGCCTGTAAGAGTCCAAGATGCAATTCTTCAGTTTTTTTACCATTTCTTTGACCATTACAGTCAAACCTTGGGTTGAATTTGCCGGGACATCCAGTCCTGGGAAGATTAGCAACTGTCTTAAATGTTTTCCACTTCTGAATAATCTTCCTCACTAATGATGGACTTTAAATTATTTGGAAATAGCCTTATAACCCTTCCCAGTTTGATATGTGGCAACAATTTCTTCTCCAAGATTATTGCTGATGTCTTTCCTCTTTGACATTGTAACACACACCTCAATGCTGGAAACCAACGAACTCCTATAACTTCAACTGTTATTGAGGTAGTCACATTTGCTGATGATTAATTGATCAAGGACACTTGATTAGCAGCACCTGGTTGCTATTTAGGCTGTTCGTACCTATGGAAAGGAGGTACTTAGCTTTTCACACATTGCTTCTCCGTTTTGGCTATTTTTAAGATAAATGAGGATATGGCATAATATGTAATGTGTTGTTATTTAAATTGAGGTATTTACCTACTGTGTTTCCCCGAAAATAAGGCCCTATCTTATATTTTTTGAACCCCGAAATAAGCGCTTGGCCTTATTTCAGGGAGGTCTTATTCTGGGGCGCGTGGAGCAAGACGGGGCTCCTCCTGCCGTCTTACCTGATTTCTTCCTAACCAGAGGAAATGTCGGGGACCAGATGCGCATGCACTTAAATATTTTCAGGGAGGGCTTATTTTAGCACATGCGCTCAAAAGCCTAATTGGGCTTATTATCAGGGGAGGTCTTATTTTTGGGTAAAAAGGGTATTTTTAAGAACTGTTAAGGACCAGATGATTTATGAAGTCCTGATACATAAAACCATAGAACTCAAAGAGGGTATACTTTCTTTTTCAAATGACTGTATTAGCTAATTATACTTTATTATAACAATGTAAATTGATATGCTAAGTGACTTCCACAATTTGGGTGAAATAAAAAGTTCAGTCCATGATCAGAATGTTTAATTTGTACATGCAGAAACTTGATCCAATACCAGTGACTGCTAAGTGACCATTTTTTCAGGGATTGTATATGTGAAGGTTACACAGAAAGCAATCTCTCTGAACCTCTATTAGGTGGGTTAAAGAGTACAACCAAGAAAAAATACCAATTCTTGTTTTCTGTGAGAAATCTAGAAATAAAATTTGAGTGGAAAGATTTTCACTTACACATTATTCTACCCTTCTGGTTATTGTGCAGTAAACTAATTTAAGATGGTTTTCTTTGGCTTAACAGTTAAAAAGGCAGAACATGATGTACAAATGGGAATACAGTTTGATTTTGGCTTATTGGCTTATTACTATTATGATTGAGCAGAATACAATAATTGGCAAGTGAAAAAGTAGTCCCAAAAAGGGGGAGGGATGTAAATGACTGAGGTAGGGACAATCATAGTTTCATTGTAGATCAACAAGACTGACTCTATGCTATAATGCAAAGTACCAGTTCCAATGTAATATTTCCAATGATACTTTTGTGTCCCACAGACATTTTCATAGAAAATAAAAATGTTGAGTGGCTGGATGTTTGATATCTTTACCTGCCTATTTAAAAAGACAAAAGTTAAGCTAAAGTACAGAGATCATCTTGGAAAACTAATGGATAATTCTAAATAGTTTGCCCAATGATAAATGGCTATTTTATCACTGGATATATGTCCATAACAGCTAAGGACATACACTGAAAACTTTAAAGCCTGGGAAACCTAAGCACAATATCTATAAAACTACTAGTGGGTAGTATGATTTAGCATACTTGTGAAACAAAGAATTGAACAATATATACATATATTATATACATATAAAAAACATCAACTACTAGATGAAGCCTATTTTTTTTATTTCAAGTGTTAATGGTAAAAAAAAGTTCAGCACAGCTGTTTTATTTAAAAACGTGAAACTACGTTACTCTTCTAGTTCAGCAAGTAAACACATGAACCCAATGTCCTTTAATGACATAATAGTTGAGAATTGTAAAGTACATCTTATGAAGACCCGTAAAATTAAAGAACTAGCTTAAATTTAGTGATTACAAGAAATCAGTATTCACAGCTTTAGTTTCTTTTTTCTTCCTCTTCCATCAGGAGTACCATCCAATTTACGTTTCTGTGTCTGAATCAGAAAAGAGAAAAATTGAGTCTCAGCTCTGAGAATTTTGTTCATGATTTAAATTACTGTAAAGCTATAGTGAGGTTAAAAACATTTTATAGTTTGTTTTTCATTATCAAATAATTTTTTTAAAAAAATTCATAATAATATGGGAAAGAAATATTGCAAAGGCTATCTTAAAATCCTGCTCAATTCTATGCCATTTAGCATGAAGTAATATAAAAATGTGATTAATCCTGCAAATCTAGACAATGTGTGGTTTTTAAAAAATTAGAAGATTAAGAAATTATAACTAATATGGATTCATAATCTTTTCCCATACATATTATCATTTATATCATTTTCTTTCATCTGAATCTTCAGAGTTAAACATACTCTCACCAAAGATGGTTTAGGTCCACGTTTCTTCTTTTCTGCCTTCTCTTTTTCTTCTAATTCCATGTTTTCTCTTTCAATCAAAGTGATTAAGGTATTACATCTTCGTTGTAATTCCTGAATCAAGAGCAAACGGGAGATTCAATGGTATAATTGCCACTGCACAAAGAATTTTACACAATTACATTATGTTCTTTCTAATGATCTCCACTGTAGATCTATACGTAATGCAAAAATTCTACGCTTTCTACATGCTTCTACACGTAATACAAAACTTTGGAAAACTCTGTAGAATAATCCCTCCAGCCTTCCAAATTAGCCATGTTATAAGGCTACTTGTCAATAACTTAACATCTACTATGTATCTGGAACTACAGCTCCATTTCTTGGGAATCACATTCAGCAATGAGATTTTTATGGTGATGTAGCACTAAACACCTGGAAGGTAAGCGATTATCTACCACTGTTCTAGAATCCTGTAATACTGAGCTATGGAGGTGAGCTTCAAAATAAAAAGAAACATGAACCATTTCTGACTAAAAAGTACAAAATTCCTATATTTATGCTAGAAGCAGGACAACATAAGGAAGGAACTTCTCTTGGTGGGATGGAAATGAGGCAGAGAATAAAAGCAGAAAAAAATGCATAGTCAATAGTCATTATACTACTTGGATAAAAATGGCAGTGTCCCTTTTGGGTTACAATTACATGAAGAATAGACTCTCAACTATCTTTGAATGGAATTATGTCCCTAGTTAAGAATAAAGTAGACAGTTTGAAGCTCTCTGAGCTTCATTGTTTGCTTACAGACATTTCATAACCCAACTAGATAACATCATCATCATTTGCACCATGAAGCTCATTCCTTTCAATATGCCTGCTTATTCTCTTGTAATGCTTCCTTTTCTAATGAATGAAAATACAAAAATTCACTTGCTAACTGAGCTAACTAGTGCCAAACTGAGCATCCAAAGGGAGGGGCAATGGAAAAAGCATAGACATGGTCATTTGATTTTCCACTTACTGACTGCTTTGTGTAACAACAGAGCTACCAAACCCAATTGTGGTTGGTAAATAAGGCCTACCTTATTTAAATAAGGATTTTTTACACAATTACTATGCTGTTCCAAACATACAATTGGATGGAGATGTTTAGACACTTCTGGTCAAATTTTATGTTTCAATGGAAGCTGACCTGTACCTCATCAACATTAAGCATGACCTATATGTGCAAAGGTGAATGGATACTTAATAATATTTTTAATGTTCATAGATTCAAAGTGTGCAGCAGCAGCCAAAAAAGCTAATACCATCCTGGGTTGTATAAACAGAGGCATAGAATCAAGGGCACATGAAGTACTACTACCACTTTATAAAACCATGAGGTACAGTAAGACCACACCAAGAATACAGCAAGCAATTTTGGTCACCATGCTACAAAGTTGAGACTTTGGAAAACGTTCAGAGAAAAACAACTAAGATGATCCAAGGCCTGGAGATGATCAAAGGCCTGGAGATACGAAGAACTGCTGCAGGATTTGACTTTGGCTAGTCTAAAGAAAAGAAGAATTAGGGATGACATGATAGCAGTATTCCAATATTTGAGGGGCTGCCACAAAGAAGAGGGAGTCAAATTATTCTCCAAAGCACCAGAGCTCAGGACAAGAAACAATGGCTGGAAACCAGGGGGAGAGCCTTCTCTGTGGGGGCACCTACTATCTGAAACGAGCTCCCCCCAGAGATACGGAGGATACTAGATCTGCGCACGTTCCGCCGCGCTCTAAAGACCTTTTTATTTCACCAGGCGGGCCTGGCCTAATTTTCTCCCTCTTTTTTTTTTAAAAAAAATTAATTTTTAATTTTTTAGTATTTTATATATTCAAATGTTTAAATTTGTTTTAAATTGATTGGGGTTTTAATCTGTCTGGGCCAAAACTATTTAATTTGATTTTATTTCTGCTTTTTAAATTTTGTATGTATGTATTTTATTGTTGGCTGTGCACCGCCCTGAGTCCTTCGGGAGTAGGGCGGTATATAAATCAAATAAAAGTAAAGTAAAGTAAAGTAAAAGAAACTAATTAAAGAGAGAGAAGCAACCTGTAATTAAAGAGAAACTTCCTAACAATGACAACAATTAACCAGTGGAACAGTGCCTTCAGTGGTTGTAGGTGCTTTATCACTGGAAATTTTAAGAAGAGACTGGACAATCACTTATCTAAAATATAGCTTCTCCTGCTTGAGCAAGGGACTGGCTTAGAAGACCTCCAAGGTCCCTTCCAGCTCATTCCATTCCATTTGTAAGAAAATGAAAAAAACAAAAAAACAAAAGTACAGTCAGTCACATGAAAAAGAAGGTAAACCCTCTTAAAGTTCTATGGTTTTATGTATCAGAACGTAGTAAAAATCATCTGCTCCTTAGCAGTTCTTTAAAAAAAGAGAAATACAATCTCAAATGAACACATGATACATTACACCATATCCTCATCATAAAACCATGGAACTCAAAGAGAGTGTACTTTTTCATATGAGTGTATGAACATTTCCTACAGCCAATTAAAGACAGTTAAGAAATCCCTCCCCAAAATACAATAAAGTAAAAAAAATAATAACATAAAATACAAAAAAGCTATACTATGCATGTCTACCAGAGAGATAAATCATATTAAAACCCAACTATGAGAAGGAACGAGAGAACACTGCCATACCCTCCCTCCCATGCCCTTTTATAGGTTATAACCAGCATTAATAATTGTACTAGGAAACTTACAGAAAATAAGTGGTGCAACCAAAGGAGAGATGCTATTCTGATAAATCAGGTTTCACTTGTTGCCCTCCAATTTAATGTTTTTCAATTTTTTACAGTTCTTGACTTATGATCATTTGTTTAAAACTAGTTTAAAGTTATGATGGCCTTAGTAGAAGTGCGTTATGACCAATTCTCAAAGTTATTACCACTGCACCACTCCTGCAATCATGTGATCACAATTCAGGTGCTTAGCAACCAACAGCTGCAGTATCTTGCGGTCACATGATCACATTTTGTGACCTCCCCTGCTAACTTCTGACAAGCAAAGTTAACTGGAGAACCCCGATTCATTTAATTAATTAATTTATTTATTTTATTGAATTTATATACCGCCCTACTCCCGAAGGACTCAGGGCGGTGAACAGCCATATAATAAAACATATCAATACAAAATTTAAAAGAAAATAAAACGAATTAAATAATTTGGCTGAACAAATTTAAACGCCCAATAATTTAAAACCAAATTTAAAATTTCCATTTAAAAAGGGGAAAGACTTAGGTCAGGCCAGCTTGATGAAATAAGAAAGTCTTTAGCGCGCGATGGAAGGTACGCAGATCCGGGATCCTCCGTATCTCCGGGGGGAGCTCATTCCAGATAGTAAGTGCCCCCACAGAGAAGGCTCTCCTCCTGGGGGCTGCCAGTCGACATTGTTTGGCTGACGGCACCCGGAGGAGCCTCTCTCTATGGGAGCGTACTGGTCGGTGGGAGGCTTGGTGGTAGCAGGCGGTCCCGTAAATAACCAGGTCCTAAGCCATGGAGCGCTCTAAAGGTGATAACCAAAACCTTGAAGCGCACTCGGAAGACCACCGGGAGCCAGTGCAGCTCGCGCAGGAGAGGTGTTACATGGGAGTGCCACGTTGCTCCCGTCACCACCCGCGCGGCCACACTCTGCGCCAGTTGGAGCCTCCGAGTGTTCCTCAAGGGGAGCCCCATGTAGAGAGCATTACAATAGTCCAGACAGGAGGTGACGAGGGCATGAGTGACTGTGCGTAAGGAGTCCCGATCTATAAAGGGACACAACTGGCGGATCAGGCGAACCTGATGAAAAATCCTCCTGGTCACGGTGCTCTTCTAAAGACAGCCGTGAATCCAGGAGGACACCCAAGTTGCGAGTCCTTTCCGCGGGGGCCAATGATTCGCCCCCAATAGTCAGCGATGGCACCAGCTGACTATATCGGGACGTCGGAAACCACAGCCACTCGGTCTTGGATGGGTTGAGCCTGAGCCTGTTTCTCCCCATCCAGATGCATACAGCCTCCAGGCACCGGGACATCACTTCAAGGGCATCATTGGGATGGTCTGGGGTGGAGATGTACAGCTGGGTGTCATCAGCGTACTGGTGGAACTCCACCCTGAAACCACGGATGATCTCGCCCAGCGGCTTTACATAAATGTTGAACAAAAGGGGCGAGAGGACCAATCCTTGTGGCACCCCACATATAAGGGGCCTCAGGGTCGACCTCTGCCCCCGTCAACAGAGACTGCGACCGGCCGGAGAGAAAGGAGGAGAACCACTGTAGTACGGTGCCTCCCACCCCCAACTCTTCCAACCAGTGCAGCATGATACCATGGTCAATGATATCAAAAGCCGCTGAGAGATCTAACAGGACCAGGACAGAGGAGCACCCCCTGTCCCGAGCCCTCCAGAGATCATCCACCAACGCAACCAATGCCGTTTTCGTGCTGTACCCAGGCCTGAAGCCCAACTGGAATGGATCTAGATATATCGTTTCATCCAGGTACTGGGGGAGCTGTCGCGCAACCACACTCTCAACAACCTTCGCAACAAAGCGAAGGTTGGAGACTGGACGATAATTAGCCAATACTGCCGGGTCCAAGGAAGGCTTCTTGAGGAGAGATCTCACCACCGCCTCTTTCAAGGCGGCGGGAAAGACACCCTCGCCCAATGAAGCATTTATAATCCCCTGGAGCCAGCCTCACGTCACCTCCCAGGAAGCCAGCACTAACCAGGAGGGGCACGGGTCCAACAAACATGTGCTCGCGTTCACTCTACCCAGAATCCTGTCCACGTCCTCAGGGGTCACAGGATCAAATTCATCCCAGATAACATTCTCAGGACCTGCCTCCATCATCCCCGCTGGATCTACCCAGTCGGAGTCCAGATCTTCCCGAATCTGAGTGATTTTGTCATACAGATACTGAACAAAATCCTCGGCTCTTCCCTCCAAGGAGTCCTCCCGTGCTTCCTGGTGGAGCAGGGAGCGGGTCACCCTAAACAGGGCGGCCGGGCGATTATCTGATGACGCGATAAGAGCAGCGAAATGAGTACATTTCGCTGCTTTTATCGCCACTAGTATCTTACCAGTGTCCGGTCAGATTCAGCACGATTGGCCCTCCAACTACTCTCTAGGCGTCTTTTCCGATGCTTCATCTCCCTCAGCTCCTCAGTGAACCAAGGAGCCAGGTGAGATCGGTGCCGGGTCAGAGGCACAACTCGATCCAGAGCTCCAGCGGCCGTCCTATCCCAGGCAGCCACTAGTTCTCCAGATGAGGCGTGAGCCAGAACCTTGGGGATTGGCCCAAGCTCCATCTGGAACCTATCAGGTTCCATCAGGCACCTGGGGCAGTACTATCTTATCGGTTCCGCCTCCCTGAGGCGGGGTGCAGCGGTTTGAAGGTCAAGGCGAAGGAGAGAGTGATCCGACCATGACAAGGGCTCGATGACTATATTTCCTATCTCAAGATCACTCAGCCACTGTCCAGAGACAAAAACCAAGTCCAGTGTGTTTTCCCCCCATGTGCTTAGGGCCATGAATTAGCTAGATCAGGTCCATAGCCGTCATGGAAGCCATGAACTCCCGAACCACCTCAGACGCCTCACCCACGGACGGCAGGTTAAAATCCCCCATGACCATAAGTCTGGGGGTATCAACCGCCACAGCGGCGATAACGCTGAGTAGCTCGGGCACGGCTGCTGCCACGTGGCAGGGAGCCAGGTACATGATCAGCAAACCCATCTGAACCCATGACCCCACTTCACAAGGAGGGTCTCACAGCTGGCCGTCTGAGTGGCCTCCCTTGGCCTAAGGCCTTCTCTAATAATAACTGCAACTCCCCGTGACCTCGGCTGATGGAATGCCTGGAAGCCTGGTGGGCACATTTCTACCAGAGGGACCCCTCCCTCCGGGCCCAACCAGGTCTCCGTAATACCTGCCAGGTCCGCTCCCCCCTCCTGAACAAGATCACAAATGAGGGGGGCTTTATTTACTATGGACCTGGCATTGCACAACATCAGTCGAAGGCCCGGGCCCTGAGGGTCTGTGCAACCTGGAGAACGAGTGGAGCCTTGGGGGCCGGAGCATGCTACCACTCGAAGACAGCAGGTGTGCGCTCCCTTAAGATATGATATGGCCCCCTGCTCCCGCCATATCTACCCCTCCCACTCACAGTACCGATGGTAAAAATACAATCTGGACAAGCTTGACCCCCCCCATTACCTCTGGATCCCCCACCCCTCCCACCGCGCATGATGGCCAGGCCCGACCCTCCCCTTGGTAGGTTATCCCCCAAACCCACGACCCTAGTTCCAATTTTACCTTCCCCCCCGGGACCCCTTAAAAGTTTAACCAAAAATTAACATAAAAAACCCCTCAACCCCCTCTTCGCCGCATTTAACAACCATGTGGTTCAATTAATGACTATGTAATTTATTTAATTACCACAGTGACTCACTTAACAATAAGTATGTATTTATTAGTATGTATAATGCAGTAAAGCTGGTCATAAAATTGAGTCTGATCACATGATGACTCAATTAACACCACCACTTATTATCTGAATTTCTGGTTGCAACTGTGGTCATAAATTAAGGACCATCTGTAGGAAACAATGTTTATCTACACATAATACAGTCTTTTCTATCACAAACTGGTTTTCTTGTTTTTTAATAATATTTTTAATGTTTTTAAAATATTTTTAATGTTTATAGATTCAATTCAAACTGAAACTAGTACATACCATTGCAGTTCTAGATTTGAGGAACCAGTCAAATCTGAACTGGGGAGAATTTCGAATACACTGTCTCAATTCATCATAAACATTTTCTTTGTCAAACCCAAGCTTATGAAGCATACAGATCAAAAAACGATCTTCTTCTTCTGTGTAATTCTTCCCTTTGTTAGTACCATATGATATTCTCAATTGGTGGAAAGGTGCTTTGTATCTGCCAATCTAAGAAAAAGAAGGAAATCAATGTGGCATGTAAAAGAATATAAAGATGCACTTATTATTTATTTTTTTTAATTTGATTTATATGCCGCCCTTCTCTGGAGATTCAGGGCGGCTTACAATGCGTTAAGCAATAGCCTTCATACTTTTGTATATTTATACAAAGTCAGCTTATTGCCCCCACAAACTGGGTCCTCAGTTAACCTACCTTAGAAAAGATGGAAGGCTGAGTCAGCCTTGAGCCTGGTGAGATTCGAACTTACAGTAATTGCAGACAGCTGGTGTTAATCCCAATGCTTTTAGTCTGCTGAGCCACCAGGCCCCTTATAGATTTGTAGATAAATGATTAATCTTACTACCAGATCAACAATATAAAACAAAAATAAAATATAGTATATAAGTCCAGGGTAAATTAGATAAAAGGAAATTAATAAAATACATGTAAATTAACACACAAAGCATCAGCATTCAGTAAACAATACCGCAACCTCAGAATACCCCAATTTGTTCAATATAATGGATCCTTTGATTAATTGCCTTAACTATAAACTTACCAGTTCTGCTTGTGATGTATAGATTAGAAGTTGGGAGAAATAGGACAATCTGACATTTAAATCCCAGTGGATTTCTTTATTTGTAGGCCTTTCAAAAATTTAGACATTCTAAATTTCCAAATTTGAACACTGGATTAGGGTTTTAAAAGATCAAAAAAACTAATACATCTTAGTCTTTTTATGACTACATTTGAGCCTAGAATTTTGGTCATAAATTGTTGCAGTCATTAAGCAGTCGTAAAATCAGGGAAAACTCACTTAACAAATTTCTCACTTAGCAACAGAAATTCTGGGCTCAATTGTGGTCGTAACTCCAGGTCTACCTGTATTTCTAGAAGCACACAGTGAAGCCAAAGAAAGGTAGGACCTGAAACAAAGAACTGCTGAGAAGTGCTAAAGAAAGGTTCCCAATTTTTTAGTTAACTAGAAAATATATCAACCTTACTTTCTGAAATATGGAAAAAATAACAATAAATAGGAATGTGTATGGAGATTCTCAGTCATCCAGGTCATGGTTGTCCCAAAGGTGTTTTTTCAAGAGGCAACTGGACTTTCTGTTTTTTCTTTGAAGACTTTTTGCATCTCATCCAAGAAGCTTCTTAGATGAGAAGGCAAACGTCTTCAAAGAAAAAACAAAAAGTCCAGTTTCCTGTTGAAAAAGCACATCTGGAATAATAAAATAGAAAAAGGCAATATTTAAAAACCAATAGTATCATTCCTTATTAATATTTTACCATTTTTCTTCACATGATACAACTTAAAAAGCAATTACCTTTGTGTCAAGTGCTTTTTTAATACTAATTCTCCTCTGAATTCGAGCTTCACCTCTTTCAATTTGCGCCATAATCTTTTCTATGTCCTGAAGCTCATTACACCGTTCCCAGAAAACAGCTGAAAAAAGTAAGTAATAATCTATTAGTTTTGTCTCGCATGCTTGCAAAGTAAATCAATTATTGTTCAGTTTTGTATTTTTATTTCTTTTTAGATCTAACATAATTCTTCTCACATCAATCAGCATAACATGCCAACTGGCTTAAGATAAGGCCTTTGTCTTCCCAAAAGATGACATTTGCTCTGCTTCAACCATTCTGTGGTAGATTTATTTGTTTAGAATTGTCATGAGCCACATTTTAAAGTTAAGTTTAAGCTTACCCTAACATTCTCCTGAAGAATTTATCACAGGACATTGCTAGGTAATCTACTGGATCACCCAGGAGTCTTTGGCAAATCCGAGTGTGTGTTCAGAAGAATAGTGGTTTCTTCCTTCTTCCTAAGCATACAATTATTTTGTGGTATTTTCTTTATGAACACTGATAAGAAAAAATGCAGTTATGGCCTGCAGATCTTGTTCTTTATATCCTAGCATTCTTTAAGTTTGGCAATGGATCTGTAGCCTTTTCATTTTGATGGTGATCAACAACCCTTTTTCTGAGGTTGGAGAAGATCTTTTTGATTTACTTCCACAAGCTTGCCATAAAGCACAGCCTTTAACAGTGACAAACTGATTTGTGTGTATTTTAAAAGGACTGGTCATTCAAGCCCCTGATTGTTATCCCACTGCTGGAACATTTAACTCATCTTTCCCCATTAAGAGAATTGATTATGCTAGTGCCTCACGCTCTCTTTTCCAACAAAGAGAATTAAAGTTAGCTCAACATGTTCAGTAAAGAAGATACAAAATGAATATTTTAACTGCTAAAAGGACTTAGATAAAGCTTTTATAATATGGTCACAATGCTACAGGGTTACATATAATTTTAAAACATTTGTATGTTCTTCAAAAGAGAAGCAGATGGAATATAAAAGAAAAAAGTACCCATGTTTTGGCCTGTTGAACTTCAACAGAATGTATAGGGATGTATGTGCACCTGTGCCTGGTGTTGGGCTCTAATGATTTTGGGATTCTGGATGTCTGAAACAGTGTGCCTTTATCTTCAAGAGCAGTCTGAAATCTCCAGAATCAATAGGACAAAAGAGCATAAAGAATGTACACTCACACTAAGTTTTGAAAATCATAAATATAGTATCAATTTTTACAAGTTTTCTATGACTAATGAATATATTTGGGTCGGTTGGCTAGTTGAATGCCAGCTTTGAAAAAAGCAAAATGAGTTTCTTTTGCACAGATGTGCTCATTATTGTAATATATTCTCTTGATTCCTGTTTGTGGATGATCTGTGTGCACTTAAAAATACACAAAAAAAGCTCTATGGTACTTGGCTTGCTAAAGCTTAAGTTGTGTACATCCAGTGTTCATGCTCATTCTCCCGGAATAAATTGAAACTCTTCTGCAGGTTTTTGGCAGCAAGCCAGTGGAAGCTACCAAAAAGAGGGGCAAGAGGAGCAAATTTGCAAGTTAATTTTCAAATGTTGATTTATTGTTTATAGTAAACGTTTTACTATTTTATTGTTTACTGTGTACATTTTAATGTTAATTTACTATGGATGTTTTACTGTTTGTAAGGTTACACATACTATGAAAATGAGTCGAGTGAAAATGGAAGCATGCATCAGATTGTATCAGACTGGATTGTGAATATATCTTTTCTTATATTATTTAAAAATTTTAAACGGTGTTACCAGAATATTCAATGACTTCCTCTGGAGTTTTTCCTTCTACTTCTCGAGCTATATTTTCAATGTCATCACGACCCCATTTTTCATTAGCTTTAATGAACTGATTGAAATCTCTTTTATTCCAGTTTGTAAATCCCTTCAAAAAAGAAGAATAAAGTTGTTTAATGTTACTGTCTTTTAGAACAGGGGTCTCCAACCTTGGCAACGTTAAGCCTGGAGGACTTCAACTCCCAGAATTTCGGCTGGGGAATTCTGGGAGTTGAAGTCCTCCAGGCTTAAAGTTGCCAGGGTTGGAGACCCCTGCTTTAGAACACAAGGCTCAATTGGGTTATTGTTGAAGCTGAAGCTTGAAAAATTACATTATCCAGTTGAGGATAAATTCTGATTCTTCTAAGTATTTTTAAATATGTCCCATAACCACACTAATGGACTTAATGAAATCTGCAATTCTTGCTTCCTTAAGACATAATCAGAAATCCTTTACGACTGAAAAACCATCCTCAATTTCATTCAAGTTCATTCACGTTCTGGTCATTCTCATACTTTAAAAGCTACTCCAGAAGTATAAGCTTGATTAGAAGAGGTCAATAGAACCTTTTGGGAGAAGAAATACCCACACATAATACCTTTCCCTTTTCTGGATTGCAACTCAGGAAAGGACACAATAAATATTTGTTTATGGCATTTCTATGCCACTGTATCCAGCAAGCTTTGGCAGTAGCAATCTATGAATGATGGGACTAGATAAATTTGTTGAATTTATTCAACTGAACAGTATTTAAGAGTAATAAAATTTGTCTCAATACTTGGACCGGAGGACACTAGTTTCTGGAAGTCTTAAGCCAACATTATTCTGACGAATAAAACAAAGAAAGGCTCATATAGAGACAGTGCAGTTTAACAATTTAAAGACGATTCCGAAAAAAGAGGCCAACAGAGAACGTGACTGTATTGACGTTACAAGATGAAGTTACTGACAAAACAATGTCCATCAAATTATAGAGTCATCAGTTGCAGAACAAAACTGTAGTTCAATTTTGTATTCCTTTACAACAGAGGTGTCAATATTGTGGCCCGCCAGCGGCCAGCAGAACTGACAACAGATTCGGACAGTGAGGAGGTTGGGGAGGTTGGGGAGGAACATGGGCCAGTCCTGGAGTCTAGGGAAGGCTCTGATGAGGGCTCTGCATCGGACACAGAGAGGGGGCCAGGTCCAGATGCCAGTTATCAGCTGCCTTCAACGTCAGACATTAGTGAGGCAAATGAACAGTTGGAGCCTGTTCTCAGTGTGTGCATGCGCAGAGTTGCTGGCCCCTTCCAGAGGGAATAAAAGAGGAGCGAAAGGGGAGTGGAGTTTGCAAGAGGCAATTACCATATTTTTCGGACTATAAGACGCACTTTTTTGTCTCCCAAAGGGGGCAAAAATGTCTGTGTGTCTCATAGACTGAATATTGCTGAAGCCCCACCACCTGCCAGACATTTTTTGGGCTCCACATGCCCTGTTTTGGTGCCTTTTTTTGGCACTTTTTTGAGACTTTTTTGGGCCCATTTTTTCCAAAAAAACGCCCCCTGGGCCTTGAGTTTGACACCCCTACTTTGCAACAAGAACACTTTTTTTTCTACAACAACTAGTAAGTCTAGAAAAGGAATTAAAGGTAGTCTATAATTTGTCTAGCAGGTGACGAATACCTGAGTAAGTAGTTTTTCCTTTTCATCTAGTTCTTCTTCATTAAGTGGTTCAGCTTCATCAATTTTAATTTGTTCTTCCTTTTGTGTCTGAGCTGCATTTGGCAAGTCAGGATTACGAGGTACCTAAGGAATTTATATTTCTTTAAATAACTAGTTCACATGCTCTAAAAACATTTATCGTTTCTTATATAAACCTCTAGCGGCTTTACTCAAAACATGTGGTTTTACTGTCATATAGTAAAATTTAAAGAACTTGAAAAAGCAAAACATGGATGATTAATACCTTATATCCAATAGTTTTTCTATAATAAAGAATTTCTTTTTCCAACAATTCAAACAAACGTGGTGGAAAGAATTGGAAATCCTGAACATTAGGTTGTTTTGGAGGTCGTGGAGCCTTTAAAAAAAGACACATTGCACTATAATCATAATCACTTCAGTAACAGAAGTTAAGCAGCATTTAATTTCCACATAAAATACAAATTACTTCCATTTTATTCTATTTGCCTCCCTCCCCGGAAAGTGTCTCCCCACTGATACATAAGTGTATTTAATTGTTAATTAATTGAGGAAATCTATACACATGAGTGGTTTAATTTCTACAACTTCCAATTCTGCTTGATTTATTTTCATTGTTTGCTATTATTACAAAACAAACAGGGGGAAAAAAATAAACAATGAAGTGGTAAACCGAAAGAAAAAAAAGACAGCAAAAATGATGACAAAATGCAAAGCATATATTCACAGACACATATACACGTATAACAATTCTAATAAGCATTTCAATGAATAGAAATGATATATGTTATTCTTTTAGAGAAACTGGAAACTGAATCTATAGGAAAGAAAACCATTTTCTATTCTATCTCTAACCACTGTCTGAATAGACATAGTTGGAAACAAGTATGATAAAAGCACACATAAATCTGCTTTGAATAGTTTACATTCCAAAAATTTCATCAATACAATATGGATACCTATGTGTATAAAACATTTTAGGAATAAGTTTACAAGCTTTTCTAGTTATTCTATTTTTAACAAGTTTCAACGACACTCACCTTTGGTGCTTTTGGTTCACTGACACGAAGAGCTTCCCTAAAATAAGCATCAACAGCATAGTTGGCTTTTCTTTCACGTTTAGGTGGTTCGATCCACTCTGTGAATGCCATCTGCAACATATGGTACTTTTAGAAAATTGTATGGGAGCATCATAGTTATAAATGGACAGTAAAATTAACCGACATATTGAAGGGAAATAAATGCATTACCTTTTGTTTTTCTCTGTAATCTTCTCCTTCAAAGTTATACACACTAGACTCGGTATCCACTGTAAAGTTTCTGAGTGAACTTTCACCCATCTTGGAAAGTTTTTCATTCATTTCAGCAGTCTACATATATAAAGAGATTTTAATTGGTTTTTTGTAACAATCTGCTTTATCATCAACAAAAGTAATCATATAGTCAACCTGATTTTTTGATAAAATCTGAATTAAGAGGATTAGCATAAATTTTTCTACTAGTTTATAATATCCACTCACTTTCTTTGCGCCTCTTTCCAAAATACCGTCAATGTCTTCATCTGTAATTTCACTCTCTTTTGAAGCAAAGACATGGGTAGCTCCATGTCGAATCATCTGCAACATTTCATCTTTTCCCAATTTATTCAGATTCTGATCTACTAGTCTTCCTATATATATATATATAAAAAAAAGAGAATATTCTCAAGAGGCTGATAACTTCACAAAAGTTTTAAAAATATGCATAACATGCAATTCTTTGACACTGCAACATTTAACTTGTGTTTTGAAGCTAAAAAAACAATTTAATAAAATATTTCTGTACCTAAAGCTGGATTAAAACAATAATATAATACCAAGCATATCTACTTCTGTGGCAATAGTTGACAAATATATTTTTTAATTAGCAACCTTTTGTTATTCAATTATAATTTGTAATTCTATTCCAGAAAAGAGTGAGGCCAATTTTTCATATTAAATATTAAGTATAATTGTCCAACATTAAACAGAATGTTTATACTGCGTTTTGTTTTGGGGTGTTTTTTGTTCCTCATCTAACAATGTATAAAAATTGACGCTGGTGGATAAGACTTGCAACTTCTCTCAAAAAAAGTTTTGATTCCTTCCAATTACTATTTACAATTAAAATTATAACATCAACTATTCTTAAATCAACATTCTAGATATACTGTTTAACTATCAAGTTTATGTCTAGACAATACTTTTTGGTATATTTTCGCATTACAGTACTTAGCAATCATTTTTTATTTTGATACATTTTTTCCAAGTTTGGATATATTTAGCTTACTGACCACATATGGTATTAAAAAACAGTGTAACATTTTTACCTTGTTGAATAACTATGGAATCTAAGCGAAGTTTCATTTCTGCTCTTTCTACTATTCTTTCTTCTACAGTGTTGTCTGTAATAAATCTGAATACTCTAACAGTCTTTGTCTGACCAATTCTATGTGCACGATCCTATGTGGCAAGAAAAAAGGATATTCAATTTATAAAAATTACATTTTTGTAATATAAACAATGCACAATTGGTGAACAGATATCATTTCCCTGGAATAATTTTAGAAGTCTAAATCTTTACAATTTAAAACTAATTATGTAATAATTACCATGGAAAACTTATTTTAATGCAATAGTGTTTATCAAAAATCCAGTCAGACAAGCAAACATATTGCTGAATGTTCAATATCCCTGGGGAAAAAAATCAGATTTAAACACAAGATTTCATGCTAATCAAGCTTACCATAGCCTGAAGATCTACTTGTGGATTCCAGTCAGAATCATATAGAATTACAACATCAGCTGTAGCTAGATTGATTCCCAAACCACCAGCCCGTGTGCTCAGCATAAAGAGAAACTTTGAACTGCCAGGTTCGTTGTATGCATTAATAGAAGCCTACAATAAAAAAAGTTGGTCAATTCACACTGAGTGCGAAGACAAACAAATAAACCTCCTGTTTCTGCATGCTTACTTGTCTTTCATCATGAGGTGTCTGCCCATCAAGTCTGCAATACTCATAATTTCGCCACATACAGTAATCTTCTAATATATCTAACACTCTTGTCATCTGGCTGAAAACTAGGACTCGTGATCCTATAGCAGGAAGAAAAAATTTAAAAATTGTTACTCAAATAAATTCTTCTTAATAAATTTTATGAAAAACTGAAATAAGTAATATACTCATAAAGCAACATACGATATGAATAAATTTAACTATCAGAAATCCTTGAACATTTATAATATATATTTAGCAAATGGCAGAAGATAATTTATAAACAGAATTACTTTTGTAATTTTGTAATTCTACAAAAATTAATAGTATCATTATTTTTATGGAAAATGAAAGCAATTGGGAACGTTTTCTTGATTTTTATCCAATAATTTTTAGCAATAAGATAAAATAATTACCCTGTTCTTTCAATTTTGGCAACAATTTATCCAAAACTACCATTTTGCCACTATTGGTAACCAAATGCATATCTGTTGTATAAGGAGGACCAGGCTCTGCTCCATCAAAAAGGTACGGATGATTGCAACATTTTCGTAACTGCATAAGAATGTTTAATAGTCTCATTTTATCCAGTTTTCCAGCAGAGTTCAATATATCTATATCCTTCATTAAGATTCTTGTGTACCTATATAGAAAGACAAAGACAACTGAGGCTCTCACTCCTCCATTAATGTAATGCAAATACTTCAAGATTTAATAATAATAAAAAGCAATCAGCAACATAAGAAGTTATATTTATTCAAATACTAATTTTAATTACTTACCATTCCCTTTGCATTTTGCTGAGACCAACATATATTTTAACTTCTTTTTTTGGAGGCAAACTTTTCTCTACTTCAGCTTTTATACGACGTAACAAAAATGGTCGTAGTACCTGTCAAGTATAATGAATAATATCACACAGTAAATTGTATTTTATACTACTGGATTAATTTCTCTTTCAAAAGTATCAGCTTTCCATGCTATATCTAATAGTGATTCTAAGGCCTTCATGCATGCAGCTGGAGAAACCTCAACTATTACATAACATTTCTGGAAAAAAACATAGAAGAAATTAGAAGTCAATGTCCATGAAACTATTTGTGCTATTTATGGAAATGAAAAATGTTGCAATAGCTGCACCAACAGTCTCAAGCAAAGTTTAGAGGCATGTTTTATTATGTTCCAGGTAGAATACATAGAGATGCTGCACAGAGTGAGAGCTATGTAGTAAATATAGACCAAAGTTAGTTCATTTTTTAAAAGAAACTCACCATGTGAAGCCGTTCTACTAATTTTTGATCCCCAAGACAGTTGTTTGTATCGAACCATGAATCAAAATCCTGCATTAAAAAACATGCTTTATAATCAAATAATTCACTACCAATAAATCAGCATTTAATATACTATTCCTTGCCCACACATCTATTAAATACAAACAGAAGAATTTAACTATTATCTTCAGTTTTAGCTTTCCAAAAATATGTTTCAATTCTGTTTCAAATTCTTGCTCAAATAATATAGGACTGCTGTTAGGATAACTCGTGTTGGCTAATTTTCGTGTCAACATATGATATGAAATAAGTGAACATGCCCCCACTCTTCTCGCATTATCTATAATTTCATAGGACACACTGATACAGATTATAGATAACACAATAATCTTCTTAATGATTTTTAAGATCTACTAAAGCTATAATTTGATTTCTACCATATAAAGTAAATATAGCTATCAGTGCAAAAAAATTAAAATAGCACTAAAGGTAAGGCTGATTTCCAACCTGCAAAATAGACACAGGATCGAACAGCATTATTCTCTGGACATTATATGCTCTACAGGTCTGAAGAGTTATGCTTATGAAGATAAGCACCACCAATGATACAGTTATTTTCTACCTTGCTAGAAATGCTTCTTTTACAAATGCTTTTAACAGTTTTATAAAAATTACTTTATTTTCAATTTTAAATATTTATTTCATATTGAACAGCTCACAGTGCCACAGTCAAATCTGCTGTCGACAGTATTATATTATTATTGTTGTTGTTATCTCATTGAATTCAACTAATAAATTCCTACAGAACTGTTGCTGTTCTTTAAAACTATTTATACTTGCTGAGAAATGCTTCTTAATCAAAAGAGACAAACTTGTACCTAAGTTCCCTTTTAATTACAGTTTTCCAAATGATGATCATTTTCCAATTTCTATTAGCAATTGTGATAGAATTATTTAGATCAGGATCATTGAGGCTTCACCCACAAACTGCTTACCAATCACTTCATCTACATATATGTCATAATCTTTCATTCAGCCATATTTTTTTAATTAAGATACCACTAAACATTACAAATATTTCCATTCATTACCTCAGCTGAATTAAAGACATCTGGCAATAAAAAGTTAAGAAGTGCCCACAATTCGTGTAGGTTGTTCTGTAATGGTGTTCCAGTTAACAATAATCTATTTGTAGTCTTGAATTCCCTCACAATTTCTGACAACTGAAAGAAAAAAAATTATTATAAACATCTGACAGGAATCTGCAAAATTTAAATTCTTACCTAAATGGGACATTTAAAATTACCTTCGACTTTTCATTTTTAATCCTGTGGGCTTCATCAATAACTAGGTATCTCCAGTTAAATTTTTTGAATACTGATTTCTCTTTAATGAGCATTTCATATGATGTTACACAGACATCCCATTCTCCTGGCAGCAAAACATCTCTCACGAAAGCAGCCTTAATCAGAGAAAATATTGAATTAAACATTTTAAAGACAATCATTATTATACCACAGAATGTGTATTTTATGGCTAGTTATTATTAAAGACATCCACATGTGACCCTGATAATTTCAAATCTGTTACCACTTGTTACCTAAAATTACATAAAATATAATCTTAATCTACTAGGGAAATTCAGGGTTTAATACAGAAGTATAAACTCTGGGTAATTTGTAACTCTGCTAATAGATAATTCAAAAATTCACAAACTGTATTGCATCAGCCTTCTGACCAGGTTTTCCAGCAGGTCATGTCAGGAATAAGGGTGTATTTTAAAAATAATAGATAATCATCAGTCCTAATATTAACTAATTTAGAATTAATAAACATAGCAATACATTTCCCTTAATTCCTGCATAAAGAATTAGAAACAATTAAATCAAGAAACTAAATCACCTTTATTTATTTTAAAATTTCAATTGAATAATAATTCCTAACCGGCAGAACACTGTTGTGGTAACAGAAGATTTCAAACAATGACACTACAATAGCCTTAATTTTTAAAATATTTTATTTTGGGATTTGACATATATTTAAATAAACTTATTTTAATTATGCTGCAAAGTTATCATTTTCCTTATAAACAGAAGATTTAAACACACACATTTAAAATGCAAAAAAGCAATTTGATTTAATTCATGTGGAAACTCAAAACCAGTAAAAAGTACAGCGTATTTCCTTATTTTGATAAGCAGGATTAAATTATAAAAATCTGCCAATTAATAAACCATAAATAAAATTCAAAAAGCCACCTGAAGAACTGAAGTAGCCCATTCTAAAAATGGCAATACTTATTTAAAAGCATTTGTGTCAGCTAGAAATAGATTTCAGTTTAACTTCCAATATTGTACACAAAGTTTAAGCTGCTTAAAATAACAACAGCAAGAGAACTTAGACGTATATACTGCTCCATAGTACTTTACAGCACTCTCTAAACAGTTTATTAAGTCAGCATATTGTCCCAACAATCTGGTCTTCATTTTATTGACCTCGGAAACATGCAAAGCCAAGTCAACCCTGAAACGTCAGGATTAAACTGGCTGTGGACAAAGTTAATCTGTAATACTGCATTCTAACGACTGTGCCAAAAAGTTCCTGGCAAAAATGCATTTGTCAAATAGAGATATAATTATTAAGAAACTTTAAAGGATTCCATACCATTTATTGCTTAGCGGAATACAGTAGGACATGGTTAAACCTTTAGTGACTTCCCTGGCAGTTGATCAGTTGAGGTTATGATGGTGCTGAAATGTAACTTTATGACCATCACAGTACCCCTCCAGGCATTGATTGCCATTCAGGCACTTTTTAAACAGGAGTTTACAACTGTCACAGCATCTAGGATGTGATCACCAATTACATGCTTCACAACCTATTTCTGACAACCAGGGTCAATGGAGAAGCTAGCAGAAAAATCATTAAGTGATGTCGTACTTAATGGCATCATAAGTCTGTCACTATCCATATGAAATTTCACTTACCAATCCCCTGTACTTTGCTATGGGCAGAGTAGGCTAATTGTCAGTAAACATATATAAGACTAGTAGAGAAACACACTTGGGTTCATACTCACACGCTGGTCTTTATCACCTATCAGACATACAGCTCGAAGAGTTGGCACCCATCTCTTGAATTCATTCATCCAATTATGCAAAGTTGATTTGGGAACCAATACCATATGAGGACCTGGAATGTTCCTGTAATGTTTCATGTATCCAAGAAGCGCAATTGTTTGCAATGTCTTTCCAAGACCCTGTTAACAATGTATATACACAAAAAGTTAATTTGTATCAGGGAGCAAGATAAATACGTGTGTGGGTGTGTGTGGGTGTGTGTGTGTGTATGTGTGTGTGTGTGTGTGTGTGTGTGTGTGTGTGTGTGTGTGTTTTATCCATCTTGGAATTCTGTGTGTGTTTCTTTGTATGTATCAATATATTAAATTTAGAAAATGTTATGATCGTGTAAGCATATATATTTGTATCCCATATCATAAACTCTTCCTGAAAGTGCTATTAAGAATTGTTAATTTTCTTAGGATGAGCTTCTCTATTATCAGAAAGCCTATTTTCAAATATACAACCATCTCTAGTTAGATAACATTCAAAACTCTGCTTATATATTCAGAATTTTAACTATATAGGAAAATAAGACTGCAACCTGCATGATATATCATGTTCAAAATATAAAACCCAGGACAACTCCAGAACATAAAATAAAACATTCTGAATTTATATAGACTTTACAGTAATGGTTCCAGAACCAAGACTAACTTAGACAATAATTCTATTCAAGATAGAAAACCTTCACAAAAGCCAATCAAATAATTACATTTTTTATTTATTTATTGTCATATTTATATGCTGCCCTTCTCCCGAGGAACTCGGGGCGGCTCACAGAATAAAACAACCCAACAATAAATAGAATTAAAATGTTAAAATCTGATTACATAACATTTATATCTCTTATTTTTACAAATACTCAAAAAAGCCAACTTTCAATTTGCTACTAGAATAAGCACTGATTTTTTAAAAAAAATCTGAACATATATCTGCTATTATTAGGCTTTTTACAACTGTATCATTTTATATTGGGACAGGACTGACTAGAAAATCTACAACCAGAAAACCTACATTTTGACACAAAATTATTCTACTCTTATTCTATTTTGAATTAATTCACTGTGACTTGCATTTCATGCTATTATACAATTTATAACCAATTTCAATTTAGTAACAGTTCACTAAAAAGAAACTGGACAAACTTGTAGTAATTAAAATTAAAATTAAATGTTAATTATCACTTTAATTCTAAATAAAATCAGATTTCTGCATACCATTTCATCTGCTAAAATACCATTGATGCCATTTTCATACAAAGAAATGAGCCAGTTCAATCCTCTGACTTGATAATCACGCAATTTTCCCCATTTCACATCTGTAGTAAATTTAAATAATAAATTTAAAGTCACCTCTTATTTTCTTCATAGTAAGTATTCTCATTATACCCCAGGAGAAAGGACTAATATTCAGTCCATATTCTTAACAGAATAAAATGCAAAATGTTATGATATTATGACTAAATTAAATATATACAAAGCAAATTAATTGGTAACTCAGGATTTTTCTCATGTCTACCAACTACCATGTTTCCCCGAAAATAAGACCCAGTCTTATATTTTTTTGAACCCTGAAATAAGCGCTTGGCCTTATTGCCATGTGCTCAAAAGACCGATTGGGCTTATTATCAGGGGATGTCTTAATTTAGGGGAACAGGGTAGTTGCAATGTTTGCAAAACAAAATGCTAATCAACATCAGAAACAGGAAGAGTACAAATGAATAAAATATTAACTGTTCTACAAATGAATAAAAATACTGACTGTTCTACAAAGATTAATCAATAGAAAACTAGATAATTTTGTTATTTTCTATTTGAAAGGAAATGCCATACACTAATGAAAACAAATTATCATGGCATTTTAATATATCTTGACAACAGGATAAACAAATCCTCTCAAATCAGAGTAAGTTATTAGATACAAATGCATGGATGCACTTATTAGCAATCTTTTTTGAAAGGTGTATAACTTCCCTCCCACTAACAGAACAGATTAACTCTCTGTTCTCAAACACCAGAAATGATACCCCATTAAAGTGTTCATTATGAAGCAGCAAACAACAAATCCCTGAATTTGTGTTATACATGGTACACATTCAAAATCAAGGAGGCAAAACAGTTTTGAGCACACATGGGAACATATATTTTAAAACTGTGTAACTTGAAAACCTGAAATCTCTCTCAATTACACTCATATTTAATTGGGTATGGATTTAGCTTACACATAACTTCTCTGTAGTAGATCTAGAAGAGATAAGTTTGATGCTCAATTTAGAATCCAGTTTGGAAATATAATTTGTTGTAGAAAATTTAAAACATGTTCCCATTTTTCACTAGAAAAATCATACTGCTTAAAAAATAGATTTCGTTCTATTAAAAGTTGGATATAATGAATAAAAAAAGTAAAACACGATGGCAGAATAAGTATATTTAAAAGTTTGCATGCAAAATTTTATTCAAAATGCCAATGTGAATATTTTCTAATCTGTTCTAGGAAGACTTCTGTTTTGAAAGGGAGCATATAACATTTCAAAAAATATATTAATTTAAGTTGAATAATATTGGCAAATATGTGAATACCATTGAGAATTAACTTTGCTAAATGAGCAAAGTAAGTATCAAAATCTTTTAATTTTGGATAGTTCCCAAAATATATAAACATATAAACAACAAAAAGTATTACATACAGGATGGAGATTCTTCAAATCGAGTGCATACATTAGTAGTCTTGGAACTTTCTGTTAAAAGCTCCTCATCCTCTTCCTGTTCAGTTCTACGATGGCGATAGCTAGAAACAATGGAAATGTTAAGAAAATAAATAGCTAACTATTGTAGAGTCCAAAACAAACCAAATTTTTACATTGTACAACTATTACAAGCTGCTTAGGTAAACTCTTATTTGGATAAAAAAATGCATCCATCACAACTTTTAATACGTTCCAATCAAATACATGTTGAAAAGAGTTCATGTAATAGGATTCATGACTTTGTCCAAGTTATTACTCCCTAAAAACTCAAGTAAATTATTGGAAAACATTTGGTTGGGGGAAGAAGTAAAAAAAAATAATAATCCGTTATCTGAGGTTGAAGATAAAAACAACACATTTAAAAAATTCATAATGCTTCCAGTTTGAGAGGCAGTTATTCACAGCTCAAGATGCCATTGGCTCATCTCCATTCTTAAGCTTTTTCCTGCTTTCCAAACAACTATTATGAATTACAACTATATTATGCTCTGTATGGTTCTTCTATTCATATGTGGTTTTCAGGAAGTATTGGCTGTTTTTCTATTTCTAAAGTATCAAATCTCATTACACCTGGCATCCAGCCAGTAAACACTCAGCTCCATTCCATTGCTCGGACTCCACCCAGCAAGGAATTATGGGGTCATTAAAAGAGGATGAAATCTCATCACAGCACATTGCCATATCAGTTTACCTTCTTTCAATCATGTAAATCAGAAACTGAACTAAAACCATATCTGCAATTTGACTTGATTCTGAAAATATTCAAAGCATGCATATATGAAACTCTATTAGGAAAAAAATGCTGCCCATTCTAATGAAAGGCTGATTTTTATTCTTCTCCAACTTAAAGCTAGAAAGAGTAAAGAGAGATAATCCTATCTCACATGCTGAAAAAAGAACATTCAAAGACAGCGCCCTGGCAACTCTTTTTAAGCTTTCTTAAACATCACTATAGAAGCTATTCCTTATAGAAGGTATTGCTTATATCCCAAACTGAAGAGTTTTACAGTGAAGAGTCATGGTGGCGCAGTGGTTAGAATGCAGTATTGCAGACTAATTTTGCTGACTGCCAGGAGTTCAATCCTGACCGGCTCAAGGTTGACTCAGCCTTCCATTCTTCCAACGTTGGTAAAATGAGGACTCAGATTGTTGGGGAGCAGTATGCTGACTGTAAACCGCTTAGAGAGGGCTCCAAAGCACTATATATGTGCTATTTACATATATGGCCCCTCTCATCAGAGGTAGACGTCTGCAGACAATTTAAATACGATCTACTCTAGTGTCTGCATATTTGTATTCAATCATGATCTATTTTTGTGTTTCACATTTATTTATTTAGTTGCATGACGCCCTTTGCACATTACAACTCAAAGGCGCTAAAAATATTTTACAATGACACATTTTCAGAATAAATATGAGTCTGTTGATACTCACTCTCCAACAGATAACAGATTTTGTTTTTCATCTTTTTTTATTCTTGGTCGTCCTGGTTTCATTTTTAAGGGGGAAGTTGGAGTCTTCTGAGCAGCAGGCTGAATGAAATGTGCAAACAATTCTGTCTGTTTCAACAGATAGTCAAATCTGTTTGCTCGATCGGTTTGCTGCAATAAAGTTAAAAAGATTAGCAAGAAAATAAGAACGTTTAAACATGAAAAAAAATCAAATTCTAGAATTAGTTTTTAACATTTGAAAATCAATTATAAAGTCAATTATAAAGGGGCAAAAGCAGAAAACACCATAATTTAGCATCCAATCTTTGGGTCAAGGAAGTCTTCTGATTACCATGACACTGCTAGAAATTGTGTAGCTGAAGACTGGGTGGGGAATGTCAACAGACTTTGAAGGAAATTTAAAGAGTATGAATAGGAGGTGGCTTCTTTGAAACAAACTTCTATTCTCATTTTTAAAAGCCTTCTAAAATAAACCAAAATTACATTGATAAAATATCAAGATTATTTGATAGATCAGTCCAAGTTTGAGGTGCTTGGTTGCCCAGTGCATGAACCAAACTGTCAAGTCCTGAAGTAATCACCTACATTACAATACAAAATACCTACCATTTTTTCTTCATAGGTAGGATCTGGTTCTTGATTTTCTTTTTGTTTTCCTGGAGATTCATCACCAAAAAATTCCTAAGGAACAAATAACATCCCTTACTATTCTTTCACATTTTATAACTTTACAAACATTAAGATTTGTTTTGGAAATCTAAACTATGTACAGCAAAAGTATATACCATGTTTTCCCGAAAATAAAACCAGTCTTATTTTCTTTTGGACCCCGAAATAAGCATTCAGGCTTATTATCAGGGAGGTCTTATTTTTTTGACATACAGGAGGCGGCGAGTGTGAGGGCCGATGGGAATGGGAGCGCTGCTACTGCCAGCTTCACCCTGTGTCCCACCGTCTACTTGCCTGTGGCCGCAACAGCTCAACCTCTCCGTGCGCCCTGGCCTCCAGCCTTCCTGCCTGCTGGCCCTGCTGCTGCTGGGACACTGGAGCTTGGGTCTTGTCGCGCCGATGAAGCCACTTTCGGAAGGATGCCACAAGGCTCATTGCGCCAGTGGAGCCACTCTAGGAAGAATGGATGAGACTTGTCACGCCAGTGGAGCCACTCTAGGAAGGACACCATGAGGCTCGTCGCACTAGTACAGTTGCTTGTGGCAGGACGCTGCATGGTGTATTGTGCCATTGAGTTTTACACCTGCACTTTGCCCCACATTGTACAACCAGACGGTGGCAGGGCTTGTCTATGGCTTATTTTTAGGGTAGGGTTTATATTAGGCATAGGCATGAAAATCAGGCTAGGGCTTGTTTTCGGGGTAAGTCATATTTTTGGGAAAACATGGTATTTATGAGTTTATAAATCACATTAGTAAAACATATTCTACGTGGTACAAAAGGAACAGCTGCAGACAATAAAGTAATAATATAAAACATAATAAATATAAAATTACAATAAAGTTATATATTGTCTTGTGTGTGTTGCATTGTGCAGCATTGCATTACATTACATCAATACTTTTGCCACTAAGAGTTCTACAGCATAACAAGTTCCAAAGACCATCAAGAACACCACATTTTTACAAGTTTTGAGAAGAACAGAAGAATGAGAATTATTCTTGCTTCACAACTAGGGTGAGTGTTTCAGAGAAGGAAGCCCTCAGCAAAATGCCCATTTTTGAGATGTTACCTTCATTGGATAATGAAACATCTGCAAGATCATAACCAAGCTCAGAGAGTACTAAGAACTTCATTTCAATCCATCAATTTTATGATGGTTGCAGTCACATAACCTTGTTACTAACTTAACAACTGCAGTGATTCATATAATAACTGCGACAATAAAGATAATAAAATGGGAAAAAATTCACTTAACAAATGTCTCACTTAGCAACATAAATTTTGGGCTCAATTGTGGTCATAGGTCGAAGACTATCTGTACTCCAAGATGTCTAATATACACAACAGACCATATTAATTAGGTTCTCCATGCCTGCAGGGTCAAAATACTAGAAAGTATAATATTGCTTCTGATTGTGTTTTAAATTTGTAATATGATTTGGTTGTTATTAAAACTAGTGAGCCTCTTTTATGGATATAAACTGGATTTCTTCGAGGGCTGGATCAGCATTGTAGTTCTCTGTGGGCCGGACAGTGGGGGGCAGACGGCTCATGCAACACTCTGCCAGCTGAAAACGGGCCATGGGGAGCGTGCCCTGTTTTGGCCGGCTGAGGCACCGCAAGGCGGTCCTTTGATATTTCCAGACCAGCCCCAAGAGCCAGGTGTAAGCACGCCATGGGCCGGATCCCGTCCGTGGGCCTTGAGTTTGACACCCCTGTCTTAGAGTATGTAGATGGGATAACATAGAAAAGTATTAAATAAGTAAAGATATAAGCTAAAATGTACAAACACAAAAAAGCCTTAATGTAAATGTGTAATTGTCCTCAGTGAATTAACATAGGCTTTTTTCCTTTTATTTTCTACAAAAATATATTAGTTGAAATTGTGTAAGATCAGTAATGATTACATAAAACATATTATAAAAATAATAGTCTAACGTTTGAAAGAGACCACAGTGAGAAACCGTGGACTAAGTCAAGACTTCAAACAGTATGTGATTGTACAACCATGAGACTTTATTGCTTTGAATTGATCAGAATGTACTTTTAAAAGGGTAGAATAAAAAATAAATAGCTAGAAATGCTTAACAAGTCCTACTTAATTTGTAGAACCGATATAAATAATTCCTCTATTCTAACAAGATTTTGCATCAATTCATTATTTATTTTCCAAATATATATCAATTAATGTGATTTATGAAATTTATACATTCTTGAATTATGCTACCAATGACATATTTGGAGTTTCACATCTTTACCTTATTACATTACTAAAAATGAAATAAAAGAACACATGATTCAAACAAGTTTGTTAACATGTACTCAGTGTAATTACAATCTTCTATCTGTAAACAAAGATATAAGGAAGCAAGACACTGCCTAACATTGATGTATCTTATTGTGTAACTATAAAAAGACATTTATTCAAAACTATTCAATGTAGTTTTCAGGTGTCACTGTACTAATATAAATTTGGGAAGTGCGAATGTATGACAGAAGCTGGACACAAAACACAGATACAGTTGCACTTCCGAATACATTTTATAACAACATATATGTATAGCTGTGAAAGTTGGACCATAAAAAAGGCTGAGCGCCAAAGCATTGAGGCCTTTGAATTATGGTGCTGGAGAAGACTCCTGCGAGTCTGTTGGACTGCAAGGCGATCAAACCGGTCAGTCCTAGAGGAGATCAACCCTGACTTTAGAAGGCCAGATCCTGAAGATGAAACTCAAATACTTTGGCCACCTAATGAGAAGGAAGAACTCATTGGAGAAGAGCCTAATGCTGGGAAAGATTGAGGGCAAAAGAAGAAGGAGAGGACAGAGAACGAGGTGGCTGGAAGCAGTAGGCATGAGCTTAAATGGACTTCAGAAGATGGTAGAGGACAGGAAAGCCTGGAGGAACGTTGTCCATGGGACACAACTTCATAACTAACACCACTTTAGCAGCACCTAGAAGTAAAATTGTTTGGAATCCACTTACAAATAGGCTGCATTTCCTGGTTTATTTCAGATTAATAGACTAGTAAATGCAACCTTTAGCCTTTCCAACAGTATACCTCACCAGTTTTATTTTTAAATCAACAATATACTGTAGCAAAAAAGAAAGAAAGAAAGAAAAAAGACTCTATGTTAATTTTCTAAGAACGATTACTTAAAATTTACCCTTGAGGGTTTGTGTATTTTTGTCCATTTTAACTTTATCTTTAGCTTTTTCAACAGTCTGAGCAGAAATCTCCCTGTCCATTAAAGCAGGTGAAGCCTGGGACAAGTGGAGAAGGGTCGTTTCTCCAGAAACGCACATCCACCAGGTGGAACCGAGTCCAAATGACTTTCCACAATGAAGAGCAGCGGTCTCCGGGCCTGGCAATAGCATTTATTTTTATTTTATTTTTTTGACATCTGCACATCCTAATCGTCAAAACAAGGGAAGTGGCCTCGGCAGGATTACCGCATCACCTCCCGAAAGCGAAGGCCTCTCAAGCACCAACCACGCCGCTTTGCCAAGGGAGCCTCCAAGCTCTGAGCTAAGGCGCCCGGAGGTTCGCCAGAGCCAGGCTACCACCGCGCCCCACGGAAGGTAACCGTATCCCGACGCCGCTTGAAGCCGCAACACTGAACGTTTCAACCGACCACGAGCGTCGGCTTCGCTGCGAACACGACGCGCGGCCAATTCCCCCTTTTTGGAAGCCCCCTTTTCCACCTGCAGCCCAGCCAGGACGGCGCCGACGGAGCTTTTGCGGTGGAAGAAAAGCAGGGCAGGGAGGCGAACGGATAAGACCCGGCGCGGCTTCGCCGATGAGGACCCAGAGAAAGGGCTATAAAAAGCCCCGTGAAGCGGTATATAAGTCTCAATGCTATTGTTATTTAACGGCTCAGCTGCCGGCGGAGACAAAAAAAAGGGGGGGGAGGGCGGCGGTGGCCGCAGCGGAGGCGGCGCGATTAAACCGGAGAAAGGAGCGGCGTCCCCGGGGAAATCGCTCGCCTCCATCGGGATACCCGCGCCCATCGCTCTTCTGCCTGGCAAAGGCGTCCGCCGGAGGCGCCGCTCGGCTGGAGCTTCAACAGCCGCTCGGCTCTTCCTATTGTCTCCGGCGCCAACGGCTCGGTTCCCCACCCGACAAACTCGGTCCGAGAAACTCAGCGGTTAAGAGCGCTTCACAGATTCGGGCCGAAGAAACGGCTGAGGTTCTTTGCCCCACGTTGCCCTTCCCCGCCCGCCCGCCTGCCTGCCTGCCTGCCTGAGCCGGCGAGAGGAACCTGCGGGTCGCCCCCACAGCGCCGGTTTTTCCAGCCACCGGACTCTTCTTACCGTTCCTTCGTCATTTATCCCGGGCGTCCCTTCGGCGGAAGCCGGGGCCCCTCCTGTGTTCTCCATGCCGCTGGGAACCGAAGCGGTGCCCGAAAGGGAGCTCACGTTCTCGTTCTCCGGTCCCAGCGCAGACATCATGAAGACCGTCCGGAGAGATGAAAACGGCCAAAGGCGCCGAGCTCCCGACTCCTCCTTCGAAACACAAAAGTGAAATGAAGGGAGTTCTCGCCGATTCCCTCCGCGCGCGACTCGGGCCGGGCTCTTTTCTTTCTCTTCTTCTTCTTCTTCTTCTTTTTTCTTTCAGGCCCCTCTCCCCGCTGCCGCCCCGGCTTTCTCAACGCGGTCCCACCAACCAGGAACCGAGCCGGCTCTCGAGTATCGCGAGACTCAGCCTCGCGGGCTGGGTGTGGAAGAAAACACGGAGAGGGGAAAAGAAAAGAAAAAAAAAAAAGCCCGTTCTGGTTCTTACATTGGCTGAAGCCAAAGTCTGATTGGCCAATTAAAGCAAGAAGGCGGGTTCCTTTGGGCACCCAAGTGCTCGGTATTTGGGGTAGGAACGGGTGAAGTTTGCCCATGAGTCCACAACTGGGAGCGGGAATCTCCTTGCGTCATTAGATCGGGGCGGGGCTTACAGTTCCGTTGCAGATGAGAGGCAACGAAAAAAGAAAAGTCGAAGTGCCGGAAGATTAGCTCAGAGTTTCTCAGCCTCACAAACTTCAAGATGTGTGGACTTCAACTCCCAGAGTTCCCCAGCCAGCCATGCATAAAAATACATACATCTTAAAGTTGTCGAATTTGAGAAATATTGGTAGTCTTTTCAGATCTTCCCAAACTTTTACGTCAGTAAGAATAGAAATGGGAGATTTGTGCAGCCCTCTACTCTTTCGGAACGACGAGTCCCGGCATTTTTTGCCTGTTGGCAGAATCTCCTGCAGGATTCCCGAAATACTGGAAAATACTGGCACGTTTTCACGAAGGCTTCAAAAATTAGGACGGACGCTGGATTCTTATAATTAACAACTTATAGCTGTTAGGATTTTTGATAAACCTGATTTTCATAAATAATATCGAAGCTTAAATTTACAAATTATAAAATATAACTGGCGCTGTTATATTAACTGTCATATTAAGCATACCAGTAGTTTGGTCAGAATTCATTTTTTTAAATTAAGGAGTCTATCCAATAGGAAAAAATCCAGAGGGCCATTAAATAGCAGATTTCTCTAATTAAATAATTTTCTGCGACCGTTTGGTGCTATCAAGTGGTTGCAAGCAAATTTTTCAGAGGCTATATATGGTTATGGCTATGTTACAACAAAGCCTTATAATGCTATAAAGCTTTTCAAAGTAAAACATTATCTTGTGTAGTAAAAACAAATATTAGCAACAAAAATGTACAATAACAATATATAACTAGTTAGGGTTAGGTATATAGACATAAAGTTTATGAAAGAATCTTCCATCTAAATGGATTAATTTATAGTCTAGATAACAATAAATGGATTGATTGAATGGTTAATGAATTAATACAGGGGTAATGTTGATTTCTATGTTATGTGAGTTTCAGGAGCATTAGCATCTCAGTAAAATTTGCTGATCTTTGAAACTATGGAGAAGCAAAACATCTTCCTCAAAGACAAAGTCCAGTGTCTTGGAAAAGCACCTTTGAGACTATATCAGTGGTCCCCAACCCCCGGTCCGCGGACCGGTGCCGGGCCGTGGAGTACCTGGCACCGGGCCGCGCAGCGGCCGGGGGACATGAACGCTGCAGCGCAAAGGCTCCTGGGCCGTGCGCAAAAGCTCCTGGGCCGTGCGCAATGGGCCGTGCGCAAAAGCTCCTGGGCTGTGCCCCCACCCCTGCACGCGCTCAGCGGGCCGCAGCGATAAAAAGGTTGGGGACCACTGGACTATATGATCTGGATATAAAGTCTTCATTTTTAAGTGTTCAAAAATTGATCATTCAACATCAATTTATTGAGCTGTGAAATCTTAACAAATGGCAATTAAAATGGCAGTTGAAATGGTGTTTCAGTGTCTTCAGAGGAAGTTGATAGACTGCAACTTTTGCGTAATTGTAATAGGACTAGAAAATCACATTAGAACATTAAACTGAATGTAATGTATTTGGAATTTCTGCATAAATTCTGATGAACCCTAGATGGCAGTAAAATGTTGATTCTGTAATTTTGTTATCTGGATTTCTGCAGTCCAAAGTAGGAAACCTATGAATAAAACTGTCACATGAGTAGAATGTTTGATATTCTAGTTATGGTCATCTAATACAACTATTGTGATCAGTATGGGACCAGTGATATATAAGAAATCTTCTCCAGTTACACTTATGGGCTTGGTATATTTATTAATTTTTAATTTTTAGATAAGAATAGTAGATTGCTACTTTTTTCCAAGAAGTTACCAGAGTTATCACATTTTATCACTAACACATGAAATGAAATGTGTACCATGAATAGAAAACATCAGTAGACTTCAGCTATTCTAGTTATTTCCTCTTTATATCTCACATAAAAATAATGGAATCACTTTAAATCTTAAGCACAGAGCCGTATTTTTTCTTCCTACCCCAATTCAAATCTTGTGATTATCATGTTCAAACTGTACAATCAGTTACTTTTGGGACAGTTGTTTTTCCACCAGTCATTTTTACATTCATTGATTGCTTTCCAATAGTCTGTATCCATGATGTTCCTTAGTGCCTGCTGAGTTTGGTGTATCTATGTTATTGCTTGTGTGGGTGTCTCTTTAATTACTGCATAACCTCACTGATTTTTTTTTATTCATTTGACCTACAGCCATTCAATATGTAAATAAATTTCATCAGATTAAATTTTTGTATAATCTAATACAGGACTTTTAATCTTTTTTTTTTACTTCTTTTCAATTTTATTAGCCAGTTTTTCAGGAAAAGGAACATTGACTTAGTTTATAATTTTTGCTTAACCATGGTTTATGTCTTTTATAATAAAAATTGAACTATAAATTCCAATTTGTCAAATCCAATTATAGCCTTTAGCCCACCAACCACACTGTAATTAGTGCAATGTGTGAATCCAGCCATTGTATTGACGAGGGTCTGAAATAGTTCATGAAACCACTGCTTAAAAAAAAATATAACAACAGACTTCGATAGTTTCTGGTGGATTTCTGTTTTATTCTGGTGGGGGTTTTTTAAATAAGGATGATTAAACAATGACCCTTGATACTATTGTCCTAGCATTCTTTGCCACTGGCCATGTCAGCTATACTTATACTAATTCAGCAAACATGAAGGATTTCCAATACCTTCTTTGTTTTTAAAATGTTCTCTTTTTAATTCTCATTAGCAGCAAGTTGAGTTGAATTGGCCAAAAGATAGTTTAAAATATACATATTTAAAGGTTTAAAATATTAGCATAATGCAGTTAAAAGCAAATTTTTGAGTTTTTTCACACTGTTTTATAAAGCACAATGGCTGAGTTCATGCAACATGAACTCAATATGTCTCTTGTTCAACTCCCTGCTGAAAAATATGGGGACTGTAGTGCTGTGAAGATTTCCTGAATTCTTAGTAACAAGATTTAGATTTTATTTACAGATATGGATACAAAAAATTGGTATATTTGCTCAGTCTTCTAGACATTTAATAATAGAAGGTTTCTAGGTTAAATAATGATTTTCATAATGTAGCAAAAAATCTGTCAAATGTATGGTTATTTATTATTCAATGAAGTGAAACACTGAAATGCAAACCACATCTTCAAATGTTTTGTTATTTATATCCAATATAGAATGTCAGCTGTCAGCAATATATAAAATAAGAACAGCAAAATTAAGACAGCTATTGTGCTCAATTCTTACTTTCAGTCTAAAAGTTTGAAAAATGATTTTATAACATACAAGCAAATCAGAATAAACTCCCAAAGCTTGCAGCTTGAAAAAAAATAGTCTTGAAATTAATTTTATAAGCCTAAATACGACCAAAGCTTTTTCAAACCTGTTGGTATCTATGAACATTTATAATTTGAATGGATTAGTGTTTGATCTTTTGACTAATTAAACAGTTTAATGGTATTGTAAAATGTTGCACACACACGCACACACACACACACACATATATAAATACTCTGTGTGTGTGTGTGTGTGTGTGTGTGTGTGTGTGTGTGTGTATATTTGTTTTCTGAAGTTTTCATGGGTGTTTGTATGTAGGTCTTTGGTTATTTGGGTTTTCTCCCGCGTAAAATTGGAAGTGTCTTGGCGACGAAAACACCAGCCTGAAGATGACGAATGAGACTTAGTCGAAACATCGCCAAGTTCCAATTTTACGCGGGAGAAAACCCGGATAACCAAAGACCTACATATATATATCGCAACGGGGCCGCATGCACAGAAGCGTTTTGATGACATCAGGGTCAATGGGCGGAGCCTCCTGCCGGTTTTACTACTGGTTCTATAGAACCGGTGCAAACCAGGGGCAACCCACTGATACATACACACACACACATATAGATTTACCGGTAAATATATCTATCTATCTTGAATCAGTCTAATATTGTTATTGTTGTAGATGAAGTGGTTATCAAAACACTTGTATAATTTCTAACAATACAAAGGTACTGCTTTTGCATTAGAACTTTACATTGTTTTTAGCATTAGAACTCTGAATTATTTTCCTGATACTTTTTGAGTTCATTTTGCTTAAATCTGCATAAATAGTAATAAAATAAAATACAATAAGATAACTATTTATATTTCTATACTGATTCTTGAAAATTCTCTCGTCTGTCTCTGTCTCTGTCTCTCTCTCTCTGTCTCTCTCATCTATCTATCTCAGGGAAAAAGTGATATTGAGTAGCAAAGTGAAAAAGTAGCATCCGGCCTGCCTTATTCTGTTGGTAGGGTGGATCTGCTGGAAGTGGTTTCCTAAGAAGAGATTAATTTCATTATTTTTAAAATGTGATTATGTACTCCAAATTAAAAACATGAAACAAAGAAATGAACAAGTATTTTAAAACAAAATTCAACATCAGCTCCTATATTGCTATTTTCTTACCAATTTCTTAGTAAGAAACAATTTCTTGATTGGTCATTCTTCATTGCAAGAGACAGCCTATTTGTAGCTAGGTTTCATTGCACAGTAGCATTTTCACTTCGTCATCTTATGACTGGCATTACAGTAGTGGCCAAAATTGTGGAAACGTTTTGGGAAAAGTGTATTTTTGAGGTTTGATGGCTAATAACACTTTTTTTTTTGGAGTAAACCATAAAATTATATATCAATGGAAAGATAATTTAATCAAGAATGTAATGCAACAAAGTTTGTTCAATTATCTGTATTGTATGAAAAGTTATAGCCAAATAACCAGAAAAAGGAAACACAACTTGCTTAGGTGGATATCAGGTAGTTTTCCTTCATTGATTGTAGCCAATGAGCATGAGTGTTTCAAGAGCCAATCAGGTGTCATCTTTTTTTGGCAATGAGCCAATCAGATCACAGTACAATTCAGTTGTTGATGTTATGTACTAAAGCTGAGAGGACATTTGTCAGTGTGATATGTGATTGCTATCAAGTTGGTTGTGGTTTTTTTGTGTTCTATCATTTAGTGAGATTTTAAAATGTAATAAAATTAAAGTAATGATGCAAAGAGTTGACTGGTCGCCCAGAAAGTGATATAAAATAGTATTATTAAGGAAACAAAGCTACAGTTATAAAGAAATTAGAAAAAAAATTGGTGGAAACTTAACCAACGGTGGCATTTCTAAGTACACCTCTTCTAAGAAGAGGTATAAGGAGACTCAGTCACTACAAAACCACACTGGTAAAGGCAAGAAAAGGTGCACAACAGCAAGTGATGATAGAAGAATTAAGAGACTGTGCCTATGTGACGGAAGAAAATCTGTGTATACAAGATGAAATGGCGCAATGCAATGTGAAGTTGAGCGCAAGGACTGTTTGGCGCAGATTGCAGGAATTTGGCCTAAAATCTGGAATTCCATGAAAAAAGCCACTTTTGTATCTCAAACAAAAGTTGAAAAGACTAAACTGGACTAAAACCCATGTTACCTGGACATAGGATATATTTTATGGTACTTCTCCAAAAAAAGTGGTGTTATTAGCCATCAAACCTCAAAAATACTGTACATTTTTCCCAAAAGGTTTCCACAATTTTGGTCACTAGTGTATACTTCAAGAGTACCGTATATTTACATGGATCTCAACTTCCATAACTAATTTATTTTTTTAGACTTATATATCCTTTTTCATTCAGGAATTCACAGCAGCATATATTTTGCTCCATCTTCTCATTTACACCCACAATTCCACTTCCACTAGATCAGGCAGCATATCCCCATTGAAGACTGGTACACAAGTTGCAGTTCCTTATGGAGTCGCAGCTTATTGCTCAAGAGCAGATGACAGCTGTGGCCAGAATGGCCTTTGCACAAGTTCAACTTGGGTGCCAGTTACACCCGTTTTTCAGTCAGGAGTGCCTCCAATCAGTTACTCATGGTATGCTCACCTCATGACTGAATTATTGCGATGTAGCCTATATTTATTTATTTATTTATTTATTTATTTATTTATTTATTTATTTATTTATTACATGTATTTATATGCCGCCATTCTCCCAAAGGACTCAGGGCGGTGAACACAAGTTAAGAAACAAGTACAATAAAATCATAATTTAATCCAAATAATTAATTAGTAGTAAATAATAAAGCCCGGAATCAGTGTCAGCCTATTTGTTTGAAAAGCCAAGTCTTCAAGTCCCGACGGAAGGAGTGGAGATCAGGAGCCGTCCAGAGCTCAGTAGGTAATTCATTCCAGAGGGTGGGAGCACCCACAGAGAACGCCCTGCCCCTGGGCACAGCAAGGTGACATTGGCTCGCCGTCGAACCCTGAGGACAGCGGCCCTATGTGAGCTAACAGGACGGTGAGAGGCAGGCAGAAGAAGGTCATGCAAATATCCTGGACCTAAGTCATGAAGTGCCTTATAGGTGGCTTATATGGGGCTGCCCAGAAGCTACAGGTGGTTCGAAATGCTTCAGCACTAACAATAACAGGCACTTCTTAATATATCCATGTGTCATTGCTACTATACAAGTTACATGGATTGTCAGTTGGATTCTGAGTGAAATTCAGTGGGCTTGTTTGAACATGTACAGTCCTGCATGGAGTAGAGCCTGAATATCTGAGAGACTGTTTCTGTCCATCAGATATGTGTGGGTTTCAGATATGTGTGGGTTCTCTTGTCATATTGAGCAAGCCTTATCTGCTATGTCCCCTGTCCTCTGGAAGAACATTTCCCTTGATATAAGGACCGCCCCTCTTATCAGTTCTGAAAACTCTTAAAACCTGACTTTAGGTTTTGTATAGTCTTGGGGCCCTTGTGGTCTCTTGTTGCTTGCATAGCAGCACTGGGTTCACCCCCTTCTGGGTGGCCAACGGACTTTTTTGCTGTTTTGATTGTCTTCATCTAGGCTGTATGGCTCATACAGGTACATCTACTTAGAGAATTTTGATGAACAAATGGGCTCAGTAGTAGAAGCATTAAAAACTGGGTAGACATCTTTTGGAGATACCCTTTCATTTCAGTTTGAAAAATACTACCATCATTATTTTTTAATAGGTTATCTCATTTAATAATCTACATACTGAAGTTATTAAGGGTTAACAACTATGTATGTTTATGGTTCTCAATGAGTTACACACATGAAGCAGAACAACTTGGATTTATTTAAAATTCATCTCGAAATGCAATGTTTAGTTTAAAAAACATTTAAAACACCAAAATATTTCTAATTTAAAAAGAAACCTTGTTAGAAATAAAATTTACAAACTATTAAGTTGGAATGGGATTAGAAAATTAGATATAATATTAAGGCCAGCATTTCTTTCTTTATTCAGTATTTATGAAGTTTGAGAAATAGAACATTCTCTTTTTTACAACCACAAAAGAATGAATTAGTAAATTTTTCCATCACGATTAATGATTTTTTAAAGTTGTACTTTAAAGAGAATTAGTGTTTCCCTTTTCAGCTGTTGAAGCAGCTACTATTTGGAATAAGAATAGTGATGCAATAAATCAAAAGTATTCAAAATTAATTCTGTACCTGAAGAACTTTTTTTTAAAAATGGGATAAATCTTGTGTTTTCCTTTTAAAAAAGAACAAAATGTTAAAAATACCACTTACATAGGAATTTAAATATAAGGCCAAGCAAGAAACTTGGCATAACAAGGATCATTAAAAAGATTCATGTGGTGTCAAGACATAATAATTCCATTTGTATTGCAATCTGATTTCAAAACAAAACAAAACAAAACAAAAATCACAGTATCTTCTAGTACTATAAACAGTGAATGTCACACCGCCTCATGAATTTTCATACTAAAAACCAGTACAAAGGCTTGGTTGCAGTAGAAAATTAAAAGCACGTTGTTTGAACCTGATATGTGAACTAGCACAATGTGGTGCTAGGTACGTACCTGATGTCATAATTTCTGTTTTTGTAAATGAAGTAAATATTACACTTCGCAGTTAAAGAGTGAGATCAGTCATTACTGCATACCTTCAGTGATATTGAGATTTATGTGATATTCTGGGCAAAGATCCCTCCCTGCAGAATCTTTGCTCAGCAAATAAAGAACACTGTTCTCAGTGAAAATTCAAAAGGACCTCCTCTAACTAATGCATTATTGAATAAGACATTAGAGTAGACTCAGAAACATGCCTATTATTACTAACTCACAGCCATTTCTGATAGGAAGGCAACCTGTAGAATTTGAAGTATATTTTGCATGTATTAAATATAAAAAAACATAGGCATTTAACAAATCATCTCTTGACATTTCAAGTAGATTAAAATTGTGAAACTATTTTTTCTAATTGATCTTTGAGCTATTAAAATGCACCTCAGACCTTAATTTCAATATCATACACATAGCTTACTTCCTAGAATGTTATAGAGTAGTGTCGGGGAGAAAGGAGGATGTTAAAAGTACATTAGGTGGAGAAAGCTGAACCACCATTTTAACAAGGAAAAAGTGCATACAACATTGTAATACTATCAATCAGTTAATTCCAGATCAAAATGCTTTTCTCAGACCCAAGATACACTATTTTACATCATGAAAATCACTAAGATTTGCCACAGGCTACTGTTTTATTTCATGTTGTCATCAGCTTGATATTGAAATATTTGAAGAAAAATAATTCATTGAAGTATTCTTCTCTCTCAGTTAATGGTGGCTCTCTTTAAGAATATTTCAACAGGACTTCAAATATTTTTATTTTCATTTCACACTTTTTGTTGGTGTTTCAGATTCTGTTGATTGCCTTCCATCTGTCCAAGCTTCTCTTGTACTCTTCAATGCTAATGTTTTTTGTTGGTCAACAACAACATAATCGACTCTTTCATCAGCCACACTACCGCCAGAAACACTACTCTTTTTCTGGAAAAGAAACAAAACAAGACATTAAAGTAGAAAAACAGAAAGGGGTTGGTTATAGTGGTTAATGCAGTGGGCAAGAAATGGAGACTTTTAGACTTGCTTTTGGCACAAAGCCCCTTGGGCAAGACACTCTTTTTCAGCTCTAGGAAAGAGGGAATGGCAAAATACTTCTGAAAATGCTGCTAAGAAAACTGCAGGAACTTGTCAAGGTAGTTTTCAGGAGTCAACAATGATTTTAAGGCACATACACAGAGAGACTTATAGTAAGACAAGGTAACATAAAAGTCTTTTCACAAATGAAAGGCTTCATTTTCAGAAGAGAATGTGATTCAGCAGAAATGTCTAGTGGAAAAAATGGGGTACTTTTTTTTTTTCAATCAATTATTCTTATTTATTTATTTCTCACTTCCATTCTTTCAAACTAGAGGCTTAGATCAAACTCTTGATCTTAAGTTTATGAAGAAGAAGAAAGCAACTACTGGTAATTAGGTATACACCGTACATTCATTAGTATTTGAATAAAAGTCATTTTCTACCCAGTTTTGGAAAGCTGACTGAAAGAAAAGTTCTAAGCTTATCAGTATAGTGAAAATAACATAAAAAGTTGTATTTTCTCCATTTTGGTAATCCAAAAAGAATGGAGCTCAACTATAATTGACAAATAAAATGATTCATTGCCAGGAGCTAAATTATCTGTGGGTAGCTATGCAGTTGTGTTTACCTTGCGAGGTGGAGTAGATTTTCCAGAATCTAAATCCAGATCTAAATATTCCACCTGCTTGTCACCTTTAGGTTTTACCATAGGGCTGCTTCCCCCATCAAGGCTGCTGCTGCAGAACAAACCCTGAAATTTTAATTGGAATTATTGTTATTATTTGTGAAAAACTTTAATATAATGTATCCCTCAACATTGTGAAGCACTGTTGTCCCATTTTGTAATATGTATTTCAATATCCAATAATATTTTACAACTAAGATTGCCTTTAATTAAAATTATTTAGTGGCACAGCATAGGAAAAAACTAAAATCAAACTCAAGATTTAATGTTACAGATGTGCAAAAGGTTTCAAAGTCAACGTGAGTTGTATGAAGTTAACTAGAAATGGCTTAACACTATTTTGTTCTTCGTGCTCTCTGAGCTTGCTTGTTTTCTTGCAGATGTTTTATTACCAAAACTAGGTAAAGCATCAGTGCTAGTAAGGAGTACAGTGTGATGTACCCCCACTGCACTCCTTACTCATGCCAACCCTGAGCTACAAATATTCTCCTTTATTCGTACTATTTTGTTCGTTCCAGAAATATCCCAAACCTGGAACATGACCAAGCTCAGAACACTCCTGGAATGGCTGGAACAGTGTTAAACGTGTTTATTGGGGTCAGAAGAGATGTTATGAAACTTAAATTTTGGAAAGCCACATTAATATTTACTTAATAGTCATAAGAATTTACTTCACAGTATGTATTGTCTCCCTCCCCGCTCCCCCATATATGGGTACATGTTGGTCAAAGACCATATAAAGATTTGCCTACCTTCTCTTACTATTATTTCACAATAAATAAATAAAATATTTCTTAAAGTTGTATAAAATGTACAGGGATATAATGTACTTCATTCACTATCAGAAGACATGATGATAGCCAAATAGTTTTGAAAGTTTTTGTATACACTGAAGGCTTCTAGTCCGTAAGTCTATATAATGACTAAAGAATATCTTTTGCTAGAACAAAAATACTGGTCTTGTGTAGTTCCTGTGTATTTTCACCAGCCACTTTAGAAACTTGTGATTCAAAAGAGCATTATTTCTGAGCAGAGTTTAGGAGATTTGAAATTCAACAGTATATGGAAAACCACAGGTTCCCTACTTTGTGATAGGTATTGGCTGGCCATTTGGCCATTTCTAATCAAAAGAATCTTAGGTTCAAACAAAGAAAAGGCTGAAAATGAGAAAGAGGCAACTAAATCCCATTACTTCCAAGATTTTACTCAATTTATGGTCCCCAGAACTTAATTGCCAGACATTAATGGTAACATTTCAAGGTATGAAATACATGAAATAAACCATTTTAAAAACAAACATGACTAATTTGCTTCATCCCATTACCCAGTTTGTCACTATCTGTAATTTGTTAAGTGTAACTACAAAATAATGCTCATATTATTTTAAACATTATTTCACTTTTATAAGCCTCAAAGTATTTAATTGATTTAATACCTTCCCTCCCACCGAAAAACAGAAAATGTGATATGATTGTGAAGAAAGGACATATTTATGATGTAAAACCACCTACTGGATCATCAGTGGACTGATTTGGATTCATGGGTACATAATTCTCATCACTGTCATGCGAATCACTGCTAGAAGTTGTACTATGAATTGAATCTGGCCGGGGGGATAATGGAAACCTGGAAGAACTAAATGAAGAAAAGTATTTTAAAATGTGTGGTGTATTTATTTTATGCTGTTCATAGATATATTTCTGTATTTATTTAAATATTTCTATTCCATCTTTCCCTTTAAAAGCAAGAACCATAAAATAAAGGAGTTGAATGATAATTCAAGAAATAAGAAATGCAAAAGAATCTAGCAGTAAAATATCAGAAACTGTTCCTGAAGAGATTTTTAAAAAAACAAAACTGTGGTGCCATAGGAGAAGTATTATGTAGGAAAATCCCAGCAATATAACCAAGACTTTCTGAGGTGGCATCTCAGGGATTCAGAAAAATAAAGATGGTGGTCATGACTGCCAACTTGATTTTTTCATAATTCCTTACTAGACTCTCTGCTGTATGGTAAAATGGCAGGAACATATGTAAACCAATTTATATGGGCAGAACACCTAACTGTTGTGGTCACTGTTGAATAAAAAAGAATATACTGTAGTGTGAATATAGAAGAAGTCAAAGACTTACTCTCGTGTAAAACTTCTGGTAATCGGAGATCTAACTGGAGCTGGCAATTCATCCCATTCTGATAAAGGTTTAATTTCTAGTGGTGCAGGTTTCACTATATACACAAGAAACAGATTTGAAAATAATGTACTTTAAGAGAAATCTTACATTACTATATACATATTTTATTATAGTTCATTTTCCATATGAAACTTCACCATGAAATGTTATGGGAAAATAAATTTAATATACTCTTAATATACTATATTGTTTCTTCTTAATTTTCTCTATCTATCTATCTATCTATCTATCTATCTATCTATCTATCTATCTATTTATTTATTATATTTATATACCGCCCTTCTCCCAAAGGACTCAGGGCGGTGAACAGCCAAGATCAAATACTATTGTTCTGTTCTAATTTAGTTTGTATTAGTTCTCATTACTGCTTTTAAAACATGCACAGAAACAAAAAATTGCTTTGTGCAAATTGTTACTAGAGTCTAAAAGATTAGTCAAGACTAACTGACTTTCCACCAAACCAGTTCTTCAGACTGTTTGTTTTTAATAGATAAATTCCAATTTTTCACTTTTCAAGGAGTTGTATCCTGCTAGAATAAACAACCATAACTATTGTTTTCCCTCCGAAATACCTTGGTTAATTTTGTAAGATCCTTTTTAATAAAGAAAGGGAAGTTAATCAACACAATAGTGTATGATTTAGCAGAAGATCATAGAATTCAGATCTTCTTTGAAAGTAGTTAATGTTAGCCTATTAAGCTCATGAGAATGCAATTATTATTAGCTAAACCATGTCATAAGATCATAATCATTTTAAGAAGGTCTCACTCAGTATACTAGATTTAAGCATTAACTGCCTAACTCTTTTTCTTTGTTATTTTTTAAAAACAACCTTAGAGCAACTAGCTATGACTTAATATTACCCTGCATTAAAAACAAACAGATCCTGGGAAATGTTGACATCCATCACTTTGAGATTGGTGATAGCACATATGCAGGCAAATATTTTTTGATATATTTCATGCATTTGATTTTTGAATGTTTGCGTATTGTTGAACTTTAGTAGCCTTGAGTGATCAAATGATGCAGAAAGGAAGGATGTTTTGTATTAAAACAATTAATGCTATTTAATAACTAACTTGGTAAAATATCCTTTTTCAGGCTTAATACAAAATGTGAAATAGAAAACATTGTTTAATATCTTTAAAGCTTCCTATCATTTGAATGCAGGCTACTTGAGTCAAATCTGCTTGTATATGTTCTCCTTATTCTTTAGAGATAATCTGAGAAGGTCTGCCTACAATTTTTTTAAGTGCACTCTGTGTTAAATATCCTAAACACCTAAAACCAAGCAAAATACATTTGAAATAATGCCCAAGATATGTTAAAAGACCCTAAAAGCACATTTTTAAAAATGTATAGTTGCTTTTAATGGTTTTACTATCTCAGGTTTTAGTTCCAATTTCGTACTCTATTGTAACTAATATATGGTGTTAAGTTACTGATATAAATTAATAAATAGTATAATAGGTTTCATTATTGTAACATATTACCATACTTCTGTTTCTAAACAATTTGGTACATGGAATATTCTCTTTAGAACTATTTTAAACCAGTCATACAATTCTTGATTAGACTAGTAAAAAAATGGTATTTTCAAAATTGCTTTAAAATGCTTAAAATACTAACTGGGCCATGAATAAGCATGCATGTATATCCATTGTATTTTTAACATACATTAATTTTACAGTAATTATCAATTTTTTTAAAGGAGCATTAAATATGTTAGAAAGTTTTTTAAAGATAGGGCAATGGGAGAAAAAAGATCTTTTATGACATTTTAAAAACATATAACTTTGTCTTAAATACACAATTTAATACAATGTTATAAATGTATAACAATTAAATTGCACACACTTCAAAAATAATTGGGAAAATGTGCTTCAAAACACATTTGAAGTTTAATGTGCTTAACACACATTTGTGTTTAATGCATGTGAACATTAAACACAGTACTTTTCTTCTATTCTTTGAAGCAGCCTGTTCTTTTTTTGGTTTCCATATAAGCCTTCCAGACCTTTGAAGTAGTTCAAGAAACAAGTAGCAGAAATGCTCTTAATTGTTGAAAGGCCTTCAGAACTATATAATACATCTATTACCAAAAATCAAATCAAGGCAGGGATATTTTTAAAATAGCAATGTGTCAATTACTTCTGACATTACTAAATTTTATCTATTACTAGATAAATTTTGAGATACATTACTAAGTTTATCTAATGTGTGTGTAAAAAGATGTAAATTTTTCCCCATTGTTACACATTAATTGAAAAAATTCCTTTATACTAATAAAATGTCTATAAAGAGTAGTCTTCATAAATCATAATATGGCATAACTCAGTTACTTGGGTGTTTATGTATTTCACATTACTGTGTTTCCTCCAAAATAAGACCCTGTCTTATATTTTTTTGAACCCTGAAATAAGTGCTTGGCCTTATTGCCATGCGGTCAAAAGCCCAATTGGGCTTATTATCAGGGGATGTCGTATTTTGAGGGAAACAGGGTAGAATAGCACATTACACATATAATGTGTAAATAATCTAAAACCAAGCAAAATATATTTGAAATAATGCCTAAGGTAAGTTAAAGAGAAGAAAACTGATTTACATGCAGCATTTCCAACACATTTTACTACAAATGTCTTTTCCTAAGCAAGTTAAAAATATAGCTGAGAAGCTAGCAGTCCTATGAACTGGAACGATATGAGTAATCAGGATTACTTTTTACTGGAGTTTGATACCGAGCCCAGTAGATCATACAATGCTGAAGTACATACCCTTTCTCCTTGTTGTAAAGTCACCTATGGTTTGTGAATCTGTTCGCTCTAAACCATGGGGTTTAGGTCTTAAAATTTTAGGGCTTTGACCTAATTGATAAAAAAAAGGAATCTTTCTTAATATAGCTTTTTATTATCAAGATACAAACTAGCAAAATAACGAATATTAAGAAGCTGCAAAGTGCCTTGCAGAAAGAGATTGCATTTGTGAAAGATAAGCAAGTGACAGACAGAAATCTCACACTAAGATACATGCAGCATGCTGAGAGCCCATGCATCAAAGTTGTTTGAAGGAAGCAATTGAGTTGAATGTTACCAACAAATATGATGTTCTTGCTGAAAACAGCACTATTAGCTACCATCTAGAAGGAGGAACACTACAATGATACTTCAACAAAGCAAACTAGCATACAGTGAAAGGAATTAAAGTATATCAAGGAAAAAAAGATGAGCCACAACACAGAGGATGTGTTCTGTATACCATTTTACGGTAAAAGTATTTTTTAATTATTGAAACATATAAATATGTTAAACTACTAGATGACTCAAAAATATTCAAAAATATTTCCTTATCTGCACAGAAAAACAGAACGACCAAAAGCAAAATACCATGAGAGTGGGAATGACTTCTGACTTCCTGCACTCCAGCAGGTGATGGTAGGACCATTTTACCTGGTCTCTGAAGGGCTAGAGTGGGACTTTCCTACTTGGTCTCCAGCAGTCAAAAGAGAGGCCAATCTAACTAGCCTCTGGAAAGTTAGGGTGGTACTGGTCTACTGATCCCCTGGATAGTGACGTAGCATCGCTGAATTGACAACAAATTTGCCACATTTCAATCCTATCGAAATCACAGGTCCTGGATTTTAGATGCAATCCGTAAGATAGCCCATTTGAGGTACCTTGTTTCAAAAATTGTTGCCCTATGATGCACTGGTTTGCCTACTGGAAGGTTACAGAAACAATATATTTTTCAATAGCATATAGAGCTTGTGTGGGGCACAGTGGTTAGAACGCAGTATTGCAGGCTAATTCTGCCCACTGCCAGAGTTCAATCCTGACCAGCTCAAGATTAACTCAGCCTTGCATCCTTCTAAGGTTGATAAAATGAGGACCCAGATTGTTGGGGGCAATATGCTGATGCCGTATAGTGCTTAGAGAGTCCTGTAAAGCACTATCAAATGGGATATAAGTCTATCTGCTATTGCTATTTCTATAGTTCAATAAATAAAATGCCCTTTAATTTACTACTATAGGCAGGCAATTCAATTTCAGCAGTGAAATACAGCAGCAACTTTATTTAATTTTGTATCAACAAGAATGAATGCAGCTGTAAGAAATAAGCAGGGTGACTATGATGCAATTATTATTTTAAAATTTCAATTCTATTTGTGATAGCCTTGCCCCAATATCTAACATTAAATGATATGATGAAAGCTTTGAAAGGTATAAAATAGTTTTCACTTAGAGTAACTGCTTATTACTGGAATATCATGATTGCTGGCAAAAGGAATACTTTAAAAAACTGACTTCGTAACGTTTTCCTGCATTGTTGTGGGTTTTGTGGGTTCCTGCAAAGTTCAATCAAAAACCAACATTCAAACAAAAAAGCCCACGAAAATCTCACATTTAGCTTTCTTTAAATGAATTCAATAAAGCTATGAATAACAGGATAACAAAGTGAACTTAGATCTAATGTCTAGAAACCAGGATTATCAGGATTATCAAATTTAAAGCAGGCCTCTTCCAAATATACAATATTATGTCATTTTACAGAAGCAACAGTATCTTAAAAAATAAAATTTACTGACGTAAATTTACTGACAAAAGTATCAAATCTGGCTAATATTTTAACTTAAAACTATTCTTTATTTTTATTTTACAATTGTTTGAGAATCATACTCTGCTGGTTGAAAGAACAATAGTTCATTTTTAGGATTTTATACAGATCAAGATGACAATAAACTTTATTTAGGTTTAGCATTTAAATTGGGTAGACTAGGATCCTTTACAACTATGAGGTTCACAGGAAGAGAATTTTATGTGATTTTAGGAAATCATGTTCTATACCTTCCTCTTTCATATTGTTTAAGGGTAACCCTCACCTTTAAGGTAGAACAGCTAAAACAGAAAACCTCCTTACTATGCAAAGGTATTTTAGGATCCAAGCTATATGTTTAATGTTCTACCTGTAATTCTAGGGCAGGGGAATCAAACTTGCATTGTCACGTTGTCATCACGTGATGTATTGCAACTTTTTTCCCCTTCGCTAAACCGGGAGTGGATGTGGGCAGCATGTGATGCATCCGGCCCGTGGGCCGCGAGTTTGACACCCCTGCTCTACAGTAAAATATCAAACAGCTGTCACCAGTATGCAAATTAAAAGAGCCGCAATAACAAAATAGAATTCTCACTGCATAGGAAATGCCTTATTATCTCAAAAGGAAAGGTTATAACATGAACAACAAAAGAATGCTGTATTCTTACTTCAACAGTGCTCTAAAGACAAGTGCGCAAGAGAAACTAAAGCACCAGCTTTGAAAAGCCTTGTTAACTATTTATTATATAAAACTGTTCACAAATACATCAGAAACCAAACATGCTATTTTCTTTGCTTTACAGATAGCTAATCAGTTTTTAGCATGAGCACTCGGAGGTCTGTTAACATTTTTAAATATCTCAATGTATCATCTACTAAAAAATTCAGGAATGTATGAAATTTCAACTGTAATTAAGTATTTAATTCATGTTTATGTACCAATTTGCAATTATATTTTGTGTCAAATAATTTTTATATTAAACTTAGGACATGTCTGTTAAGACAGGTGCTAATAAAAGTAATTGATGTGATATTTAAAAACAAATCCTTTTAATTTTATCTTTGAGGCTACACCTCTGTGTACATTTGAAATCAATAAGGAGTTTTAATGACACTTAAGTAAAAGTTCTGAGTAACTCAAGTTATTTGATCGGTAGAAATGCTGATCAGCAGTGCTGAAGGAAAGCAAAATCTGAATTTGCTACCATTGAGATTTAGAAAGTATCATCACAAACACTTGCAAGCACTAAAAGATTAGAACAGCAAAAAAGCATAATTATGATCAGCACATAATTCAGTATGAGTCAAGGTAAAAAAAAAACCTTTATAAAATGACATATATGCAAAACATGCTCAAATAATGTGTGTCTTCTCTTGTTAGAAGAAAAAAAACTTACCTGCCTCAATTTTTATACACATTGACTTGGATCCAGGCTTCTACCTCTATAAACAAATAGGAACTTGAATCTAGCAAATCATCGTGCTAGAAAAAGGAAATATGGCAGTAATATTCTCTTATTCTTTCTCTTCCTTCCTATAATCTTATATAAAAGTTTGTACAGAGGGAATAAGAGAAAATTGCCACTATGCTCCTTCTCCCATTTTAGTAGATCTCAGGAAAGCAAATAATCTGTGAGGGTGTTGATGCTCTTTGAGCTTGGTCATTTTCTTACAAGAAAAACAACCAAGCTCAGGCATCAGCAAGGATCCCTAAGCTACAAACAATCTCTTCTATTGGTAGCAAATAATATGATTCAATTAAAAAGCCTGTGAGACATTGAAGCAGGGCCCTCCAGATGTTATTGAACTGCACTGGCATGGCCAATGATGAGGCAAGCTATGAATGGTAATTTTACAACATCTAGAAGTAATAATTAATAATAGTTTACTATTATTAGAGAGCCGTGGTGGTGCAGTGGTTAGAATGCAGGCTAATTCTGATGACTGCCAGCAGTTCAATTCTCACCGGCTCAAGGTTGACTCAGCCTTCCATCCTTCCAAGGTCGGTAAAAATCTCGATAAGGACCCAGGTTGTTGAAGCAATGTACTGACTCTGTAAACCACTTAGAGTGGCCTGTAAAGCACTGTGAAGCAGTATACAAGTCTAACTGCTATTGCTATTCCATGACAATGAATAGTAAAACTATGAGTTTGCCAGCTTCAAAAATGCTGTAGCTATTTGTAAATTAAGGATTTAAATGACATCCATTTAATAACTTATTTTATGAAAAACAAATAACATTATCTATAAATTCTGATGATCATAGATTAATGATATTTAAATTACTTCCAAAACAGAGATCTAATCTGCTGTACAAGATTTTGCACAAAATTAAAAACAAAACTTTAATTTAAAGTATAGCATTAACAATAAAATATTGCAAATGTGTTTTAAAAATTGCTGTGATTTTATTTATTTGCATAATTCATCTAACCACATGAGACCAAATTGGCTCTAAGTGGCTTACAGAAATTAAGTGTTAAAAGGAAGATACAAATTAAAAATTAAACTATAAACTTAAGGTAAAGGTTCCCCTCGCACATATGTGCTAGTCGTTTCCGACTCTAGGGGGTGGTGCTCATCTCTGTTTCAAACCCAAAGAGCCAGCGCAGTCCGAAGACGTCTCCGTGGTCATGTGGCCGGTATTACTAAACGCCAAAGGCGCACGGAGCACTGTTACATTCGCACCAAAGGTGGTCCCTATTTTTCTACTTGCATTTTTTATGTGCTTTTAAACTGTTAGGTTGCAGAAGCTGGGACAAGTAACGGGAGCTCACCCCGTTACGCGGCACTAGGGATTCGAACTGCTGAACCGCCAACCTTTCAATCGACAAGCTCAGCGTCTTAGCCACTGAGCCACCGTATCCCCTTAAACTATATTATTATAGTTTATTATAATATGTATATATATATATATATATATATATATATATATATATATATATATATATATATTATATATTATATATAATTATATTATATTATATTATAATATTATATTATATTAAGCTATGTTATATTAAATTATGAATGAACCTATTTAATATCTTGATAATAAAACTCTAAATTAAAATTGTTCATACTGGCTATCAACTTCTAATATGGTTTTATTCTGTGAACGGTAAACAATGATGGGAAGAAAATGCTTAGAGCAACTGGCTGCACACACTCATCTCTCACCTTTCCGGTCTGGCTTCAGGTTCCTGTCCACTGGAGGAGGCTCACATTCTGCCGCAGGTACTGGCCTTCTAGGCGGGGTCTTTGGACTAGATCTAAATCCCATGTGTGCTGGTGGAGGCACTTGCATTCCAAATAGTGAAAAATCAAACGTGCCAGGAGTCATTGGCACATAGTTCGTCATTTCTTGGATGGGTTCAGTAAAACTGCCAGAATGATGACGTGGAGGAGAGTTAGGGTTCATGGGAACATAATTTTCATCCAGTTCTTCACTTGAAACACTTCCAACAGTCAATAGACTTTTATTTTTCTAGAAACAAGAGTTATGATAGCAGTAAATTAATCAGAATTCACTGACTATGATTCAAGTTGTATGATACATTATTACATTATTTATCAAAGGATCCCAACCATTCCTTCATGGAATAATTATTTTTTTCATCCCTTACACATTTAAACATTCACCACACTCTATGCCTTGCCATCCTATTATGTGCCTTCCACCTTTCTATACATTTTGCAAAATGTTTATGTGCTGAATTATTTGCACTATATTTTCCAAGCTCCTTCCCTTTCCTTCATCAGGTTGATGAACCATTATAAAGACACCCTTTTATTACATAATAGCCAAGTCATCCTTGCAAATATTTTTCACAGGCTCTATTAAAGATCCTTACTGTTTTTTATTAGTGAATATGCACACAACCAAATGCTCAGTATGATAAATGCTGAAATATGTATGGTACAGTAAGGACTCAATGGGCATTTTCATCATCTTGATAATAGGCCTACAGATATTGACATTAAAGTATTTGCTCATGCTAAGTCCCAGTAGACATCACTACAGATTCCTCTGACCAACAAACGACCTCTTAGCCTTCAGAGACAACATTAGACAACAGTCAGAGACAACCTAGATATTCCATATGCCGTAGATTGAGATACCATATTTTTAATACATGAAGTTATAAGATCAGAATGAGAACACTCTCAAAGAATTTCTTGTTGTAGAGAGTTTAAGTTTAAGAGAGTTCTTGTACTGATCTTGTGACTTCATGTATTAAAAATATGGTATCTCAATTTACTGCGCAGGGAATATCTAGGTTGTCTCTGACTAAGCAAAACAATAAAGCAAATGATTGATGTTTGATGGTCAGCCTAAACTTTGATGTTTGATATTCAGCATTCTTTCTTGACTTGAATAGTAAGTCAACTGACATTTCAGCTTTAGAAACTTTTTTTTCCTCCTTGGCAAATCAAAATAATACTTACAAAGTGGTTATGGAAGCCTTCCAGTGAGCTTGATCTATCATTTGGAAATGTTCGTGGAACAAAATAGCAGTCTTGAGAACCAAGGTCTAAAACAAGGGAGAAGAAAGCAAATGTTTTCCCCCAATGACATAAAATCACACACAATTAAGTGCAAGTAGTCAAAATGGGAAATTTTGTATAAGCACTTTCTATAACAGCCTTCCCACATTTGTTATGTTTTGCATATATTCACACAAACTTCACTTGACTGGAAGAGTTGAAGTGCAATACAGCTATAGCTGAGGGAAGGCTAGAAGGACTAGCCCAGGTGTCTACTTATAGCTAAGTACAGCCACAAGCATGCCGGTTTTGTTGTTGCACTACCATAATATTAATTTCACCTGATTTCCAGCCCCTGACTAAAATAAGGGTAAGTCATCCTTAGATTAATCTTGGAATTAATGTTTTTCCTGTTATTCCAAAACCATTTAAGGTTAGCGTCAAAATAGGCAAAATTTCTAGCCACTATACATTTCAGCCAACTTCAAGAATAGGTAATAGCATTATAACTCAGTAACAGGAAAATTCGCTATGTCACAGTTTAAAAATGGAGCACTGGCAAACGGAGCCAGTGCTCAACCTTATAGATGTAAGCAGTGAACAAAGAAATCAAACTTAAAAGGGAAAGAGAAATATTCCTTCCCATCCTTCTTTTAATCCAATTTGTTCTGTAATTTTCATTTTGACTGCCAGTTTTGGCTCTTCTGCACATGCCAACCTCCTCCTTAATCCCATACCGTCCTCATGATTTCATAAAGATTCATAATACTCATAGAGATTTCAAATGTTATGAAGTTGCAAGGGACAAACATAAATATCTAAGAGATACTTTCCAAGCTCACGCCTCTTTATACAACCTCAGCCTTAGCTATTCCAACAGAAGCAGAAGGGAGCTGAAAGCCACAACATTCAAAAGCACTAAACGCAGTGGTGAAATCCAAATTTTTTTACTACCAGTTCTGTGGGTGTGGCTTGGTGGGCATGGTATGGCTTGGTGGGCGTGGCTTGGTTGGCATGACAGGGGAAGGATACTGCAAAATCCCCATTCCCATCCCACTCCAGGGGAGAGATACTGCAAAATCCCCATTCCCACCCCACTCCAGGGAAAGGATATTGGTGGTATTCGCCAGTTCTCTGAACTACTCAAAATTTCCGCTACCGGTTCTCCAAACTGTTCAAAATTTCCACTACCGGTTCTCCAGAACCTGTCAGAATCTGCTGGATTTCACCCCTGACTAAATAGCCTAATTCTACTTTGTAGACACTAAAATGATTACGGCATACTTGCATAATAAAAGATGAATACCACAATGGCAATTTTCAGATTAAAAATAGTTTGAACTCTGGAAGCTATCTTGCTTAATAATGAAATGATTGATTTACATCATAAATAGCATTCAGACTCAAAAGCAGGGGTGTCAAACTGGTGGCATGCAGACCAAATGCGTCATGCGCAGGCCAAGCCCACCCCAGCTCCGCAAATGGGAAAAACGCCATGAAACATCACAACGTGACTCTGTGAGTTTGACACCTGTGCTCAAAAGGATTTGAAGGCATTTAGCCAAGGGCAGGTAACCCCGTTGCAAATAAGGCCTGCTTTTTAAAAAATTCCTTAGGGACACAGGTGATACATGATGGTGCAATGATGCCATAAAAGGAACTTTTTTTTATAGATTGGAAAATTAATTAAAATAAATGTATCAAGCCTAGCACAATTTTTACCCACCCATTACTATATAAGAAAAAAAACATAGTAAACATGCGTGCATATTTCAGTTTTGGTACTGAAATTTGACAGTACTAGAGGGCTTCATCTAATTCTTAATGTAGGATATCCATATTGCAGTAGCCCTAAGACAGGAGTGTCAAACTGGATTTCTTTGAGGGCTGGATCAGCCTTGTAGTTCTCCATGGGCTGGCCGGGGGGGGGGGGGCGGGGGGAGGCAGGGAGCAGGAGGGAGACAGGACGGATGAGCTGAAAACAGGCCAAAATGGGCCAAAAACGGGTCCTGCATGACCCGTTTTTGGCCTGGCTGGCCTCTAGCAGCAGTCTGCCAGCCAAAAATGGGCCACATGGAGTTCCTCTGAGGCCCCCACGTGACCCGTTTTTGGCCTCCAGCAACACCCTGCCGGCCAAAAACGGGCCCCACACAGCCCATTTTAGCAGACAGAGTTACCGCAGGGTGGTCCTTTGATATTTCCAGGCCAGTCTGTGGGCCAGATTTAAGCACCCCATGGTCCAGATTCGGTTCGCGGGCCTTGAGTTTGACACCCTTGCCTAAGTGATGTCTCTCTTAATAATCTACAACAAAAGGTAGCGCAACAAGAAAACCAAGTCCAAAAACATATACCATAGTCAAGATAACTCACTCACTCAAAGTAAACTCTCCCTGATTTCAGCAAATTCAGCTTCCCATAACATCAATGCCCTATATACAATATCCTCAATACCCTCAAAGACCTATGATTTTGATTGTCTGATTTCCTTTTATCAATACATGAATGTGTATATAAATGTATATCTACTAAATAATAATACAATGGAGATCTTAATATTAAGTACTCAGTGTCAGACTGAAACTACTATCACATAAGTACTATTTTGATATGAATGCAACAGTACTTTTATATTATTCTTAATTTTGGGTGGAAAATTAAATCATTTTAAACTTGCAGTATTGACATCTTAAAATGCTTTTAACACTGATATATTTTTAGTCTTCCTTTTTTATCAATACTCTGAGATTTCTAAATAATAGAATGTTCACATTTTAAAATAATATTACATAAATATTATTGAATGGAAATCTGCATTGAAATAATACAATGTATCAAGATTTATAACATCACATTAAAAGGAAATTAAAACAAATCCAATGATTTTGAGCTAACATCCTTCTCTTGGATCTTGGAATATTTCAATGAAATACAAATGAAATCTTTGATAGCATTTATCCAATAAAAAACCCACTAACCTTTGCGAAATAGATTCATATCCATGGTGGAAATTGTGTTGCTGCGAGATGGGAGCAAGCCACCTGTAGGGATGCAGTAACTGTTATCAGTATCTGAGGAAGTACGTGAGATGCTACATGCCTCCACCGGAGAGCGATCTGAAGCATGATGAGGCTTTGGAGGACGTGGTGGAGGAACATCTGGAATAGTCTCTAGCTTTGAACCTTGAGTCAATGAACTTTCAGGAAAAGTTCGTGGAATCTGGTAAGTACTTCCAGGTGTTGAGGGAATGTCATAACTAAGGGAGAAATGCCTCATCTGTGTATCAAGAGAAGAGGATGCAGACGGAGTGCTGAAAACATGTTGCTCTCCGTCTATATCAGTTCCAGAAGGGGATGCCTTTGGTAAAACATCTTGAGAATAACTCCGTGGTAGATTATAAAGACTGCCATCTACTGACACTGAAGCCGCTCTTGATGTGGGGGAATCATACACACTATGTTGCTGAAAATATCCATTCACGGTGTGCTTATTTAGTGATTGCACAGAACTTTTATGGGAAGGCACATTATCATTACAATCTGTTTCAGAACAGGCAGATTTTGCTGTATCAGCTGACAACCTAAATATTAAACGAAAAACAAACAAAAAATAAATGCATTGGCATATTTCTTCCAGAAACAAATGTTTCCTAAAATAAGAAACAAAAATAGATAATCACAACTCCGTGTCATACAGAGTTTTTATATGTATTTAACTTTATATGTATTGCTAACATGCACATATCATACAGAAGGACCTGAGGGGAGAAACTGCTTCTTGGTAAATCATAAGTCACACTAGGACAGCAGGTACCAATGTGGCATTTTTCATTCTTAAATTCAAAAAGTAGTTGATTTCATGATATACTGTATTTCCACACAATGTTGCTAAACTCTCGGCTCTCATTCTGTTTATAGATTTTACTCAGCAAGGCCTCTAAGATATCTCTTCTTATAAATAGTCAATGTTAGTTATCTAACTTTGATTAATAGCAAATTATACTAATTATTCTAACACTAATTATACTAATTCTTATTAAATTGCCTTATTATTACTATGCTTTATTATTTTTAACTACTTTCTTTCCCTCAAGCCTTAAAAAAATTCTTTCCATAACTTGTTATGAATTCTTCAGTTTTGGAATAATATAGTTCTTCAAACTAAGAAATAATGTTTTAAAGGTATATAAAGTTATTTAAGAAACAATGTTTTAAAGTTATTTGAAGTTACAGTTTGAAAACAATTTTTTAAAACAACATTGTTTTTTGGAATGGGAATACAAGCCAGGGACAAAAATGCTGTTCAAAAGCAGGTGTGAATACCACTTTGCTCTTAAATATGAATGGACTGACCATCTGGATCCATATACTGCAGCATCCTTCTCTATTGCTACCTTCATAAAATTATAGAACTAAAAACTCTTTTTTATCAAATTCAAACATGCTCAATGTAGAAATCCAAATTAAACCAACCTTGACAAGCAGATACCTAACTTCTATTTGGCTACATCCACCATGTAACTAATTCATTAGATTTACTGCTGCATTGTTTTAGTGTTAGGACCATTTCTAATGTGAAATTGTAACATGCTCTAAGTTAAGAGAAGGCTGGGTTTTTTACTTTCTGCTTTTTCAGTTTCAGAAGAAGAACATAGCAATAGCAATGGCACTTATCTTTATACACTGTTTCACAGTGCTTTACAGCCCTCTCTAAGCAGTTTACAGTCAGCATATTTCCCCAACAATCTGGGTCCTCATTTTACTGACCTCGGAAGGATGGAAGGCTGAGTCAACCTTGAGCCTGGTGAGACTTGAACTGCCAAACTGCAGTCAGTGGCAGTCAGCAGAAGTAGCCTGCAATACTGCATTCTAACCACTGCGCCACCGCAGCTCTTAAACATAATCAAATTACAATGTCTCTCAGCTTCTCAAGTCTAAATATTACTTCATAGGATTTATTTTCTATTGTCTTGATTTTTCTAGGCGTAATATCCAAGTTATGGTCTGTTCCATACAGAGTAAAATGGGATTTACTACTTCCTTATATTTGGCTTCACATAAGAAAATGGATGAGGCATAACATTCTAAACTTTTAGAAGGGTATGGACTATGTGCTGGAAAGACGATTCTTTTAGCAAGGACCAAAACTATAAACCAAGCACTGATTTTTTTTCCCCATTTCTAAAAGGTAAACCCTTTTACTTCAGTGTTTTCAAAATGACCGATACATCTGCAAACAATGCAGCAATTTCTCCATTTCAAGCCACTCTGGATACATCAAGTGTAATTATTTGCACTGCTTATGAAAATCCACAGCAAAATGCACAAGATGCACAAATACACACACAAGCTTTTTTTTTTCCAAACAGGCTTTAGATTTGTGGTTAACTTCTAAAGACAAATCCCAAACACTCACTGCAATGGAACTTTTTTACTTTCAAAATCCTCCAGCAGTAAATACTCCTCCACTTCTTCCAAGATGAAAGAGCTGGTTTTTTGAGTACATGATAAAAATTAAGAGATCAGTGATGGACATTATTTTTGAACAGTAACCCTAACCCCTTTTGAAAAAATATTTGATAAAAAGAGCAATTTTAAAGATAAAATATCATTGTATATAGGTGGATTTTCAGATTTTATGAAAATAATATGTACCCAGAAGGTACTTAAGACAATTTACCTCATCCTTAAGTAATCAGACTCTAGTCATAGTTCTTTAAAAGTTACACAGGAACTGATGGGGGAAAAGCATATTCATCAAAAAAATTTATCAAGAATGATGAACTTCAATACTTTGGGAAGAGAATGGAATAAGTAATGTAGCCCACAATAGCAATAGCACTTAGACTTATATACTGCTTCAGAGTGGTTTACAGCTGTCTCTAAATGGCTTACCGAGTCAGCATATTGACCCCAACAATCTAGGTTCTCATATTACCAACCTCGGAAGGATGGAAGGCTGAGTCAACCTTGAGTCGGTGAGACTCAAACTGCCAAATTGCTGGCAGTCAGCAGAATTAGCCTGCAATACTGCATACTAACAGTGGCTCTGTACAGTAGGTAATGAAAATTTTTAACCTCTCAGAAACTACCTATGATAACTGTTACTAAAGTATTTTAATGACACAAAAAGTGCAATATTTACCTTGCTGGTTCAGGCTTCTTACTTTGACAATTGACTAGTAACAGGTAATCTTGTGGATCTTCATGACTGGAGGCAGATTCTAATGGTGGGATATTAATTAACTGATATGGAGGAGGCAGGAATGGCTCGGCTTGTACAGATGGTAGGGAAGTACTGACAGCTAAGGGTAATTCGGCTGGTGCTGGCAGAGAATTGCCAGGTGGCTTCACAGCATCTACAAAACAGAACATGCAGCCAAGTCACTAAATACTCGGTTGGTTGGTTGGTTGGTTGGTTGATTTGATTGATTGATTGATTGATTGATTGATTGATTCATTCATTCATTCAAGAGTTATACAGCCACCCATCTTGCAGTACAAGTACTCCTCGACAGTTTAATGACTGTTCAAAGTTAGAACAGCACTGAAAAATGTGACGTATGACCATTTTTCACAGTTACAACCTTTGCATCATCTCCTGGTCACGTGATCAAAATTAAGATGCTTGGCAACTGGTTCATATTTATGATTGTTGCTATGTCCCAAGGTCATGTGATCACCTTTTGCGACCTTCCGACAAGCAAAGTCAATGGGAAGCCAGATTCATTTAACAACCGAGTTACTAATTTATCAACTGCAGTGGTTCACTTAGCAACTGTGGCAAGAAAGGTCGTAAAATGGGGCAAAGGTCCCATTAACAAATGTCTCACTTAACAACAGAAATTTTGGGCTCAATTGTGGTCATAAGTCAAGGACTACCTGTACACAGCTCTAGTCGGCTAACAACAATGATAAAATCATAAACAATAAAAAAAAAATAGAACTAAAAATCAAGGAAAACCTGATGCCCAATCCAACATTTATTTCTATTTATCTATTCAATCCCTAGGCGCCAACCTTACCATCCCAACTCCTGGGGTAATGGTCACCTCTTACTTGGTTTCCAAAAGCTTAAGAAAGTTAGTGCCACCTGGATCTAAAAGGGAACAATGTTCTATGGAGAAGAGCCTACTGTAGGAAAGACATGATTCCTAGATCCTAGACAGCAACATTAAAGCTAAGGATCTGAAACGTGGCCAGTCTAGCAATCTGGTGGAAGGGCGGATACTCTAAGGGAGAAGCAGTGCCACAAAAAACCTGGCCCTGTGCTATGTAGAACCTTAAAGTGATAACCATACTTTGACTTGACCTGCAAAGAAACTGGGAGTCAGTCAAACTTGCACAACAATGGTATAACATGAGCATCCATATTGTGCAAGCTGCTGTATTCTGGACAGGTTGTAACTTCTGGGTGGTATTGCACAGCACAGTGCAATAGTCCAAGTGGAAAATAATCAAGTATGAGTGACCATGACCAAGGCTTCTTGGTTCAAGAATTGGTACAACTGGTCCACAAAATGAACCTGTCCCTAGTCATGGCTGCTACCTGCTTCTTAAGTAGGAGATGCAAGTCCACTCAAACTGCCTATCAGCTCTGTGTAGGGAAGTGCTATATCACTGAGAGTCCCAAATCCCAAAGCTTGTCCATTTTGCTAGGATTGAGTCACAGCCCATTCATTCTGATCCTAACAATCCTAACAATCTCCAGGCAGAAGATTAGCAATGAAACAGTGTCGTCTGTTCAGCTGATGATACTATACCTCCATGCCATCAGATGACCTCACCCAGCTGTTTCATATTTAAAGTGTGCTAAAAGATTCAAAATCTGGAGCATTCACATTGTGGGGGACCAGAACTAGATTTTTTCCACCTCCAAAACCAATCCAACAGATACCGACCATGGGGGAAGAATGATTCCCACTTCCAGTCCCTGCAGCCAGTCCAGAAGGCTATCATGGCTGAAGGTACTAAAAGCCAAGAAGTACAAGATTTCACTACTAAAAGAACTTAAAAGTATTAAATACTTGCTGATTTAGATAGAATAGAATAGAATAGAATAGAATAGAATAGAATAGAATAGAATAGAATAGAATAGATTTTTTTATTGGCCAAGTGTGATTGGACACACAAGGAATTTTATACTTTAAAATTAGTAATGTTTCGATTGTATAATATCAACTACTCTTAATATCTTCAAGATAAAGAGATAATGGAGTAGGCTGCAGTTATTCTGTAAAAGAATTGTGACTGTTAGGTTCTCAACCTCTTAATCAAGGTAAACTATCAAATTATCCATCTTCAGATATGATGTCTCTGAACCAGATAATCTTCATTTGCCCCTTTCAGAAGAACCCATAATTTCCTTCCCAATTGACAATTTTATAAAATAAATATACAAACTCTATTTTCTCCTGTGGTTTTTTTTCTTGAAAAAAAGCTTAAGACTTTTTATGTTCTGCATTTCAGTGTTAATGTATAACAGTACAGAAAAGAATGATGAATTGTTTCAAGCCCAATTAATAATGTTGTTCACATAAGAAGTAGTAAGCCTCTGACTATGAGGTGCTTGAAGTGACCGTTTTATGTTCTTGTATTTACTTTTATGCTATTGCAGCTTGATGGGTGTGTTATAGGATGAATGGCTTTTTATTAAAAAAAAATAACGATGATGAAGGCAAAAATTCAACATCATAACAAACAACAGCAAATGTCGCCTTTGTAGCGAAAAGGATGAAACAATTGACCATTTGATCAGTGGCTGCAGCAAAATTTCATAAACCGACTACAAGCAGCATCGTGACCAAGTTGCCAGATTATTCACTGGAAACTTTGCCAGAGGTTTGGATTTGAATGCAGTAAAAACTACTGAGACAATGAAGTTGAGAAGGTTTTTGAAAATAAGTGGGTTTATTGATATAAAACACTATTATGCTAAATTAGAAGTTATTTTATAATAGTTATAGTATAATGTGTTTGTTTTTTTTTTGTTTTTTTTCTCTTCTTCTTTTCTGAAATGTACGGATAAAGGGGGATTTATAATACTTTTAGTAAGTAAAGGTCAGTATTTTGAGGAGGGAGTAAGTAATCTGTTATGAATTAGGGTTTTTTTTTGTTACGAAGAAGTCACAGGGGGGGAAGGGTGGGGAGGGGGGGTTAGGGAGGGGGGGAGGGGGGGGAAAAAGGGGGAAAAATTTGTATTTGAAAACCTTTTCAATAAAAAAAAAGAAAAGAAAAAAGAAAATAAGTGGGTTTATTTATTTATTTTATTTATTGGTTCGATTTATATGCTGCCCTTTTCCGGAGACTCAGGGCGGCTTACAATGCGTTAAGATCTTACGGGGTTTTAAGATCCAAAGAGACAGGCATGTGATTGATAACATGCTTAATATACCAGTTACGAAAAAGAAGAAAGGCTTGTTTATGAATGTTGCTATTCCAGGTGATGCTAGGATTGAGGAAAAATAATTGGAAAAAAATACAAAATACAGGCACTTGCAACTTGCAAAAAGTTGGGTGTTTCCTGGGGAGGGAAAAACCCATTGCTGTACCAGTCATGACTGGAGGCTTTGGAGCAACTTCTTTGATATCTGGAAATACTGAATTTATCAGGCCTGAACAACCTAATTTTACAAAAAAAAAAATAAAAAAAATTCCACTATGACTGAATTGCCTATATTCTTAGATGCTACCTTAATAATTCTCAATTCCTTAATTAAAACTTGAATTATTAAGTTTCCACAATCTTAGACTGTAGAATACCCACACATAGTAAAGGAAAACTTATTAGTAATCAGTTCTGCAATGCAGAAAGCTACATTGATATAGTCAGTGTAAGATTGACAACTCCCTTTGGATCCAGGCTATGGATATCTGCCCAACTGTTTATTCAAGGAAAGAATTTGGTATGGATATTCCCATTCATTCTGCAAAACAGATGTACCATTCAGTTAATCTGCGTACTAAATTCTAAAAGTAGAAAACCATAGCAAATATTTTGCAATAGCAAATATTCATCGTACTGTCCCAAATTTAGCCTCAACATTGTTATAATGTCCAACTGCTTCCAAAACAACCTCTAAGTGTGGTATAACATACGGCAAACATTTCCTCAACGTTCAACTTTATAAATATATAAACTTAATCCTTTAAGATTCTGAAAACTATGTTTCAAAATTGTTTCATAAAATCCATTATGAAAATATTTGGGAACTTTTCCTTCTGCCATTTGTGCTACCAATGAGGCCTGCTAACTGGGAATACTCGTAGTTGCAGTTTCAAAATAATCTGTGTAGATCTTCGGATTTAATTAGAAAGATCCAATAGAAGAAAATATTTGTAGCTTGGGGCTGGACTGTTGAGGTCTTGATGTTACCTAGTTAGGTAATGAAATGTCTGCAAGCAAACCACCAAGCTCAGAGAGTACCAAGAAGGCCACAATTACAAAGTAGCCTGTGTAAAAACTATGTCAAAAGGAAATGAGTGATCAGGAACAAGCAAAAGTATTTGTGTGACATTGCAACTCATTTTTACTGCAACTCACTTAAGCATAGGATCATATAGAGTAAGTACATTTCAAATTGATATCAGAAATGTATAGATTCAGTAATACTGGATCTGAAGTACTCAGCCTGTAAAAGGTATTCTCAGATTTTCTTTGAAATTTTAAGTTACTTGAACACGAGAAAAAAATATAAAAAGGAGGGTGCACATATGAATCATACAGATACTTCAAAAAATTAAGCCATAAGTCATATATTTTAATTATCGCAGAATCAGAATCAGCTAACATCAGCTAACATACAATATATTTTATTCATTTAATAAATTTATATCCACTTCTCATATGTGGCTCTCTCCCCATTGTTTTATTTACTCAATTCACCAGTGAAGCTGAGTAGGGTGCAACTTAGTAACTGAACCAGATCATATCCAGCAATGCTGTAGCCCAAACCATTTGAAACCAGGTTAGTTCTATTCTTGTACTCTAACAATAATCTCATATTATGGAAGACTTATATTTGCTTCATGCATCAAAATTCAATAACTTAAAACAAATATTTACAATACATAATAATATATTTCCGAAAATATTTTTTATTCCTTTTCCAACAAATGTACTAGCTAACTACACTTCTGAATGGGGAACTTTATTAGCTGAGAAATACAACATCATCTATTTCTCAGGGGAATACCTAAGAAATTGGGGAATACCACATAAATTATTCATTATAGTATCCTGAGAATTCCATGATCAAAGGAAGCCACATTAAAAGGACTAACTAAGTTCAAAGGAAGACTTCAATTTGGCCCCCGGGAAATGCTCCTTTTTCTCCCCATGTATGTACAGGCAATCATTGTCCCATGGTAAGACCTATGTGCTTAGATTTTCTTGCTATCTCGGGTGGCTATAAATGACGCTCCATTTTTCCACACATAGATTGTCTCCCTGTACTGTAAACTATTATCTGTTTGAGGCTGCAACTTTGAAGCTGCACAGATGCTGGACCTTCTTTGCTCCAAAAAAAAAACTTTCTTTCAGAAACTGAAGTGTGGCATTAGAAAACAATGGCTAATGAAATGCCACAATAATTTTCTATAATGGCAAAAACCAGTACGATCTTTTAAAATTACAAAATTACATATTAGATTTAAATACAAAAGAAAATTATCTTCTGAATTTCCATATCCCTACAGGATTATATAGCATCAAATTTCTAACAAATTGCTAAAATATAACAAAAATTTACTCACCATCATCAGTAGGATTGAATCCACAGATATCACAAATACATCGAACCCACTTATTCATCTCTTCTTCACTGTCGGCAACTAAATAGAAGACTCTGTCTATTGTATTTATGTCAAAAATATAGCTGTTTTCAAACTCTTTTTTGTTAAATGTCAATCCAGCATCCACTTGTTGACACAAATTCAAGTCAATGATACGAATTGGTTTCTTGGCGTGGTCATTTTTGTAGTATTCCAATACATCTGGATCTCCTGTCAACCGACCGCTGCGGAGCACAAACCATCTTCTCTTCCATGCCTAGAGGATGGAGAAAATATCCAGATATTTTATATGAGTGTGTTACTGAAGTAGCACAGACTACTCTAAATAAATATTTGAAACTATAAAAATATATTATAAATTGAAATATTTGGAATTCAATTAAATCCAGATGTGGTATTCAGCAGGTTCTGACCAATTCTGCAGAACTGGTAGCAGAAATTTTGAGTAGTTCAGAGAACCGGTAAATATCACCTCTGACTGGCCCTGCCCCCATCTAGTCTCTGCCTCCTGAGTCCCAGCTGATCAGGAGGAAATGGGGATTTTGCAGTAACCTTCCCCTGGAGTGGGGAGGGAATGGAGATTGTACAGTATCCTTCCCCTGAAGTGGGGTGGGAATGGAGATTTTACAGCATCCTTCCCCTGCCATGCCCACCAAGCCACGCCCACCAAGCCACACCACCAAGCCATGCCCACAGAACCGGTAGTAAAAAAATTTGAATCCCACCACTGATTAAATCTTTATAAGAAGAAAGTGCAGTAGTTAAGAAGGGCAAAGGAACTGACAATTTGGAGTACAGGTAAGATTGCATAATCTTCTAGCAGTACATAAAATAGTTGGAATACTCAGTATGAAGCCACTAGGCTTAAATCATATGTTGCCCCAAAGATTTTTCAGTTCAGGAGAAATAGCAATATAGGGTAATAATGAGCCTTACATATCTTTAATATATCCACAATCTTTGTGGCCAACAGAAAAAGCTACAAGATTAACAGTTTTTAAATTGATATTTTTTATTTTACATTGCACACTCTCCTCCCACAACTAATTTACCTTAATGTCTTGTACAAATATATGTATGTTAGAAAACATAAAGTACTTTTCATTTTCTGGCATGAAATATTTTGGTTTAACAAAGTATTCAAGGCTGTAATCACATTATTTTCCTTAATAAACAAACAAGTGTCATGTTTCTTATTTATTTAATTGGGTTCTCTTTATCTAGTTGTAGGACTTTTGTAGAAAACAAGTCAACATTTTATGCCTATTTATGCAAAAATATTGAGAATTTAGTATTAGTCTTCCACTAAGTTATGGTCTTTTCTTTGGTTAAACCATTCAAGCAGAATTCCTTTTATGACCAAGAACTCTTCTTTTTGACTTTCCATCAACTATGAAAGGACAAATTTTAATAACTCATTTTTAATCTACATTGGAGTAGCCTGCTCATAAACAATCCTTTAAATCCAGTACATTAACCAATTGTTCGGAAAGAAAAGCTATTAACTTTCAATATTTTATATTATTTTATACTGTATAACATTCCTAATTTCCTTCCATTAAAGTAGAAAAACTATTGCTTTTTTGAGTACTGATGGGTTTCATGAGTACTAAGAAGTACTCATGTAACCCAACAGTATTTATGTCAGGGGTGTCAAACTCATGGCCCGTGGGCCAAATCCGGCCCTTGGGGTACTTAAATCTGGCCCCATACGGCTGGCCTGGAAATAGTAAAGGTCTGGCCTGTGGTGCCCCTGACAGCCAAAATGGGGCGTGGGGGCTGCATGGGGGCCCCTGTGCCCCATTTTCAGTCTGGACAGCCTCCTGCAGCACTCTGCCAGCCAAAATGGGGTGCGGGTGGCTCCCCTACACCCTGTTTTGGCCAGCAAAGTGCTGCAGAAAGCATCCGTTCCCCCCTAGCCGGCCTGCAGAGGAGAACTATAATGCTGATCCGGCCCTCAAAGAAATCCAGTTTGGCACCCCTGATGTAGGTGATCATAGGAGTTTCATAATACGGCAGACACTTACAGGAACAAATGAAGGACAGTTAATCAATGTACCCAATGTAAGTGTGAGAAGAAAGTGTGCTATGATTTGTACAGTAAAGTGGTTGTAACCTATATAGTACAGATTTGGAAGTTTCTTTTCTAACTTGTACACTGAAATCTTCTCTGTATTTCAGAGCTAACAAAGATCCTCTGTGAGAGCGAAACATCGCTCTCACTGCAGCTTCCTTGGTAAATTGGTAATATAAACAGAACTTGTTTATAGTCCTACGTGTCAGAAAACTTTGCCTTTAGACAACTAACACCTGCTTCTATATCTCTGCTTTATTTCCCCAGAATACCTCTTTTTCACAGAGTGAAAATGGGAATGTTTATTTCAGTTGCTTAATGAGTCACTCACTGAAACTGGCACAGACTGTCCTTAAAAACAAAAGCAATTTCAGAAACTACACACTACTAAGGCAGACACAAAGGTTCTCTGGATTATAGCACAAAAGCACAATTTAACAGCAGAATAAAGCTTGAAGCTAGACAAGAGACCTGACATCAGCACGCGTGCTAATCATAGTACAATGGCCCTACTATGTTTCATGAAACTGCAAAGAGAGTCCATATAAATCACTCTTTGTTATCTGAAAATATCTGGGATTCTTGAAGTAAGTTCTATTTTTAACATTTTAATATTGGCTGCCTGATAGAAGCTGTATATTGCCTTACTGAGAAAAACTTCAGAGGATCATGCTACAGAATGAAGTGAAAAGCACAGCTTTGGTTTTCGGATTCAAAGTATTTGGCTTGTATATGAATAAGAATTTTTTCCCCCATGTTGAGATTCTTTGATTCCTTTTAACAGGTGGGATACCTAATGTTAACATCTTCAGGAGTACACTTGAAAAGATTGGTCTTTATTATAGATATTACTATAATGAGCAATTATCAATTTTCAAGCTTTTTCTGCCCTGTTAAAGCAGAATAATAGTATTGCTGAAACCTAACCAGAATTAGAGTTTGTACTGCAGGGATTATTCCATCAGTCCCATCTGAAGGGGAAAAAAAAGAGGAAAAATTAAGCGTAATAAGGAACGAGCTTTAATTTTAAGTATAACAGATTTGTACAATCTTATGCATGCTTTCTTAGAAACTGAGCTCCCTGAATCAATTACAATATAATGTCAGTAATACTATATAGCAGTCATTCTCAACCTTTTCTTCATCATGGATCCCCTTTAAATACCTTTTGTGGCCATGGACCGTGGCGACAGACCAGAGGTGGGTTTCAGCAGGTTCTGACCAGTTCTGGAGAACCGGTAGTGGAAATTTTGAGTAGTTCAGAGAACCGGTAGTAAAAATTCTGACTGGCCCCGCCCCCATCTATTCTCTGCCTCCCAAGTCCCAGCTGATCAGGAGGAAATGGGGATTTTGCAGTAACCTTCCCCTGGATTGGGGAGGGAATGGATATTTTGCAGTATCCTCCCCCCGGAGTGGGGTGGGAGTGGAGATTTTACAGTATTCTTCCCCTGCCATGCCCACCAAGCCATGCCCTGCCCACCAACCCACAGAACCGTAAAAATTTTTGAAACCCACCATTGCCACAGACCCCCCAAGACTTAACTCAAGATTTAAAGCACAGCATTTCTTCAAGCCTTCACGGACCCCCTGTGATGATATTGAAGCCCCAGGGGTCTGTGGACCACAGGTTGAGTACTATTCATTATCGAGAATTATAACAATAAACCCCCAAACCATTGAGAAAGAAGAGTTCAGTGAGACTTACTTTCAACGTTACTTTACCACTACGGTGCCTTATTTATGTATATATTTTAATTTATCATCAGCGGATGCATTTTTTTCCATTTCTCCTTAATTAAAATAAAAAAGCATTAAGATGAAAAAGCTTCCTATATTTTAAACCTTTGATCTATTACAATCCAACATAACTTTTCAACTGATTCAATACTTCCCCTACCCAAGGATGGAATCGAGCAATTAATAAACATGTAGAACAAAATGGTGGATCACTAAACGTTGGAAGATATTTAATGAATGAATATGAAGGTCTCTATATCATAGCAGCTCCTATGTATAAGGGAGGCTTTTATCAGATTCAGTCTCCAATGGATGAATGGGGAAAGCAGACTACTTTCCTTCACCATCAGGTTTTCATTCAAATAAACAAATAATTTCATCCAACATTTAGCACACAAATAATTTAGCACACTATTAACACTAAATATTGATATTTACTGGCTTGCTACACAGATAAACTATTTAAAGCATAATTGCTCAAGCTTCAGTTGTAATAATATATCTTAACTCCTTTTTACAAAGCTTTATAAATAAAGACAGAAAATATTAGGTGCATCTTTACTTATTGTTATGCTGTTCCCCCTTTGCCAAAAATACATTCACATTTTTAAAGAATTGTTTTCCAGGAAGCACCATCTTTTCTTACAAAGAAAAATAAGGAAAAAATAGTCTCAGTGGAAGTTTCCACTCCACCAGCTATCATCCTGATTAGCTGTTTGAAATACACACATGGCCAACATTTCCTGTTTTTAATCTATTGTCACCATTTGCCAGTTCTGCATTGGTCTGTTCTAACTTTAGTGTACTTATGCAAACAAAAACATTGAAAACAATGTAAATATAAAAGTGTTTTTTATTTTGCATCTTGCAGCATTTTTTAACCTAAAAGTGGAAAATTAGAAAAGCATATATTTGAAACCTTTTTTAAAAGCAGGCAAAGCTATAAAATGCTTGATAAGGTTGTGTGTGTAATTATTTTATAATTACTAATCTATTATTCTAAATTGAAATGTGCTATTAAGCTCTAGAGCACTTCTATGTAAACATGCACTTCAGACAAGCACCAGGATTTCTTGGGTGTAAATTCTGGGTAGTGGAGATTCCAGGTGTGTTAGATTTGATCATGCAATAAAAGATTATTGCATTGCCCAGCTCAAGCTAAAGTAATAAAAATGGTACTGACTTCTGCCTGCATTGCCCTGCAGCACTTGCTCCTGCAAAATATAACACTTTTTGAAGATAGCTGCATAGGAGGAATCCCACTATACACATTCACAATCAAGAACAATTAAAGGGTCATGCTTTCTTCCACTCTCATAAAACTGTAATGGCATGTGGGAATAGACTGCCTGATTGAGCTTTAAAACTTCAAATAACATTATCCATCTTGTTAACCTTAAAAAAAGGATAAATAATTTTAGCTTATAGTTAAACTCTAGCACAGA